CCCCCCCCCCCCCCACTGGGGATGTGCCCTCAACCAAGGTATATGCCCTTGACTGGAATCGAACCTGGGACCTTTCAGTCCGCAGGCCTACACTCTATCCACTAAGCCAAACCAGTTAGGACAGGAAAGTGTGTTTTTTCAATTGCAAAGTATACTCTTTATAGAAAATATTGATACATAAAATGACTTTTGGTCTAGTTTAATTTTTTGTTCTTGAATTGCCTGGCCTGGTACTAATGGCCCTGCTTGTCTATTGCATCTGCTCAGTGCGTACACTTGTGCGCACGCTTTTCCGTGTAACCTTTCTGGTTTGGAATGGGTGGTCTGGGGATGCTTCGCTCCACTCATGCATGGGTGAGCTGCCCCACCTTCGGGTATCTCGCCCAGCAGGGCAGTTGGGTGGTGGAGCAGATGGTGCTGTGACTCACAGGGGTGCGTGGGGATCTCCCAGGCACATCTTCTGCCCCGTTGTCATGGATGTTGTGTTGCTCAGCAGTTTGGGGATGACAACCTGAAAATTCATGGGTCTCCCAAGTCGTTTGTAAAACATTACGTTCAGTCAGAGCTAGGAAACGTCCGTTACGGCCTTAGCGAAGCCTCACGGGGGCTGTGGGGGCAGCAGTCAGGCGGAAAGGGAGGAGAGGCCCGTCACCTTCGTGAAAGCCCAACGGGGAAGCAGAGCCGAGGGAGTGGGGTGGGGGGAGTGGTGGGGGGAGGAGAGAGATGGGGAGGAAGAGACAGACTGACCTGGCGTCACCAGCCCCCGGATCTGGAACCAGACGCATCTCTTGGGATTCTCAGCTTTGGAAGTCAATGAATTCTCCTTTCAAATTCAGTCCGTTTGGGGTGGAAGAACACCCAGGGAATCGGGGCACTGCCTCCGAAACGAGGGCAGAACTCACGGAACGGGAGCAGAGCTGCGTGTGCAAGAATCCCTAGAAAGGAGAAGAATAAAGCAGATGTGGAAACTCCAGTCTGCTGAAGGCATACAGTCAAGACAGGACATTACAACACAACGTACCATGCGGTCGCTTTGTGAAGTTAAGCTGCTATAGGGACTCTGAACTCATATCCGTAAGTTATAAATTGGTTTTAAAGAAGGACAACCTGGTCATGCCTGCAGCTTAATGCCATCAGTGGCTTGATGCTTAAGAGGCTTTTTTATTCACTTCAGGAAGTTTTACATGTTTGCTTTTCCATATGCTGTGTATAGTGATGTGATGATACAGGGAACTAGGACATTTTTTTCAGCCTTTTGGAGCCAAATTGTTGCATCAATTTGGGTTAGAAATACTTTCAGCTGTAAGAAATCACCCAACAACATAGACTCCTCTCTCTCTCTCTCTCTCTCTCTCTCTCTCTCTCTCTCTCTCTCTCTCTCTCTCTCTCTCTCTCTCTCTCTTACACACACACACACACACACACACACACAAAACACCTGGAGGGTGGGTAGTTCTAGGAGCCATCCAGTGCTCAAATGTCATAATTAAGGAATCAGACTCTCTTCCTCCTGCTCCCACACCCTCATAGTTTCCCGCGATGGTGGCGAGATTGCAGTGGGAGTGCCAAGCATCTCGCTCTCTCACAGCGCCCAAAGGGAGCAGCGGGGCAGGCAAACCCCCTTCTCCAAAGCCTCCACTCATTGGGGCCTCGGCTTAGCTCTCCTTCCAGAACTGGGCCTCAGAGGCGCGATGATGGCAGGGGGGTGGGGGCGGGGAAAGTGGGCATCTGGCAAGTAGAAAGTATTCCCGAGGGGGACTTAGGGCAATCATGACTTTCCTCATGAGCAAGTAGGTCCTCCCTTTCCTGGAATTAAAGTACCTGCAGTGACCACCTGCAAAACTCTGGGTCTGTTAGCAGGGGAGAAGGGGTGGGCGGGAAAGGGCAGGCGGGTGAGACAGGGTCCCCCGCCGGCACCCTGGGCCACGGTTAGGTCTGTGAGGCTCCACCCTCACTCTGAGAGCCGGGCGGTTTGACCAGGTGGTTTCCAGGGAACCCCAACACCGTGCACACTGCTGACCTGTTGAGTGAACGGGCAGGGCCACGCAGGGGTGACAGCCTTGTGGCTGGGCCTCGGGAGGCCTAAACTGGTCTGGCTCTGCCGCCCCTTCTTGTGCATTTTCCAAGCTGGCCTCTCTCAGCTCCCACCTCTCAAGTGAGGAGGCTTGGCTGGTTGAACGGTTGGTTTCCCTTCCGTTGCTCGAGTTCAAATTGCCTTTGACCTCTGCAACCTTCTATTGCCTGTTTGTGGGTCAGTCTCGGCAGGTGACCTTCCTTCAGCAGCTCTGGCCCTGCCTTCTAGCCACACAGAGAGCCAGTCATGCCAGAAGCACAGGGCTCAAAGCAAACAGCCTGCTTCTCAGACCAGCTTTTCGGACGCCAGGCCCAGTGTGCTCAGGCCCATGGTGCGGCCGGGGAGGGGAGAAATGTCACCAAGTCCCACAGCAGAGGTGGGGGACACCAGGCCCCAGGCCCTGTGTAACGCACGCAAAATCATCTGGTCAGGCTCTGCCAAGACATTGGGAGTGATTTAATTAAATGTCCAAATAGGCAGGCTAATTTGTAAGCTGATAATCTTGTATGGCCCACGAATGATGTTCTAGAAGATATTCAAATGGCCCTTGACAGGAAAAAGGTTCCCCACTCCTGTCCTAGGGGGAGCCCTGGGGGTTGCACAGGCCTTGGTGTAGCTAGACGTTCATGAAGGAAGGGGGCAAAAGGAATCAACATGATTAAACATCAACTGAGGACCTGAATCAGACACCGAGCCTGCTTCACTAGGAGACGGCGGCCTTCACCGGCCTTTGCAGAGGGAAAGATAAAACAGCAGGGGAAGTTCCTCTGTTGAGCTCATGCCCAGTAGAAGCCAAGCAGGCACAGGGGAAGGTCCCTCCACTCTGAGGCACAGAGCAGTAGGAGAAGAGATGGTGAGAAGATAAAGGCCTGTCGGTTTAGCCTGGGGGAAAGGGTTGGGTTGGGTAAGGGACACAGAACCACGGAAGACCTAGAACATGGATTAGTTAGATCAGTGGTCTGCAAACTTATTTGTCAACAGAGCCAAATATCAACAGGACGACGATTGAAATTTCTTTTGAGAGCCAAATTTTCTAAACTTAAACTTCTTCTAACACCACTTCTTCAAAATAGGCTCGCCCAGGCCGTGGTATTTTGTGGAAGAGCCACACTCAAGGGGCCAAAGAGCCACGTGTGGCTCACGAGCCGCTATTTGCTGACCACTGGGTTAGGGGAAAGACCCCCCAAGAGTCTGGGAGAGACTGGGAAGTTGATGGGTTGGTTTGAAAAAGCGCCTAGTTCTTCCCAAGCTGGAGCTAGTAAAGTCAGCCTAACAATGGGAAGGGCCCCTTTTTCTCCATCAGTAACAGTCACACCCACTTCATTCACACGTTCTCTCTCCACAGCAGCCACAGGGCCAGCAGCCACACAGACAGCAAGTGCGGGCCCAGAGCACCCGCTGAGGGGCAGCCGGGAACGGACTCAGCAGCAGGATGGGGAGAGGGGCTGCCTGGCCTGAATGACACAGAATCCCCGGGAGCGGGCCATTTCTGGGCCTGGTGAGAACAAAGCTGGACTTCTCGCGCAGCGGGACAAAGCTGAGCCCAGGACCGTCCTTCGATCTTGCTTCTACCATAAACCTAATGTCAAACCCTACCCACCCCCACGTGGGTCCCCGGAATGCTTTCCTTGTGACTCTGTGAGAGGGTCTCATTCCACCGGCACCATTGGGAGCACCGGGTTCTGCTGTCTCACGCTCAACCGCCCTCTCTCCGGCCTCGGGGTGGAGGGCTGAGCCTGGGCCGGCCCCTGCCCAGGACCCCTGGGAAGGCAGTCTGGGAGCTTCAGGAGGACGTGGCTGGCAGATGACGCCAGGCCATGAGGTTAAGCCCAGCCCCAGGACCCCACTACAAAGTCTATCTTCTCTAACTTCCAAGGCACAGCCCTCAGCATCAGGAACATGGCTGAGGAGGGAGCGGAGCGGTGACGGACCAGAGATGTGAACGAGGAGTAAGCGCGAGGCTCAAGGGGAGGCAGACGCCAGCCCTGTGGTTAGTGAGAAGCAAGATCAGAGGCAGACACTGGCCCTGTCTTCCTCCTCCGCTGCAGGCTGTCAGTTGCTCCGAGAGGTGGAGGATGGGTGGTGGGGACGGGCTGGGGAAAGCCGCTTGTGGAGGAGGGGGAGGGCGCAAGGGCGTGAACCTGAGTGGCAGTGCAGACAGGACCGTCCAGGAAGTGGGGTGCCTCCTGCGGAGCTGCGGACAAGGCTGAGTGAGGTGTGGTGGGAGGTGCAGCCCAGAGCCTAGAACTTTTTGATTCCTTTCAACCCCAGGCCTTGAGATTCCGGAAATCCCATCAGTTGGGGCTTGGTAGAAACTACGGATAATGTTCACAGAGGGGCAGACGGAGGGGAAGGAGAAAGAAGGCCCACACACAATTTTACTTTTTTATATAGAATTTGTACAATATATTTATCTTCATTTGCATATTTTACCCACAACTTAACATCCTTTTTACAGGCTGAACTCAGCTGATATAATCAACATTCTTTCTTTCAACCAAATAGGAAAAATTCAAAATCGTAAACCCGTAAGAAAACAAATTAAAAACGATGATGAAAATAAGTCACTCCTCATTAGGAACAGTATCTGTTTGTTCATTATACATGATTTGGAGCAGAAATTTTCTTGTAGATTAGGCACATGTTTCCACAACACCTTCCTTCCTGCCAGTCAACTCATTCCAGGCAGTCAGAGGGGTGTCGTCTTCATGGGAACTGTTCTCTCAGATGCTGCTGGCACCGCCTGGGGACCAGGAGCTGAGGGATGAGGGCTCGGCAGCGCCACTCATTGGCTGGAAGCAGAGGCAGGGCGGGATGCGGGGATGCTGGGCCAGGCAGGCCCTGCCAGGAGAGAGCAGCAGTTGTGTCTGAAGGGAAAACTTAGGCTTGTTCTATGCAAATTAGAGAGAGACCAGAATAGCAAAGGTGGTGTATAGAGAGAAGCTATGAGGAGTCCAGTGCTTATTTACAATTTATCTTCCTGACGGGAGCAAGGGGGTAAAGCTGGTGGCAACTGCCATGAGGGTGTGACACCTGCCCGTCTTGTCTCCACTTCACCATGAGTCGGTGGGAGATGTGGAGGGTGTGGGTGGCGTGGCGAGGTTAGGCGGTGAGTTGCACCATCTGCTTGTCTGTCTTCCAGGCAGGCAGTCCGTCAGTGAGTCTGTGCCCACGGTGGGGACCTCTTTGTCCCTGTGACTGCCCTCCTTACTGTGACCCCTACTTGGGTCTGGGTGTATGGAGCGAGGGGCCTCCTCCGGGAAAGCAGGCAGAGCGAACGAGAAGAAAGGGGTTTCTACCAAGCTGGCAGCGCCTGTCTCACCACTTCCCACCACCATGGAAGACCAGGCCAGGGCGATGAGCCTCAGGTCACCAAGTTTGGGACCTGCCCCATCTGTTTGTGTCTCCTTTGAATTCTCCCTTCCATGCAGCTGGGCCTGGCTGAGGATCGAGAGCTGGGCTGCAGAAGGTCACTACGCCTGGACCCCAGAGCCGGAAGGCAGCAGGGCCCTGGCAGCAAGGCCCTCCGGGACCCGCAGCCATGGCCTCTCCGGTCCGGACACCTGTGGAGCCTCAGAGGGGCTGTGGAGGCCACGGCCGTGCTGACCTGCTCCCTGTGGCCGGGCTACAAGCAGCCTGCCTGGGGGCAGGTCCCACATGTGGGACGTGCTCAGGCCCGGCACCAGCCCTTAAATGGCAGCAGCCTCAGGCATTCCTTATGCCCACAAGTCCCACCGAGGCTTACATACGTTCCGCATGCCAATCTGGCTTCAGACTCCAGAGCGTGGCTTTGGAAAGAGTAATAATCAGCACTTCAGGGCAAGACTACAGCCATAAAAAGAAAGATGGAAAAGCATTCACTGGAACGAATGTAGTTATTGCTGGACAAGTGACAGCCAAGTGACTGCGCGGAGCTCCGAGGGGGCGTGAGGAGTTACTGTGACCGTGGGGCAGAGAGAAATCATGGGTCTGCATGTTTGTGTGACTTCCAAAGTAAGATCTCTCCTGATGGCATTTCAGGCCTTTTCAGGCACAGGAACTAAAGAGATTCCTTAGTTCTGCTGCTTTCACACAAACCAGTTTGCCTGAGTGACTGGGCCACTGGCCATTCTCCTGGTGTCCTCTCAGGGAGGCAGTGCAGTTCTGTCCTAAAAACGAAAATATGTTAAAACAACTGAAAAGGCCTGGATGTGCTGGGAGCACGAGCAGACACCCTCGGGCGGCTGCTGATCCCAGGGCACGTGTTCTCACGTGTTCCCACCGAGGATTCCTCTGGGGCGGCTGTGGCTAGGGAGCTGGGCGGCACCCGGCTCTCACTGGTTTCAGGTGGGACTGCCCAGTCTCAGGAAGCTAAAGCAAGAGGCGCCCGTAGGCCGAGAAAGGCGGCTCTGCAGACTGGTCTTCCCCCGGAGGGCGTGTGCAGGCAGCTCCAGCTCGGCCGAGACAGACGCCGGAGAAAGCGTCTCTGAACGCCCTCTCTGGGTAATGCCGCGCTGCTCTGCTCAGCCTCACATGCTACGGGACGTGTCGGTGTCCAGCCTGCTGGGCATTCTGATCGGAGTGGAAGTGAGAGCTCGGAGAAGCCAGGTGCTGGCGCCGCAGGGATGTTCCTGAATGCGTTTAGATTTCTGCTGTAAAACCCCTGGGTCAGATTCGCTGGTTCCATGCAGGCCTCCCTGGAGCTAGCAGTCGGCGTTCCAGAGGCAGGTTGCCTTGTTTGGGTAGTTGATGGCAAGGCTGATAGCAGCGATGTTCTGCAGAGCCTGTGGAGAGAGTCAGTGCCAGTCAAGAACCACCCCTGCTCGGTTCGCTGAGTGCTGGCGAACAAGACCCTCCGCTGAGCTTTTGAGGGGCGGGGTGAGGAAGACATGAGCCAGACATGGTTCTCCTCAGCGGAAGGACTGAAGTCTGGAGCAACGGACAAAAGCTATTGAGGCCACATGAGAACTCCAAACGTAGGTAGAAATCATCACTGTCCTGAGGGGCAGGGGGAACTTGGGGCGGGAGTGGGGGCAGGCCTCAGGGGATACAGAGGACACTGTCTGCAGGGCCCTGGGAAAGGAAGAGGGAAGGGAACAGCACAAAAGTGCAAAAGGGAAGCAGCAGTGCTGGAGACCCAGGAAGCAGTATTGGGGAGGGGTTTAAGGGAGGGGCTGGAAGGTGGAAGCTGTAGAGCCAGGTCAGGCTGGTCTTCAAGCTCAGGGAGCAGGAGTGGAGGACTGACCAGGAGAGGAGGCGGCGGCAGGCAGGGGGAGGAGGTAGCATTGGTCCAGCCAAGTGGATGGGCTATGGGAAGGTGAGAAATAGGGTGAGGAGATGGGACATGGGCACAGGCAAGAGGGAGGAGCCCACAGAGAGATGCAATGTCAAAACTTAATTTTGTGTCATGCAGCCGGAGGTGGCGGTGGCAGTGCAGTCTGTTAGGAGACCTCACTCTGCCTGCAGGTCTCAGGAGAATCCACACAAACTCTTCCACAGTGGAAGGGGGACCTCTGCTTCTAAGCAGGCATCTGACCCTTCCTGCAGGAGGAAGGTTCCCTGGAAAACATGGCGGGGCAGCGGGAAGCTCTGGCTGGGGGTCCCAGCTACGGCCCGCTCCAGGGGGAGCCTGGGCATCTCCCTTCCTCTGAGCTTCAGGCCCCGTCTGTCCCCTGCGGGGCTGGGCACACGCTCTGTGAGGCTCCAGGAGTCTGAGCCTGAGGCTCTCAGAAGGGGATGTGGGGCCTGCGGGGGCCTGAGACCCTGTCCGGGCGCCGCACAGGAGAAACTATTTCCGCAGGGACACTAAGACATGGTTTGGCCTTTTTCACTTTCGTACTCTGACAAGTACACTGTGGAGTTTTCCAGAGGCTGATGTGAGGTAATATAACAGGTGGACACAGAAGCAGACTGGGACTCCAGCTGTCTTCCATTAAGGCAGATGTTAAAGAGCTTTTCAGACACGGAACACAACGCCTCCCTCCGATTTCCACCAAACATGCTACTCATGTGAACATGGAATGGTTTATTATTTTTTAAATTAATGGATGATAAATTGAAATTTTTGTCTTAATTTCTAAATTTCAAATCTAATTTAATGTCCAATGGTATATGCCAATATATATAATGCACATAAACCAAAGCTGTTTCAGATCCTCCATAATTTAAAATTGAAAAGGGGTCCTGAGACCAAACAGCTGTCAGAAGAGTGTTCTAGGAGGGGAGAAAGTTACATCCCAAAATATCTGCAGTCAGGCTCTACGGAAACTTCAGGGACCGGCCAAACTGTAAATTTAAGGCATTGGTTGTTTTGGTTTAAAAGACACAAATTCTTGCTAGTGTCTTCTGACCCCACAGTTTAACATGGATGACAATGATAAATGGGGCTGGACTGCTCTCTCAGACACTGAAGGAAGTGACTGAGTGGGAACAGAGCTCCGTGTAAACCCTGGGTGGACTCTGTACGCGGGCCACAAGCACAGGCTCTGTCCTGGCCACGGGGGTGGGGGCAGCCGCCACGGGCAGGCAGCACGAGGGCAGCGCGAGGCGGGAGTACCTGAGCTGCACAGCGGAGAAGGTGGTCGTCGGTGGTTAAGGCCAGCAGGTAATCCTGCAGCACGCCAAGCTCCTGTGGGAGAGCAGGGTGCAGCGTTAGCAGGCACCCACGTAGGAGGCACCCACCCCAACCACGGAAGCCTCTAGTGAGTAATCAGCGCCTGCGCTGCTGGCACCTCCCCAAGAGCCATGGAAGGAGCTGGACAGGGAGGAGCCAGGTGGCTCGTTCCAGGGGCTCTGCCCAGGGTGATGGGTGGGGCAAGGCCCTCCCTCCCCAAGTCCGTTTCCTCATGTACAAAATGAGGGGGATAAGCTCAAGAACTCTGAAAGGCCCTTTCATCTCTCCCATTAATAAGCCTATTGTGCTGAGTAGAGGGAAAGAAAAAAGAGGAAGAGGAACGAACCCATCCGTTTTAATTTCCAAAACTCAATGTTGTCAAGGGCTGATCCAAGCCAGTTTCCCTTGGCCTCCGGCCTAGTAAAATAAGCAGTCTCAGTGCTGCCTGGACTGAGGTGGTGAGGGCCTCCGACTTAGGCCACTCGCACCTCCGTGTGCAGGTCAGCTGAGACCAGGGCTTGGGATGGGGCTGTTTCTGAGTCCCACCCTCCTGCCCTGGGCAGCAGAGGGAGAAAAGCAGCTGGCAGCGCTGTGCCAGGGGAAGGGGCAGGGCAGGGCCCTCACCTGGGCACGGTTCTCGGTGACGAAGAAGAGCTCAGTGAGGGCGCGGTGCAGGGGGAGGAGGATGCCCGGCTGAGTCACGTCCTCAAACAGGCTGTACTCCATGTGGGTGAAGAGCTGCCACAGGGGCTTTAACAGCGAGAGGTCACAGAGGTCGCTGTGGGCGGAGGGGGGGTAAGTTACTGAGCACCACGTCAGACAGATGGCAGGTGACAGGAACTGCAACTCTGACTCTCACTTTCCCCACATCTAGTAAAATCATTACAGGAGAGTCCCACTCCCCTCCCCGCTAAAAAAAGAGCCAAAAATATTCACCAGCAAATAAGGAAAGGGGCAGAACCTAAACTTCAAAACAAGACACCACGGAAACAGGAGATCCTGAAGCACATTCATGTAAATCAACTGCACACCTTTAAAAATGGTTGTTACAGAGAACTTCCAATGACTGAAAAAAATCTCAAGTGAAATGTTAGGTGGAGTCCCTGGCCGGTGTGGCTCTGGGTTGGAGTGTCATTCCAATACACCAAAGTTGTGGGTTCGATTTCTGGACAGGGCACATACAAGAACCAATCAATAAATGCATCAATTAGTGGAACAATAAATTGATGTTTCTCTCCCTCTCTTTCGCTCTAAAATAAAAACAAAAATAAATAAAACCTTCCCTCTGAGATGAAGAATAAGACAATTATATCTTCAATCCCCACTTCTATTCAACATTCTAATGAAAGTCCTGGCTAGTACAAAAAGGCAGAGTTTCTACAGACTGAGAGGAAGAAATAAAACTCATTATTTATAAATAACATGGCCGTGTGCTAAATAACCTATATATACACTCATGGAATTAACAAATAGAACAAGGTCACTACACAAAGGCAATACATGAAAATTAATTATATAGCAGCAAAAATATTTAAAAATAAAAAATTTAAAATAACAATTATAATACCATCAAAAACATTAAATATCTAGGAATAAATCTAATAAAATGTGTACAAGTCCTCTACATAGGAAACTATAAAACATTACTAAGATCTAAATAATAGAGGATTAGAGAATTCAATGGTATGAAAATCTTAATTCTCTCAAACTGATCTAGATTATCAGTCAAAATTCCATCAGATGAGAAGGGTATGTGTGCATGCATGTGAGTTGTCTATAAAAATAAAATAACCAGGCCCTAGTTGGTAGAGCATCGGCCTGTGGACTGAAGGGTCCCGGATTCGATTCTGATCAGGGTACATGCCCAGGTTGCGGGTTTGATCCCCAGAAGGAAGTGTGTAGGAGTCAGCCAATCAATGGTTCTTTCTCATCAGTGATGTTTCTATTTCTCCCTCTCCCTTCCTCTCTGAAATAAATAAATATATATTTAAAAATAAATAAAATAAAATAATCAGGATCAAGACAAGGATACCCATCTCACCAGTTTTATTCAACACAATACTAGAAGTCATAACCTAAGGCAGTGGTTGGCAAACTGCGGTTCGCAAGCCACATGCGGCTCTTTGGCCCCTTGAGTGTGGCTCAGCGTTAGAACCACTTCTTCAAAATAGACTCACCCAGACCGAAAACAGACTTCTGCGTATGGACCAACGGAACAAAAGAAACAGACACAGGCCCAAGCACATATAGAGGCCTACTCTATGACAGCGAGGGCCCTAGAATGTGGTGAGGGAAAAGGTGGTCCTTATAGTCAAGTTGAGATCCATGTGAGAAAAAGCTATCTGCCCCTACACTTCATATCACTCTCTAAAATTCATTCCATGTTGGCTGTAGATTTAAATGTGAAAAAAAAACCCAAACAACTAAGCTTCAAGAAGATAACATATAGGACCCCAAATAAGGCAAAAATGTCCTAAACAGCATAACAAAAGCTCTACCATTATGGAAATGATCAGTAAAGTGGAAGACATTAAAATTAGAACCTTCTGTCCACCCAGCGTGGCTCAGTGGTTGAGCATCAACCTATGAACCAGGAGGTCATGGATCGGCACATGCCCAGGTTGCGGGCTCAATCCCTTGAAGGGAGTATGCAGGAGGCAGCTGATCAATGATCCTCTCTCGTCATTGATGTTTCTATCTCTCTCTCCCTCTCCCTTCCTCTCTGAAATCAATAAAAACATACTTTAAGAATATATTAAAAATAAAATTAGAAACTTCTTTTAACCAAAGACACCACTAAATGAGTGAAAGGGCAAGCCACAGAGTGGGAGAAGATATTTGTAATACAAACACCCAGCAAGAGACTCCTCTCCAGAAGGCAGCTTACCTGTGGTTGCAGCACAGCACAATCCTCAGCAGTAGATGAATAGCTTTTAGTCGCTGATGACCAGTCTGGCGACAGGCCACGCCTACCAGCCATTCCCAAATTTTGGCCAAGGGGAGGTGCGGCACAACTCTTTCTTCTGACAACATTTGCTTCAAAATCTCAAATCCTGGGCAACCCCGACAAAACACAGATATTTTAATAAATATGATGAAACAATTCATCATTTAAATTTTCCCTGAAATTAGGCCTTTTGTAAAAACAACATAGGGACATTTCATTTCCCCTTTTTTGCAAAAATGCCCTGGAAACTCTAAGAGAACAAACATCTTTTTTAGGTGTCTCTTCTCTCTGGCCATGCAGGTTTACAACAAACCAACTGTATAGCATAGAGATAATAGATCAACCGAAGGACTTGTATACATGCATATAAGTACAACCAATGGACATAAAACTCTGGGGAGGGAGAGTATGTATGGGAGGGAGGGGGCAAAAAAAAAATCAATAAAACATATTTTTAAAAAAATGAAAAAGTTACTTAAAAAAAAAAAGAACATGGTTGCATTTAATGTGCTATCAAAGAAAGTTGCAACATTATGTATACAGTGTGTGAATACAGTCATTGAAGATAGATAATATATTTGATAGAATATATAAGTAACTGGTAATGGGGTTGTGTTTAGGAAAAGGAGCTGAGTGGCTAAAATAAGATTTATTTTTTTTCTATATATCACTTTGTATTTTTTATTTTTGCACAATACAAATGTATTATTTACTCAAAAAGTAAATGGGTACATTTTATTAATAATAAAAAAAAAAGAATGACACATGTAGGGTTTGTGAGACAAATGTGTGGAAGTCTTAGAGAAAAGTACCTGCTTTGATTTTTAATAAAGATCAATGACAATGGCACTTACACCCACAGAGTGTGCCTGGCAGGGGATGATCAGGGAAAGAGAAGAGCACACACCTGTCTGGAATCGCCCCAGGTGTCCAGCCGTCACAGTGAACTTGTAGCCCCACTCAGTGTTGCTCATGTCAGAGGTGAAGCGGTAATACAGAGTGTCTCCTGTGTCACACAAGAACCAGACAGTCAGAACACTGCAGGGAGAGGGATGGCAAGGGAGGGGTTCCTGATGAAATGTAATAAACCCCACTTTAAGTCCTCCAATCATTTCCCTTCTTAGTATTAAGTTTAAAGGCTTAATGTTAAGAGTTGATAAAACCAAGTATTTATATACCTGGAAGCTCAAAATCTTTCCATTTCTGTTGAGACCCGCTGAAATTATGTCGATCCTGCTGAAAGTCACTGCTGCTGGACATGGCTAATTCGTCACAGCCTTCCTCTGTATTGCACTGAGAATCGAATTTGATTGAGAGGTAGATTGCACCAGGAATGTGAACTTTATCCTACGGAGGGGAAATGAGAACACTTGTCGTTACTGGTCAGTTCCTGAGGGCTTACCTCACGCCAAGTCCTGAAACGGGGAATGTAGGAATGAGTAAGTCAGAGCCCGGCTTCTAGGAGCTCCCAGGCTAGCCGGGAGGAAGCACCCACAGGCTGCAAGCACAGCAGGCACACCTGGGCAGACTGGGCATGCAGACAGCCTTCACCTGGAGAAGGCGGAGGGCAGAAGAGTCCAGTGAAGGGATGTTCGGGTTGTTGCCAAGAACGAAAGGAGAGGAGGGGCCGCCAGAAGGAACGAATGGCAGGAGACAAGGTGAGGGGGGTGGGACTGTATCGGGGGTACATTTCAGGCAAATACTAGTAGCTCTGGAAAGTCTGGCACGTTCAGGGAACAGAGAAGCTTGCTGTGTGGGTAAAGGGTGAACTTTGTGAGGACATCTGCTTGGGAGGTAAGGACGGAGGACGGGGGTGACATGTGAGCCCGGAGAGGCTGGCAGGAACAGAAGTGAAAGCCTGCTGTTCAGGCTTTGGGCGGCAGGGGGAGCCCTGGAAAGGTTGTAAGCAGGAGAAAGCCTTAGTTTGTGTTGTGCAAGGATCACTCTGAGAGCTGGTGTGACCAAGGCCAGGTGAGGCAAGGCCAGCAGTGAGAAGGAAGCCAGAGAAGGGGAGAGTTGGGGTGACGAAGATAGGCAATCCCCTTTGAGGTGTGCCTACACGGAGCTGGGGGAGTGGGACTAGTGGAGTGGGGCTGGACCCAAGAACATACGAAGAGAAGAGGCTTAGAAGGAAGAGAGCAAGGAGGTTTATTTTACATTTCTGCAAAATGAAATCTCAGTTGAGCAATACCCAAGTTCTGCATCCATAGATGACAGATAAACTCATGGTGCTAGAGTGTGCTGGCCCCTCAGAAGCTTATGTCTTGCAGCTCCAATGTTTTGAAAGGGTTAAAGCAATGCAGGGACATTTTTAAGTCAGTGAGACTAACAGGACTTCCCACATGTGCCTCATCCAAACTCCTACCTCCCCCTGCCTGGGGACAAAGTTAAGAGGGGAACCAACAAGGCTTTTCTGTTCTGTGTCATTACACAAAGGGGTGGGAGTGTCCAAGGTGTGGCCAGGTCATCCGAGACAGGCAGAGTGAAGCATGAACCAGACTTACTGCTGGAAAACACCAAGAATGCGCTGCAAGGAGCTTGCTGCAGGGAAATAAACTCTCCCCAGGGCCAGATGGCCCATCGTTTTCTATAAAAACAAGGTCAGGAGAAGGGAAGACTTGGTTGTGCAAAATCTCTGACTGCAGCTGCGACTAAGGAAGCACTTTCTTGGCCGGGGCTGTCAGGAGAGGAAAGAGCTGCTGTGGGAGTTGATGAGATTCTTGCTACTCCTGCCGGCTGCATGCCCTGAGGCTGGGCGAGCCTGGCCAACCCTGGATCATACCTCAAAGTTGGTGTTGTTGTTATATGGGTGTTTTGACTCTCTCACTTGCACTTCCATTCCTGGTTCCTCCATGAACTGGCAGGCGGCCAGGGCCATGGTCCCCAGCATGTTCTCTCGGCAGCCTTGGAGCACCTTCTGCAGGATCTGGCAGGACACAAGGCAGGCAACGTCAAGGCCTACCAGTGGCAGGGCCATGGAGCTGCTCCCTCAGGAAGAAAGGAGGGGCTATGTCAACCCAATGCCCACCCGAAGGGCTGGCATCATCCTGGACCCTGGCCCCAGCCCCTCAAGCCACCCAGCGGCCCCCTCTCCCTGAAGGAGCTCTTGCTGAAAATCAGAACATGCAGTGCCTTCGGAGCAATACTACTTGAAGGGAGCCTGAAAGAACCAACAGAACCCATCAGAGGTGGCCTGGCCTCTGAGGAGCCCTGAGCCCAGCAGGGGGATGGACACACAAACAATTACAGCACAACGGAATAAATGACCAGAGGGAGGGGCAGAGTGAGCAGCTCCTTGGAGTAGGAACGGGGAAGGGCATGTTCAAGACAGGGACTATCAGAAGCAAAACGCCCCCTTTTATCACTTCCAAATGAGAAATGTGGCTACAGCAAACATGCCAGTAACCCTAAGGCTCTGAGGTTGGGAAAGGATCTAGAGGACTTAGAAATGGGTGGCAAATTAGGGATTAGAGGATAAATGCACATCCTAAGGAATCTTCACATACAGTGTACGTGTGTATGAGGATAGGGAGGAAGAAGACGGCAGCAAATGTGACTAAAGATTTTTGCATTTGGAAACTGGGAAGGTGGTGATAAAACTTTCTAGTTCAGCGACAGACAGTACCTGGGCCTCCTGAGTTATAGACCTTTTTCTGCTATGTGAACTCTTCATTTCTACCCAACAGGAGGCGGAAGAAATGCTTTTAGACCTCTGAGGATTGCTAGCCCGGCACTGCTTTAAAAAACCAAGTTGAGCCCGGCTGGTGTGGCTCAGTTGGCTGGAGCATTGTCCCGTCCACCAAAAGGTGGTGGCTCAATTCCAAGTCAGGGCACATACCCAGGTTGTGGTCCAGTCCCTGGTTGAGGTGTGTGCGGGAGGCAGCCAATCGATGTTCCTTTCTCACATTAATGTATTCTCTCTCTCTCCCCATCCCTCTCTTTAAAATAAAAAAATAATGACCTAGTTGAAGATTTGCTTTAAAAAGAAAGTTAAAAATGGCCTCCACCTGTCACAACTAAACTTTAAATTAGAGCACAGACAGACCTGGTGAGCCACTTGTCTGCCCCCCAGAAGCCGGAAGCCTTGGAGAGGTCTCCCGGCTCGTTTCCTCCCTCTGGGACACGGTGTAATGCAGGTATAATTGCTGGCAGAGGGTCTGACCTGGGGTAGACATCCTAGAAACAATGGTTAAAAAGACAAGACACAAACCGCCCTGGGAGGTTTCTGTATGATGGGAACAAGCCACCACACCTGTAATGAACCCTGGGCCCTGGGCTCACTGAGATGATGCTAGGAACACGAGAACAGACAAGCTAGCAAAGAGAGCTAGACTTGAAAATGTGAGAACAAAAAGGGGAAAACGACAAAGACAAGTTTTATGGGATATTTCTCCAAACACTCTGAGCACCAAGTCTATCGTGGGCTATGAGCTCAGCTCTAGGCCAGTAGTTGAGAGAATTCAACAGTGACCCTCCCTGCCTGTGTTGCATTCACACCTGCCGGGGAGTCCTCCAGCCACACGTGCACTCATTCTAGGAAGGCACTTGCTGGAGGAAGACTATTCAAACACTTGGGGTCTGGGGTGGGGAGAGGACAGAGGAGAAGTGAGAGGGGTGAGTGCCCAGCTTGGCCTGCTTAATTACCTTCTCCCACCGGTGCTTTTCCTCCAGCTGCATGAACATGTCAAAAATGTAGGTCATATGGGCAGGACCACTGAGCTCCAGGGTGTCCTCGCTCACTGGCACGTGCCCAGGCCACTCGGCAAGCAAGGATGCAAGCACATGGCGGGCATACAGGATTGCGGTGGCCTCGTTCACCCGGAAAAGGTAGTCCCGGACTGCCCTCTTGCTCTTGCAATTCAGTTCCTTGTGCAGGAGGGCGGCGCTCTTAGTACGCCGCTGCTTGGCGTAGCTCTGCTGCAGCTCACTCTCCGTGCTGGAGATCAGCTTCTGGGTCACGGGGTTTGATTCAGCAGTGGCCTTGTCACAGCGAGTGGGCCGGGACTGCAAACCCAAAGACCATGTTACTGAGGCCTGCCTTTTCACAAGTAGGGGTGAGGTGGGAGTCAGGGAGAGGCCATTTTTTCCAAGTGGAGGCAACATACCAAGCACGGTAAGATAATCATGTCTGTATCCACGGCTTTGGCACTCTGCTCCTCCAGTCTCAGGCTCCTACTGGGCTGCCACTTCTGCGCCAGGGCCCGTATCCTTTCATCCGTGGTGAGCTCATCGCCATCAAACCTGAAGAGAAGGAGCACAACGTTGGGTACATAAGTTATAGCAAAGCAAGAGTTTACCCTGCAGTGAAACTTGTCAGTAATGTTACTTCACAATTATATGATTTTCCATATTTTGCAAACTAGATTCACAGTGTTCATTTATTCATGCATGCAGATGTGTATGTCTTCCAATGCCCCTCTGCAGAGAATCCAAACTGTACCTCAGGATCCATCTTTCCATTCTTTTAGAACAAAGTTCCTGGGAGTTTTAGCAAGTTACAGAATCATCTAGCTGGAGACATCCCAGGACCCTTTGCAGTCAGATGGGGGGGATGCAATTAGGTTCTTAGCAACAGGAGGGCAGTGAGGTGATGTGTGCCACTTTGGAAGCCCACCCTCAGAAATAGCACTAAGAATGATGTGCTCCTGCTGAAACCGGTTTGGCTCGATGGATAGAGCGTCAGCCTGTGGAATGAAAGGTCCCGGGTTCGATTCCAGTCAAGGGCATATACCCTGGTTGTGGCAGCTGATCAATGTTTCTCTCATCGATGTTTCTAATTCTCTATCCCTCTCTCTTCCTCTCTGTAAAGAATCAATAAGATATATTAAAAAAATAAAAAAATAAAAAGAATGTGTTCCTTTCCCTACCTTCCCCCTTCCCTCTGGGCTGGGACAGAGAGGTGGTGTGGGTGAGCCAGCTTGGACTACATGGATGAGAACCAAGGAGGGTCGTGTGGAGCAGGGCTGCCCACTCACCCCGGACTGCTGCCCACCTCTGGACTGTTCCATGACAGCAAAAACAAATCCTATCTTTCTGGACCTATGATATTTCTGGGTGTCTCAGTTACAACAGCTTAGGCTATGCCCTACATGATGCAACCCTGCTGCATCTCACAAGAGATTTGAGGCCATTTGGAAGAAATACATATAGAAACACAGAAATATGAAATAAAAATTAAAAGAAATATTAAACTGGAATTGGGTATAAATTAGAATAGGGAGTCAAAACTAGAATAAGGGGACTGAGGAGGGAATTAGTTGCAGATAGGCAAAGTTCTACATAAATTTAAGAGCTGGGCCCAAGAACCAGCTCTGAACTCCCTATCCAAGAGAAAGGGATCTGTTGTTAATTGTATAATAATTCTTTTAAAAAAAAGAACACAAACAGGAGTATAATATGCAGTGGTGAGAAACAAACAAAGAAAACAACACTTTTGATAAGAGTGTTCCTGGGATGACATAAGAGAGAAACCTCAGGGTCTGCCTCCATTCCTGCATCCATAATGAGTTCCCTCTAAGAAACATTTTTCCAGAGGAACACACAGTGAGGCACAGCCAGCTTTCAGATCCCTTTACGAAGCACTAACAGCCAGTTCCACACCAGCTCGGGGCCTATCGGTCGCTTTTCTCCAGATCCTGCTGGCAGGCGGGTAGCGCAGTCCCGCCTCGCGTGCTCTCACACTCACACAATCCCGCTGCACCCGGACAGCCCTTACCTCTTCTGGACTTCCAGGAAGAACGAATCGGTCCTTTTCATCTGTAGCTCGTATATGGCCCGGAGAATGTGCAGAGGGGCATTGAGGGCATCGTGAGCCATCTGAGGGCCATGGGGAGGAAGTAGGAGAGAGACAATTTAATGTGCTTTAACACATTATTGATCATCTAAACTCAAAAGTGATAAAACAATTATGTTCTAAAGTTATCACAGGTAATAATTTAAAAACACCATATGGGTACTTAAAGTATATAAAGTTATAAGCCCTAAAACATGGATTTATAAAATTTGCATTACTATTATAAATTCAAAGGAAAATCTAAAACACAGAAACACCAAAAGAAATATTATGTCAGCAGAATGCAATACTAATAGTCAATAACTATCCACCACAATGTATTCATTGCTAGCTCTCTGTCACTGCCTAGCTCTCAAGTTTGATAACTGGCACATATGTCTAAGTAGACTGTACTTTTGATTTTTTAAAAACTATACTTGTTTTTCAGATATCCCTACTGTTTCCTCTTCATATAATTAGACCCTTTAAGTTTAAGCCCTCCCCCATTTTCACATCATTCTGAGGAAGAGTGGGTTACCCAGGGAAAGAGAGATAGGATGTCTGAGAAACTATGAGGAAGAACTACCATTTGGAAGTTTATGGATGGGGATGGAAATTACATGCAAAATTGTGTGTGTGTGTGTGTGTGTGTATTTTTGTTTGTTTGTTTGTTTTGTTTGTTGTTGTTTTTTGTGTTTTTTTTTTGAATGTGTATTTTATAGGAGAAGTGATCTACAGCTTTTGGGCCCAAAAACCAAAAATTTTAAGAAGTACTGTTGTAAGGGCCTTTCCATTCTTCTGCACAATACAGACTGAGTCTGCAGGAAGTGATTCTCGGGATGTGGAAGCTAAAACACAGTCCAAGCCAAAGAGAATCCATCCCTTAAAGTCCCTGTCTCGGTCCACACCATGACCTAAGAACATACCAGGAAACATATTCTGGTGGGCTCATCCAGGCTTTCCAGAGGGTCTAGCTTTTTCTGCTCTGGCTCACTCGGGCTGCTGATGGTCCGTTCCACCTCCTCCTCTTGGTCCCCTCGCTCATCTGACTCCAAGTCTCCATGCTCAGCCAAAGTGTTGATCTCCTTTTTTGAGGAGTACAGCATGATGGACAAGATCTACACCGAAAGAAAATCAGGCAGGGCAGCAAGGTGAGTGTTTGGTGGATGAGAAGATTACCCAGAACCTTAATCCTTAAAGGGTAGAAAATATTTGACCTAACTTTTTAAAAGATGTCAGGATTCACAAGAAGAATGTATAATTAAAAAAGAAACAAAAAAAAAAAACATGTTCAATTGTACTTGTAATCAAAGAAATGCTAACTAAAACTATGAGGGAACTTTGTTTATTAACTATGCCACTGACCATGTAAATTGATATCAATTAGAATGCATGTTGGTGAATTGAGATAATCTGATGGCCATTTTTCTAAGTTGCTAGTTTTCATAATACCATTTTTTAAAATATATATTTTATTGATTTTTTTTTTTTACAGAGAGGAAAGGAGAGAAGGGATAGTTAGAAACATAGATGAGAGAGAAACATTGATCAGCTGCCTCTTGCACACCCCCTACTGGGGATGTGCCCGCAACCAAGGTACATGCCCTTGACCAGAATCGAACCTGGGACTTCTCTATCCACTGAGCCAAACCGGTTTCGGCCTAATACCATTTTTAATGGTTGCAATATGGTATGTAAAGATAGACTGTTATTTACATAAAGAGCTATAAAAATGTTTAGTTTCTGACCAGTAACTCATCTTTGAAGAACAATGTAAAATATGTTAAAAGTCATATTCATGATATAGCCAAGGAAAGGAAGCATTAATGGCAAAAATCTGAAATCTACCTTCACATATCATATGCAGCCATTAAAAATTGTGATTATGAAAACTAGCAACTTAGAAAAATGGCCATGATATGATTTCAATTTATTTATATACCATGCTCATTTTGCAATCTAAATCTATCTATCTATCTATCTATCTATCTATCTATCTATCTATCTATCATAGATACAGAAGAAAAAAACAGGTAGCTGAGTTTTCTATTTTTCAAATTTTCTGCAATATGTGCCGAAACCGGTTTGGCTCAGTGGTAGAGCGTTGGTCTGCGGACTGAGGGTTCCCAGGTTCGATTCCGGTCAAGGGCATGTACATTGGTTGCGGGCACATCCCCGGTAGGGGGTGTGCAGGAGGCAGCTGATCGATGACTCTCTCTCATCGGAGTTTCTAGCTCTCTATCTCTCTCCCTTCCTCTCTGTAAAAATCAATAAAAATATATATATATTAAAAAAAATATTTTCTGCAGTATGGTTCTATTGTTTGAATAATAAAAAAGTTTAACTTAAAATATTTCCTAGGAACAAGAGCTCACATGCTCTCCAGGTTATCCAATAATATGTTCCAGCACAGTGGCAACTACGAGCTGTTTCTTCAAGTTCAGGTCTCTGTGGGCTGAGCAAGGGCACTGACCACCTCTCACGTAGCAGCAGCCCTTCCTGGACCTGAAGCTGACACTTGGTACAGAAACTCCACAGGGAACTATAAAAATGCTATTAAGAATAACCTAAAACCTCTGGGGAATAGTAATAAAATGAGAATATCAACTAACATCCTACAAAAAATAAAAGTGAGGACCAATTTAGAAACTCATCTTAGCTCGAAGGTACTTTAAAGGGAAATAATAATTAAGGGAACACTTTATTACCATGATATAATGTTTCCATACAAAATACTTCTCTCCCAGTGTTCTTTAAACAAACATCAGGTTCATTTTCCCTGACAGGGGAGGACAGGTGTCCTATTTAAAAAGGGAAGACAAATACAAGACGCAGTTTTACAGCCGCACAGAGTGAGAGGGCCCTGGGAAGAACTAGCTATAACTGACGACTCTAACTCCCAGCCAGGAAATCTGCAGCAGGTGGCAGTAGGTGGAGCCACCCTCATCCCTTACTTCCAGGTCTCGGAGGAGCCACGTTTTACTGAAACCAGTCCCTTTGCTGCACTTTTTCACCAGGAGCTTCAGCAAATCAGTCTGAAGGAAGGTAGCATGAGTCTCTTCAAAATCATGAGCCTGCCAAACAGAAAAAGAATGATTTGAAACTGCCTCAGAATGAAGAAGTAAGAATCACTAGCCTTCAGAACCCAGTCTCAACTAGTGGCCCAAGGTCATTCTTAAGTGAAGAATCAGCAGGAAGAATGAAGTCTGGATGTTAGCCATACCTATGTCTGTTCATTCATTCAACAAATATTCTGAAGCCTAATACATCCCGTGTGCTAAGTCCTGTGCTAACAACAGAAGTTTTTTGTCCCTCTCCTGCTTGCTACCTTCCAAAAGCTTCCCGCTGCTCTTTAAACTAAAGAGCTGACAAGGACCTCTAGGATCCCTGCCTGCTTCTTCGGTCTCATCTGCGTCTTCTATACTATCCCGAATCCCTGGAGGTGTTCTGCTTCCGGACGACCATGCCTGTTCCTGGAGTTTGCCACTCTCCCAGCATGTAACACCCCACCCAGATTCTTATCTATCGCCTCAAATTTCATCTTCTCAGAAAGGCTTTTTCTGACTCATGATAGTTTTCCTTGCAGGCTCTTTGTTGTCTCTCTTGAAGTTTAGACTGTAAGCTCCATGAGATCAGGGACCTTCTTTCTAGTCCAAAACTACATACTCAGTTCTATCAGGCACTGAATGAAGTATTCAAAAACAGAAATGGTCTCTGCCCTCAGGGAGTTTATGTTCTCTCACCTACTATAATGCAAACAACTAAAACCTCAGCAGATTGTGATAAATGTTACTATATCAACAAGCAGTGGATGCACAGTGTCAACCCTAAAACTACAAATTCTCAGGCTGGGCCAGAGCAGACACGCTCTCCAATCCAGTCTCTCCATGGCTTCCTTGCCAGTGCTGCCAAAGTTAAGGAACAAATTTTTAAATGAAATCCTTGTTTTATGGTTAATTCTGTTGGGAAGATTATCCTAAAGTGACCCCTTCCTCCCCATCCCTGCCCCTCAGAGAGCAGAAGAACTATGTTCCCCATAAGTCAAGGCTTCTCATCTCCACACCAACTACTGCCCAGCTCTTTAACTTGTCTGCCTCCTCCCACCCCAACTGACAAATTTATTGCTTAAAGATCCCATGGGATGCTTGCCCCTTTATTCTTCCCTTCTTCTTATCCCATGATGAACCGGAAGCTATGGTTCAGAGGGAAGTGAAAAAACATTCCGTCCATTTTTCTTCTCATCTTCCAAGGTTCTGTGCCATTAGGCAGTGGTCCCATAAAAAGTACTGAAAAACTACAGAAAACCAACTATCAGGAAACCTCTGTTTCTGCTTTAAAGCTATCCTTGTGCAAGGCCCCAACCATTTCTAAAAGTAATCAAAATCCTACAGGTAAGCCTCCATTGAAACCAGATGGCATCTCTTCCCACTTAATGCCCTGCAGATGTTAAATCACAGCCTGATTCAGTAGCAAATGGGAGAAGCTCACGATACCTTTAGTGTTTTATATAATCCTTTGAGGGCCAGGGACAGGACCCAAGTTGCTTCCACGGCCTCAGGACAATGGCTGTCCATGCTGGTTTGCAGAAGGTGACTGGCGATAAAGGCAAAGTGCTGGGAATACTGGCTCAAGTGGGCCTGAGAGTCACTGCATTCCTGTCCTCCTCCTTTCTGGGCCAACTGGTAGTCCTTCACTGAAGGGTGATGTCAGGCAGGAAAAGAAGGCATCGAAAGTACAGTTAATGCCTCCTGCAGCTAAGTTTCTTCCCCAGTAGTGTGCCTTATGGAACCAAGAAATGCAAACCCCCAAAAATCTCCCTGTTTCCAACTTAGCTGTTATATTTAAGGCCAGCTTGCAGGGGAGCACAAAAATGGTACCGGGCCACCTATTCACCAAGCAACTGAAAGAGGAAATTAATGCTCCTATTACTGTGCACAAACAAGTTTCCTCCAAAAGACAGCAAAGGTTGTTAAACGTTCTTAAATATAGTACACAAGAGACTTCCACTTCCAAGCAAGACTAAGGGATCGGATTTATTCTTCTATCTTCAATAAACAGAACACTGAAAATATATGAAACAATGATTTGCAGACATCGGACAACAGGTATTACAAGACTACAAGACTATTATCCCTGAAAGAAGAAACAAAACCAGTAATTCTGGCCATCCTATATAATAAAAGCCTAATATGCAAGTTGGCCCATTGGGAGGTGGTTCGACTGGGAAACCAGGAGTTCGACCGCTCGCTATGATGTGTGCTGACCACCAGGTGGTGGCGTGGAACATAGTGGGCGTTGGCGACATGCTGAGAGCTCTCGCTGGCTACCTGGGGGCAAGGGTGATGGGGACGGCGGTGTGGTGAGTATGCAGGTTGTCAACCAAGCTCATCCTCACTCCCGCTGCTCCCCTGCCCGGGGATGCCAGGGCTTGTGTACCAGGGAAGCCCTCCTGCTCAGGCACCTACCCCATATCCACGCAACCGCTTCCAGGTGAGCCACTGGGACCACCTGATCGACCTTCCCGTGGGTTTGCATAGGAACTGGTCTGAGAGGCTGGCCGGGAGAGAGTGTGCTGCCTGCCCAGCTTCCATGCGAAACCAATGGATGGCAGAGGCCCATGCTGCACCCAGGACCACAGTGTCTGGCCGCGCTCACCACATCTCCATGTGGGGACTTGGGTGCCATGACTCAGGCTTGGGGGCCCAGGTGCTTCCCAGGGCCCAGGTGCTTCCCAAAGCCCAGAGGTCAGCTGGGACCTGCCCTTCCATGCCAGATGCTCATGCTTCAATTGCCTGCCAGGCCTAGGGAATGCACCTGTGCATGAATTCTGTGCACCAGGACTCTAGTCTAAAGATAATTTCCAGGCTGTGGAGCAAGGAGTGAAAATCCAAGGAGAGTCTCAATGAACTGAGGAGATAGATGTCAGTATTCAAGAAAATCAAGGCAGCTAGAATTATGGGGCAGAACATCACAGAGAAGGGAGATAAAGAGAAAGAGGAAGAGGGAGGAAGAAAGGAGGAGAGAAAAAGAGGGAGGGAGGGAGAGAGAGAAAGAAAAATAGAAAGAGAGAGATTGAGATTTTCTCAGAAGTCTGGCTAAGTACTAATCTGCACAAATGTGAAAGAAAATTATATAGGAAACAACTTGGTTTTTTTTTTAAAGTCTACCAAAAAACAATAGGCAAAACAATTCTTGAAACTCAGGGAACGCTGAGAGTATTCTGTCTTCCCATGAGTGAGAGTGGGAATATTCCTAGAGGGGGCAAAAAAGCTATTTGAAGATATAATGATTAAAATGTTTCCAAATTTGATGAAAACTATAAATCCACAAAGCTAGAGGTTCAATAAATCCCCAAGCTGAAGAAACAAAGAAAATCATGCCAGGGTACAACATAAAGTGCTAAAAACCACCAGGTGGTGTGGGTCAGTGGTTGAACACTGACCTATGAACCAGGAAGTCATGGTTTGATCCAGTCAGGATAATTTTTCTCTCTTATTACTGATGTTTCTATCTCTCTCCCCCTCTCCCTTCCTCTCTCTGAAATCAATAAAAATATTTTTAAAATGCTAAAAACCAGTGATTCAGAGAAAAATCTTAAAAGCAATCAGAGAAAAAAAGACATATTATGGCAATAACTTGCCACCAAAAGGGATCCCCTCCTTTGGAGGAAAAGGAGAGCAAAAGGCCCCGCAGCTTTCACCACCAAGGACCCAAGCAGCCCTCGTGGCTCTCAGAGGCACCCAAAGCTTTTGTCTCCAAGAACTCCCTCAGTCTTTGCCTATGTTAACCTCAGCTGATGGAGCTGCCCAGAATCCAGGCCACTGAGCCCAATGCTGCAACCCCAGCCACAGCAGCCCTGGCCCAGCCCATGAACACCTAAACCCTTGATGACTAGATATGAATAAAATGGGCATAGATGGGGTTCAAGCAAAGATTTTAACATAGTACTACACAAGGTGGTGCAGGCCAAAAGGACCCCAAATAAGAGCCCCAAACAAATCTGCTTTATTTATCCTGGTTTGGAGACATTTTGAAAACCAAGATTCAAAGATTATAATGAGAAATCTGACCTGTGCCATATGCGCGTGCGCGCGCAAACACACATACACACACGCGCGCGCACACACACACACACACACGACACACTATGAAGAGTAACAGAAAATGACAGCAAATTTTTGGCATAAACTATGCAAACCAAAAGAAAATGGATCAATATCTTTAAAATATTAAAAGAAAACCCAGGCCCGGAGCAGCAGCTGCCAGGCTGGAAGCGGCCAGGCCCGGAGCAGCCGGGTCGGGTGCGGCCAGGCCCGGAGCAGCAGCTGCCAGGCTGGAGCGGTCAGGCCTGGAGCGGCTGGGCCTGGAGCAGCATCAGCCAAGTCCAGAGCAACTAGGTCGGGAGCGGCAGTGACCAGACCCGGAGCAGCTGGTTGTGGAACGAACCAGAGCAACAGAGGCCAGGCCCGGAGCAGCCAGGCCCGGAACAGCTTGCTCCTCGCCTGCCTCTGCCCCACGGCTGCCTCTCAGACATGGCTGGAAACTTTTGTGGGAACGTGAGGGTCTGCTGAATCAAGTGATGAAGGCTTGGATCTGGATGTGTTGAGTTAGTATAGCGCTGGGGTGTTGATCTGTGAGTGCCTTGGGTGGGGCCTGGATGAGGCTGGTTGACCTATTTGGAAATGTCTTTTGTGTGAAGTGTACCATTGGGCATGTGGAGGTATTGTTGATATGAGAAAATGCTAAGTAACTGATTTACTATCTGAAAAGGGATTTACTATCGGGGAAAGGGAGGGAGGAAGAGACTGAACATAAACTGTACACCTATGGATGAGGACAATGGGGGATGGGGAGGGGACGGAGGGTGGGGTGGGAACCTGGTGGAGGGGGGAAGAAATGAGGAACCTTTGTAATAATATGAACAATAAAGATTGATTTTAAAAAAATAAAATATTAAAAGAAAACCTCTCAGCAAGCATGTTTTGCTCAATAAAATTATCTCTCAAATATAAAGTCAAAATAAATATTTCTTTGATTTGGTAGGACAAACCAAAACAAAGATTTTGTAGCAGCAGACTTTAACTACAAGAAATGTTAAGGGAAGTTTACCAGGCCAAAGAAAAAAAATACCAGATGGAAATTTGAACCTACACAAAGGAATGAAGAGCACCAGGAATGGTAGGTAAACATGTGGCTAAACATGAAAAATATTGTTTTCTCATTTCTAAATGTCTTTCAAAGTGTCTGACTTTAAAAAAAAAAATAATGTATTGGTAGGTTTATGTCATGTAGAAGTAAAATTTGTGACAACGGTAGCACAAAGGATGGGGGATAAAAATATAAAATCTATGTGTCTTCACTATACATGAAGTGGTATAATATTATTTGAAGGCAGACTATGACGAGTCAAGGGTGAACATAATTCAACCACTAAAAAATTATTTGAAGGTAAACTATCGTAAATCCTAGAGCAATCACTAAAATAAATAAATAAATAAATAAATAAATAAATAAATAAATAAAGTAAGTTTATATGCCAATAGTAGGGATAAAATGAAATAAATAAATTAAAAAAAAACTCAATCCAGAAGATGAAAAAAAAGGCACAAAGAACAGATGAGACAAATAATTTTAAAAACAGGAAGAGAATAGAGTTAAACTCCACTATCTTGATAACTGCTTTAAATGTAAATGGTCTAAACATCTCAATTAAAAGGCAAGGATTGTCAGAGTGGATTAGAAATGAAGACTATACTATGTGCTATCTATAAGAAATCAACTTTAAATGTAGGCACAGGTAAGTTGAAGTGAAAGGATGGAAAAAGATATGCCATGCAAATGTTAGTAATAATAATAATTTTAAAAAAAGCTAGATAGGTCACATAAATATTAAAGTAGATAGCCAGAACAAGAAATATTATCAGAGATAAAAGGGGACATTCCATAATGAAATGAGTAATAGATATACACATAATTACAGTTGGAAACTTCAACACATTCCTATCTCAGTATTTTAAGGGTAAAAAATCATAAGAACATAGAAGACTTGAACAACACTATCAATTGACTTGACCCAAATACTGTCAAAAGGACACTCCACTAACAACACAAGTACATACATTTTCTTTAAGTGCATATGGAACTTGTTTCAATTTGACCATAAAACGTATGCAGAGATTACACAACTTCCTTCCATTTTTAGAAGAAATAATTATGATTAGGACCTGTTTTCCTTTTACGGGTTTTGACATCAACGATCACGGCCCTGTTTTTCTCAGTGAAGTGCTTCAAGATGATCACATTATGTGGCTCATTGGCATTATCCATATAAACACAGCGGGTCCCCACACAGAGAACCTAGATGAAAGAGAGAGACAGTAAAAGCAAATCAATAGCACAAAGAAACAGGAAAAAGTACTTAATTAAACACAAGTCCAGTTCTTTTGCTGTGTCCTGACTTCAAGAAGCACTCAAGGATGGAGTTCTCATCTCCAAGTCCAGAGCCTGACACATGCCTGGCACAGAACTGGGTTAAGTGCTTGCTGGATAAAGTTGCTATGATTTCACAGTCCTCTTTGTCCCAAACAGTTGAAAGATATGAAGATCAGAAATGAGATCAAAATGAATGCCAAAGTGAAAAATTGTACTTTGAAGTGCTTTGTAATTTACTATATTAGTTACTATTATTCAAAGCCAACTACTGGCTAGCAAAATGAATCAAATGACTAAATTGTTGAAAATGCAAGTTAAACAAATCATCCCATAATTTTAAAAATATATCAATATTATATAAAGGAGATTAAACAACAGGGGGAAAATTCCAAAGATAATACTACAGAGACTTTAATGTGTGTGCTAAAGGCAGAAAGAGGTGGCCAGGCCTTCAGAGGGATATACCTGAGGAAAGCCGACCAGTACTAGCAGGCTGAAGATGTTGGTGTGCTTCAGTTGGAAAGGCAGCTGCTTGATGCAGTGGTCTGTGAAGGTGGCAATGACGTCGCGCCACAATGGGGCACTGTTGAGTGACCGCAGGATCTCTGCCATGGAGCACGCCCAGTCCAAACCCACCCGGCTGGAAGGCAAGAGCTTCATTAGTGCACAAGCTCCAAATTAGACTCAGAAGCATACCAAAGAACCACTCATTAGTGTGTGTGTGTGTATTGATTTCAGAGAGGAAGGAAGAAGGAGTGAGAAACAGAATGATAAGAGAGAATCATTGATTAGCTGCCTTCTGCATGCTCTCCACTGGGGATCAAACCCATAACCTGGGCATGTGCCCTTGACCGGAATTGAACCTGGGATCTTCTAGTCCGCAGGTCAATGCTCTATCCACTGAGCCAAACCAGCTAGGGCTCATTAGTTTAAAAACTACCAGAATAATGCTTTTCATATAATGTAAGTGGGGGGGAGGGGGGTAATCAAGATCTGTTATTTACATATTATCTACAGCTATGGTTTTTTAAATCTCCATAGAAACTTATACACATTTCTGTGCTTGTGCATATTCCTAACAGAAAAAAAGCTTGAAATATGTGTATATATTTTGTTGTTTATTTTTATTTCTTTTTGTTGTTGTTGGAAAGAAGTATATATATATTTTAAAATCTACTTTTTTTTTTTTATGTCTTTATTGATTTTAAAGAGAGGAAAGGAAAGGGGTAGAGAGATAGAAATATCAATGAGAAAGATTGATCGATGCCTCCTGCAAGCCCTCTACCAGGTTCAAGTCAGCAACTAGGGCATGTGCCCAGATGGAATGGAACTGGCGACCTCTTGGTTCATGGATCGACACTCAACTGGGGCATGCAGGGGCAGCAGATCAAGGATTCTTTCTCATCATTGTTTCTATCTCTCTCTCCCTCTCCTTTCCTCTCTAAAAACAATAAAAATATATTAAAACAAAACAAACAAAAAAAACCAGCATCCTTAACATGGTGTGAGCCAGAATAATTTTTAGTCTTCATTTCTGTTTTACAAATTTGGTATTGTGATTGTTAGGTGTATAATGAAAACAGATCTATTTTCTTCATCCCCCTTACTGCTCTTAGGAAAAGCAAACCAACCAGAGAGTTGAAGCAGCAGACAGTGCCCAGACTGAATGAACAGCTGTTTTAATGTGGGTTTTGAGCATAGTTTAATGTCCGATGACAGCTTTGCTAATAAAAGTAACTCTATCCCCACAAAAGATTCCTGGACAACAGCACTGAAGCACACTGATATTAATCAACAGCCAGACCATCGACTTGAAGAAATGAACACCAAGGTAGAGCAGAGGGCGGGTGCCTACCTGTCCAGACACACAGCTCCCAGGCTAAAGAGTAGGTGGGTGGTCTTCCAGCCATCTGGCATAATGGAATTGTCCGCTGCAGCAAATAGGTTGTGTTTGGCTGAGAGGACCTTGATCACTGCAGCATCTACCTCTGATGGCAAAAGGCGGATTATTAACTGGCCAAGGAGACCCAGCGTGAGATGGTAGGTCTCATTCAGGTGGCCTGCGTTGGAGATGACAACCTGGAACATGAGTGGGAGCACGTGCTCCAGGTCTATCAGGGGGACTGTGGGATCCTGCTGAGAGAGGGAGAAAAATCTGTTCAATACAAAATTCACATCAAATCACCAACTAAATACTCTGCTCCCTTCTTGTTTTATTTACAACTGTCCTAGCGCCAAAGGAATTATGCAGTATCTTTCATAAATGGCTTATAAAATACAATCAATTATAAAATACATTTTCAAGTATCATCTTACAACCCTACTTCTAATTTATAACCCTACCCTCAGGAACACACAGATGACTGCTATTAAGAGTTGGTTTTAGTATATGGCTTACAAAACATTTTTCTTCTACGTATAACACCACTGCTCTTTTAAAAAGAAAATCCTATTTGTCTCTTACCAACTTTAAGGGAGGTAACATGGCTGCTAATAAGCCCAGAATCCTCTTCTGGGAACACTCAGCAAACACCTGCTCAGGGCTTGGAGTAACTGCCTTTTCCTCGACGGGCTTCTGAGATGCTGCTCCTGAATTTTCAGCATCTGAGTTGTAAAATACCAAACTTTCAGATTTTGTCAGCTTCTATGTGTGTACAAAGAAGCAAGTAAACCCCTGCATTGCGCCTGTGCTGCTACAGAACAAAGCTGGGACTTGATTTATTTGTTTATTTCCCTCAGAGAATATTATTTTCCATTGTCTTTCTCCCTCTCCCCACCCCTCCACCCCCAGAGAAGAGAGAGGGGGAGAGAGACAGAAACATCAATGATGAGAGAGAACCACTGACCAGCTGCCTCTTGCACACCCCCACTGAGGTCCAAGCCTACAACCCAGGCATGTGCCCTTGACCAGAATCGAACCTAGGACCTTTTAGGCCACAGGCTGACGCTCTGTCCACTGAGCCAAACCAGCTAGGGCTCCATTGCTTTTCAGAGATAGTGGGAGGGAGTGGGGAAGGGATGGGGAGAGTGAGAGAAAAACATTGATGTGGTGAAAGAGATGCCTTGACTGGGAGCAGAGAGCTAACCAGCAATCCAAGTACATGTCCTTGACTAGGAATTAAACCCACAACCCTTTAGTGCATAGGTTAACACTCTAACCACTGAGAACACTGGCCAGGGCCAAAGCTGGGACTTTACAAACTTATTTCTGAACACATATGTTTTGGTCAAGGAGGCCTAATAATTGCCATATTCTCTCTCCCTTACTTTCTGTAACCCACATTCCCCTGGTCCTGCTCTTCTATGCTCACAGTGTTTAACTGCCTTTTAGTATACCATGCCATTGGAATAAAAAGATAGAAACATCAATGAAGAGAGAGAATCACTGACCAGATATCCCCTGCATGCCCCACACTGGAGATCAAGCCCACAACCCAAACATATGCTGTTGACTGGGAATTGAACCATGACCTCCTGGTTCATAGGTCAACGCTCAACCACCTGGTCAGCAGAGGTGTTACCCCTCCCTGCTGACCAGAATCTCATTCCACCTCAAATTACAGTCACCTGCACCTTTGCCTAAACCCTCCCAGACTAAGCTCCACAAGGGCAGGAGCTATGTGTCTGTCTGGCTGGCTTGGTCTCTGTTTCATCCCCAGGGTCTAGCACAGAACATGGCACATACAGGGCACTCAGTAAATTAGGGAATAAACAAGGTAGGAAAGCAGGCAAAGGGAAGGAAAGATGATTTATATTTTAATTTGCTGTTCTTGTTAATCCTCACCTGAGGTTATTTTCCCACTGATTTTTAGAGAAAGTGGAAGGGAGAGGAAGAGACAGAGAAACATCGATGTGAGAGAGAGACATTGATTGGTTGCCTCCTGCACATGCCCTAATCAGGGCTGGGATTAAGCCTGTAACCGAGGCTCATGCCCTTGACCGGAATCGAACCTGAGATCTTTCAGTCCACAGACTGATGCTCTGAGTCAAACTGGCTAGGGTGAAAAGATGACTTTTGAAGTATTATCAGTATCATCTGATACAGAATTAAGAAACCACGCACCTTGGTTTGCTGGCCAATTTTAACTTGTGTTAACCAATAGCTTAGGGGTGAGCATACGTGTATTTTAAGATGAAAGAACTCAAGAGAATGGTCAAATAGTCTTTACCTGAAAGTCCTGTAGGTGTGGCAGCATCAGCAGGAGAGTCTGAAATTTGAGTCTGGCCTGACCCACTTTCATCTGCCTTATTTCTCTGCTTGGGATCCAAAGGTATGCTTTCCTTCTGAACACCACTCTCTCCCTAAAATCAAAATGGTAAGTATAAAAGAATTAAGGTTTCTTACTACAAAAGTTTACTCGTTAATATTACAATATAACTTTTAAAATCATTAATCAGCCCTGGCCAGGTGGCTCAGTTGGTTGGAGCATCATCCTGTACACCAAAAGATTATGGGTTTGATTCCCAGTCAGGGTACATACCTAGGTTTCAGGTTTGATGCCTGGTTGTGGAGCTAATGTGAGGCACCCAATTGCTATTTCTCTCTCATATCTATGTTCTCTCTCTCTCAAAACATATCCTGGGGTGAGGATTTTTAAAAAAAATGTTTAAATCATTAACCAATCAGCCTTCACACACTAAAATAGCTCTGAATTCCATTAGAAAATGTCCTTCATTTCTAATGATAAGTCTATACTCTAAGACAGAAACCACGGTATCAATCCCAACAAACATCTTCCCGATGTCCCCCAGTCAGAGCCTGTAACCCCGTAAGCAGTGGCTCCGTTAAAACCTTTAATACCTCCTATTTGGCTTTCAGAAGCCAAGTATGAAAAGTTCTCTTGGGAAAAAGGAAAAACAAAGGTATAAATTTCCTTTTAGCACACAGCACTGACTTACAACTTTTGAGAATTCCATTTTGGCAAGTAGGCTTGGTAAGGGGCCCTTAGAGTAGCTTCAACAGTTTTCTGGGCTCAGGAGTTTGGTGGTGAGCTGCCCAGATTGGCAGGGTGGCAGCCCTCAGCCTGAATTTCTCCAGGAGTCACTGTGTTACTCCAAAACCACCTGCACTCCCTAGGCCTGCGGGGTGCTTCTCCCTGTTGTCACACAGTTTATACACGGAAAGTAGGTCATATAGGAAGTCTGTGGTGAAGGCACCCCAAGAAGTCTGGGGAGGCCAGGACGCTTTGAATCCAAAAATTGAGTTTTGTACAGCATCAAGTGCCATAAGATGCTGACATCTCCCAGTGGCCAATGCTTATCATTCTCTCTCTAAGATACAGTAACCACAACATCAATCCTACCTCAATCCCCACCGTAGAAAAAGTGATCATAGGATCATCCTAAGAAGGGACAGAGACTGGGAGAGCTATTTGCCTTGTTAAAAAATACCCCCTCTGAAAGTCAGACCTGTAAAGCCATACTCTCTGTACCACGTGGGCCTTTCTAAGAACAACAGAATTCCAAAGCTCTGGCTAATCACTGTACTCTTGATCACAGGACTCCCAAGTGCCACTGCAGTGCACATAAGAAGCACCTAAAAGGAGTCTCATTACTGGCCTGAGGCCCTTGTGGATAAAATCCCCTGGGCGATGCCTCTGGTTGAGGTTGTTTTCTTGGTTGTTTAAAACAAAAGCATTTCTAGTCACTGGAGGGAAATGGGAGGGGAGATACCCTTAATATGGCCTGGAATTGGCTAGAAATACCTGGGAGTTTAAACAAGTGATTTGTACTCAAGGCCCAAATGGGACGTGGTCCTTAGGGACAGCAGTGGAGACATGTAGGTTCTGTTATGGGCAAGTGCTGGAAACAAGCTTTTTAAGAGACTGTGTCAGAAGATGGACACCAAAGGGTGGAGACAATCGACGGAGGGGAAAAAAAATGGCCTAGAAAAAGGCTTATTCCAGTCTCTAGGCAGGGAAAGCCTAAGATAAGCCTGAAATACCTTTTCGCATGAAAAATTAACGACATACTTGCCCTGGCTGGTGTGGTTCAGTGGATAGAGCACTGGCCCAAGCATCGAAGGGTCGAGGGTTCACCAGGGGCCAAAAACTAATCTTTTTAGGTGCATAATCTTTTTCTTTTTTTTAAATATATATTTTATTGATTTTAGAGAGGAAGAGAGATAGAAAGATCCATGATGAGAGAGAATCATTGATCGGCTGCCTCCTGCACGCCCCCTACTGGGGATCAAGCCCAAAACCCAGGCATGTGCCCTTGGCTGGAATCAAATCTGGGACTCTTCAGTCTGCAGGCCCATGCTATAATATCCATTGAGCCAAACCAACCAGGGCTTAGGTGCATAATCTTATTCAATCCTTAAAAAACCACTAGGAGGCAGGTAAGAGGAGTAGTTAGTACTGACATGGAACTACTTGAAGAGTGTTTTAAGCACTTTACATACATTAACTCAATGTACATAATATATATAAATCCTCACAACAACCTTATAGGATAGGTATTATCATCACCACGTTTTACAGATGAGAAAACTGAAGGGAAGAGACTGTGGTAATGTGCCCACGGTCTGATGGAGCAGAGGTCAGAACCCAGATAATCTGAGTCGAGTCCGTGCTCTTAACCTCTCTGTTCTGCCCCTCATGTGAATGGCTCTCTGTTCAACCTGTGCAGTAGAGTCATCACTTACATTGCAGTGCACAAAAGGGCCTGCATCTGCCAGCTCCTCCGCAATCTGGACAGTTTCCTTCTCCGGCTGCTCCTCTGCCGTTTGTGAGGGCACCATGACTGGTGGGGCCTGATTTCCTGGAGTAGCACTACCATCTGGCAATACACCAAGAAGAGCTAGGGCTTTAAGACCTGCATGGAAGCAAATGAGAGAATCGTTAAAAGTTTTATAAAAAGGGTGATTTCCTGCAAATGTCATAAACCACTTTGCTACTTTATAGAAATAAAAGACTGAATTCTCTAAAAACCAAACCAAGGAGTACTCAATACAAACCTCTCTGGCTATCTAAATCGATTCAGCTCTGATTTCATCACACCAAAAGTTTGGATAGTGAGGGATACATGTACTTTATTAACAATAGGTACAATAGGATTGTCTATTTAGAAAACCATCAACAGTAACATACTAAGTAGCCCCACACAACCAGATTTCTAAATTCCCACTGGCAAACAGATAGCAAAATAGCTCTGAAGCACCTGCTTCTTATTACAGGCCTCATTTCCCCAGTGTAGATTAGAATGGGGAGTCCATAACAATGGACACCCCATTAAATGTCTCAGAAGTTTAATATTCATGTTATTTTCTTCTTAGCTCCCCTCAGTAAAGTCAAAATCATCTAGATATTTTATTAGTCACAGCTTTAGTTATAAATAGCTCTCATTTAGAATAGTTGTGTGGGAGTAGATTTGGATTCCAAGTTTAAAAAAAGGCTGAATTCCTTTGGTAAAGTTAAGTCTGATAGATTCAGATACGAAATACTTCATCCACAGATATCAAGAGTTTTAATTATTAATTTATCTTACATCTACATGTACATATGTTTGAGAAATTGCTACTTTTTAAAAATATATATATTTTATTGATTTTTTAGAGAGGAAGGGAGAGCGTTAAGAGCTAGAAACATCGATCAGCTGCCTCTTGCACACGCCCTACTGGGGATGTGCCCGCAACCAATGTACATGCCCTTGATCGGAATCGAACCTGGGACCTTTCAGTCTGCAGACTGACGCTCTATCCACTGAGCCAAACAGGTTTCAGTGAAAAACTGCTCCTTTAATGCCAACATTTCTCTCAAGTGCACCTGAGAATTCAAAGTAAAATTCTGCCTCAGGGTGAGCACCGCTTTGTGGAAAACTGGACTTGATTAGCCTCTGAACAGAGCAGAGTTCCATCTCTGCTGGGCTTTTCTGCCGGAAACGGATCACTGTCAACAACCTTCATTGCTCACTGCTTAGTTGAAATAACTAAGTTGAAATAACTGCTTAGCTGAAGCAACCTCCACCTCTGTTGTCTTATGTAAATCTGTTATTGGAGTTTTCTGCCTAAGGGCTATGGGTGTATCCCATAGTCTCAATAAAAGGGATAGTAAGGCCAGAGCAGCTAGTAGTCCTCCCATTAGAGGTGGGCTCCCGCCTGACCAACAATATCCCCAAATTAATACTTTTCTAGTCTCTTTTCATTTGTGTGTGGCTTTCTTCAGAACCCGAACCCTGAACCACGCGGAATGTGAAAGGGATTCCTACATTTTCCCTTCACAAGCAGCTGAGGGTTGGTTTGGTTTGGCTTCTGCGCATGAGGAGCAATCACCTTTTCCCTGGTGGGCCTTCATGAGACAGTCCCCAACAAGCTGCATGCACTGGCTCCGCAGGGTGACGGCACAGCTGCGGGCCTGGGGATCCAGCTTCTCACCATCCACTTCCTCTGAGCTGGCCAGGTGGGCACTATAGAGAGCCAGGGCGGCAAAGAGCAGCCAGGCATAGTTGTGGATGTAGGGCTGGATGAGCCTCTGTCGGTCACTGCTCCGGATGGTCACCATCGGGTGGGCCGTGATACTGTGGGTAGGCAAATGGCTGCAAAGGCAAGACATTTTTAAGACCTATACCTTTTTGTGAGGCTCCAAAAAGGAGAACAGTGTCTCAGGAAAGCACATGCATGGTCACAAGTGAGCATTCATTACCTCTAAGGCTATGATTATTAAAAATTTAAAGGTAAACATATGTCCTCACCCAGAAAAATGAATAAATACAAACATTGTATATATCATTTCAGGATTTCACAACCCCCAGAAAACTGTCTATGAAAACCAGAAGTTGTAAGAACTCCTTACTGATAAATTTTGTAAGTATAGTTGCAGCATATTGGTAATGTAAGGAAATGCTCATAATTTTCAGAGATAGATATGAAGTATGTAGAAAAGAAATGATTTAAGATCTGTAATGTGCTTGAAAATACTTTAACAATAAAACAAAACAAAGAAAAAGAGGAAGGAACAAGCCAAGCACACAAAGCAAAATCTTCCTAACTGCTGAATCTGGGTAATGGGTATTAAGGTGATTCACTGTACTAGTACTAGTTTATTTACTTGTAGGTATATTTGAAAGTTTTTATAATAAAAGGTTTTTAAATTATAAAAAATAGACAAGGACGGCGAGCAGGACGAAAGTGGCCACAGCTATGACCGTGAAGGCTGTCAGAGCTGCCATGGAGAGACACCGCTGGCTGCCGCTGGAGGCCAACCCTGAGGTCACCCACCAGTTTCTCAAACAATTAGGTCTACATCCTAAATGGCAACTTGTTGATGGATATGGAATGGATCCTGAACTCCTTAGCATGGTACCAAGACCAGTGTGTGCAGTATTTCTTGTTGATGGATATGGAATGGATCCTGAACTCCTTAGCATGGTACCAAGACCAGTGTGTGCAGTATTTCTTCTCTTCCCTATTACAGAAAAGTATGAAGTATTCAGAACAGAAGAAGAGGAAAAAATAAAATCTCAGGGATAAGATGTTAAATCGTCAGTATATTTCATGAAGCAAACAATCAGCAATGCCTGTGGAACAACTGGACTGATCCATGCCAACAATAAGGACAAGATGCATTTTGAATCTGGATCAACCTTGAAACAATTCCTAGAGGAGTCTGTGTCAATGAGCCCTGAAGAACGAGCCAGATATCTGGAGAACTATGATGCTATTCGAGTTACTCATGAGACCAGTGCCCATGAAGGTCAGACTGAGGCACCAAATATAGATGAAAAAGTAGATCTTCATTTTACTGCATTGGTTCACGTAGACGGGCATATCTATGAATTGGATGGACGGAAATCATTTCCAATTAACTATGGTGAAACTAGTGATGAAACATTATTAGAGGAAGATATATAGAAGTTTGTAAGAAATTTATGGAACATGACCCTGATGAATTGAGATTCAAAGCAATTGCTCTTTCTGCAGCATATTAAGTTTGTCATAATGGAAACACCAAGTACTGTATTATTTGCAACAAAAATTTAATTTCTGCTGCCATACACTAACTCAAAAATTTGGATATTTCCATTAACTTGACTGATTAAACTTTATGTGCATTAAAAAAAAAAAAAAGCCAAGGAATACATGAAAAAAAAAAAAAAGTTACAGGGTTAGAGAACATCCGAGACATACCCATAGGAATATTTCTTTGCTGCATAGCATCCATAGCAAAGGTCAAAGTCATCGCACACATTGCAATTCATCCTCCGGCCTATGATCAAACCCTGGCAGTGATTGCAGGTGAACTCCATGTTGACCATTTCATGGTCATCTCCGTGGCCCTCAGGCTTCACCCCACCTGGGGGGAAAAATATCAGTGTGAGGTGGACTGGGCAAAGGGCTCTTATAACAGCTGCTTCCAAACCTAAACCAACCCCAGAAGCAGAGCTATTCCCAATTCACGGGTCAGAACATTAGGAGCCATAGGCATCTCTTGGAGACCAGGCATTCTTCCCAGTGGCTCTGAGCATATAATGAACAATATTCTCCGCACAGAACGTCTTAATGGTACCATGGACTGACTCCCTTTTCCAGCGCAGCAGAGACTGATCAAGTAGATGACCAATTTCCATTATGACCTCTCTGTTTGGTAGAAATAAATCCATGTGCCCATTTGTGAGCTACCTACCATGTCTCCTCCTCTGACAAATATTAAGCATCAACTGGGTACTCCTGGTAATAAGCATTGAGGAGTGACCAGGATTTTGCTCTTACCTTTTCATTTCAGAATCAGAGATTAAAACAGACTTCATAACCCCAGAGTGAGAAAGAATGTTAAAACACAAAAGAGACTGACTAACTGCTCTGGTTTCCTTCCTACTGTAAATCCAGTGGGTCTCCAAACACTGCCGGACTCTACTTACTGCTCCTCACACCTGACCCACTTCTGTTCCCAATGCCACAACCTGAGCCCAGACACGAATCCCCTTGTCACCACTATGATTGACTTCCTAAGGGAAACGCATACGAAGAGAACCACCTGCCTCTAACAGAGCTCTGATCATGTTGATATTCTGCTTGAAAAACCTTCCCTGCTCTCTGTAGACTCATTCAAATTCCTCAGCCTAATACCCCAGGGCCCACAATCTGAACCCCACCTGTCTCAATCCATCACTCAGCTGGACACTTGAGCATGTCTACCTAAGCATGGTACAGATGCTCACTCCTTGGGCACTGGACTTGCTCTGGATGGTGATGCACTCACTCTCCAATGTTTCCTTCATATCACTCAGTTCTAACTTTCTTCAAAGACCAATTCATATTCGCCCTCTTCCACAAGCCTTCCCTACAGCAGTGATCACTACTACTTCTCAATGTTTCCAAATAATCTGTACTTCTCATCTGTAAGTCAGTATGCACACTTTTGTACTAGAGCACAGATGTCCAGTCTCCTTCCAGAGCAGGGGCTGTATCTTTTGCCTCTGGGCCATGTGCACTAAGAGCATTCAACTGCTCCCCACTGTTGGTCTGTTTTACCTCAGCACCTACAAGTCAAGAGTTTAAAGAATTTTTGAAGTTTGCTTTTTGTGTATGTGTATTTTACTACTTCTAAACACTGCATGATTCAAAGGAAAACTAATTTCCTTGAAAGTACATTCATTGGTCCTTAGTATTTATCAAGTGCCTACATCCAGCATGATGAAGGTAACAGAGTTCTGGAACCTACAATTTAGCTGGCGAGATAAGGCTCATATTTGCTAACAAGTCAGAGAATACTACTGGGCAGTATTTTCATTTAGTTACAATGAGAATCTAAAAATGGACAAGATCACAGAAAACAGGAACAATTATTCCTTTTGGGTACAGCGTATTCAGACCCTCGAATTTACCTAGGAAGCAAGTTTTGCAGAGATCCATGTCGCTGCACTGCAGGCACCGGTAGCGATGCCATGGGGCAATCTCATCACATCCATCACAAGAGATGTCCACATTTAACAGGTCACAGTAGCGAGCAATAAACATGTGCATCTGTAAGGTGAAATAAACATAATTATCCAATAGACTTTCTGATATGCCACTATTCATTAATCAATCCATCATAATTAATAGGTACTTAAAATATTCCAGGCATTGTACTAGGTGCTAGGATTAGGAAATGGAGGAGCTCAGTGTCTAGTTAGGAATTCCCCCCAGCAAACAGATGACACCATACAATATAATAAGAGCTTTCATAGGCATTTCAGGAGGCTTAGAGAACAGGGAAGAGGGACATCAATGGGTGTTAGACAATTGAGACAATTCCTCAATTGTGACCTGAGGGACAAACTGGTATGAGCTGGGTGGGGTTAAGGGTGCGAGCATGCCAAATAAAAGCAATAATAAGCTCTATAGGAAGCAAAAGGGAGCTAGACTCAAGAAAGTGGTAAATAGTCAGCATGTAGAATACAGCAGGGATGGCAATAACCAGATAAAGTTAGAAAGGGTAACCACAAAGTGCCTCCAGTGCTAGTCAAAGAGTCACCGACCATTTTAAAATAGAAGGCTAACATGATCAGATTTGAGCATGGTTATTACGTGAAGACTGGATTGAAGGGGACAAGACTGGATAGGGAAACTGATCATAACAGATACTGTTAAAGCAACCCATGACCTTCTGGTTCACAGGGCTGGGTTGAGCAGTAAACGAGACTACAAAAGGTGGGCAGATTTGAAAAGCATTAAGGAGGCAGAAGTAGGATTCTTGGGGACCCACAGGATATAGGGATCAGTAAAAGGGAAAGGTCAAAAACGACATCCAGCCTTCTGGCTTGGGTAGTTGGTTGGACAAGGAAAGTGTTCACAGTCACAGGAAACTGTAAAAGAAGCATTGTTTACTAGCACTTAAAAAGAAAAACCTTCTGGGGAGATAGTAAGGGCACTGTTTCATGAACAAACAAATTGTTTTACTGGAAAGTAACTAGAGGCTACAGTACAGTTTATCTTTATAGCTTAGAGATAAGGGAAATAAGTCACTGTCACCATACAGTAGTAGTTCAGAGCAAATATGCCAAGTCACTCTAGAATAGGGGTGTCGAACTCAATCAGAGAAGGGGCCAAAATCTAAAATCCAGCCTAAATCGCGGGCCGAATGGTTTACTGAACAGTCATAAACTGTCATTGTGATGGAAACGCAGCGGAGTGCAATGATGACAGCGCGGTGCGGGCCACATTGCAAGGCCTGGCGGGACGGATTTGGCCCGCGGGCCTTGTGTTTGATACATGTGCTCTAGAACAACAGAACTATCCAGAGAAAATCGCAAAGGCCAAGTTGATGTGCTCCATTCAAGCACCACAGAAGTGCTAATATGAGCAAAGTAACTGGCACATAGTAGGCATACAACACTAAGAAAACCAATGAGTCTGAGGCAGCAGATGCCTGGCACAATGAGGTGGTGACAGATTAACACCTAGTGTGGAGAGATGGACATGCAGTTATCTGAGCCTAGTGCTTTTACACATCTGAATCATGTCATTCTGATTCCATATCCACATGGCTGCTTCCATGCTCACCAGGCAACCTGATTGAAACGTGGCTTCCCATGTTGCTTGCCTACAGGAGAGGTCAGGGCCTTCAGCAATTCCATCTCTCACTGTAAATAAATTGGCCTCAGGAGCCCCTTTTCTGTGAGTCTAGTTCTATGGGAAAGAGCCACTCCCTGAGTGTGGTCAAGTCAGTATCCAGGGCCCCTCAGGTAAAGACCACACTCGGCAAGTGGTCACCAACCCTTCGGACCTCACAGACCACAGGCTGGCGACTGCTGCTCCAAAGGTTTCCTTAAACCAGCCGTCGCTAACCTTTCGGACCTCACGGACCACTAGTGGTCCAGTGGCTACCAGTTGGCAAACGCTGCACTAAGGTACTGCCTGCCCCATGAGCCCTCTCAGGAGACAGCCTGCTGCACTCCCCCAGGCAGACTGGCCTCTCCAAACTCCTAGCAAATCACTTTAGATTACTCTAGTTGAAATGTCTTACTTTCCTCTGCTTCTCTGGATCTTCCTGGGCTATTTTTTCATACCAGGTCTCAAACATGCCATCTTGACACTCATCCATCCATTCTGAATTCTGCTTGGCATCAGCTAGCTCATCTTCTTCACTCCATTGGCTGAAAGAAGAACAAAAAGAGAGAAAAGCATGCCTCTTCCAACAATCCTAGAAAGTGCTGGTTAGCAGACTGTGTCCCATGGGTCTAAAACATGGGGTATTTTTAAACTCGGGGGAAGAGGTCAATTTGCTTTTCAAAATCCCAAGATTTTCCAGATGCTTGATAAATATACATCAATAAAAAGAGAGCTGCCCTTTCCAGGGCAGACTACAATGGCTGAAGAACTAGAACTAGAACTAAAAGGTTACACCTATAAGGCATAATTCTACTTGACAACCAACTATGTGCCAGGCACTGGAGCCAAATGAAGTGATTTTCTTAAAAAGTCTTATTTGGTCATGCTCAGCACATCCTAGTGGGATCAGAATGAGAAAGAAATAAGGAGACCCTGTGCTTCAACTCTCCCACTAGCTGCTGCAAGATCTTAATGTATTCAGCTTGGTCCTCAGTTGCCTCATTTCAAATAGAAATTCATACAGAAATTCATGGGCCCTTTAGTTGCAAAATTGTAAATATCCATCATTTCAGTTTAGTTTGTTTTAGTTACCATAATTTTAAATACAAAATGATTTGCTCAACAGAAATGCAAAATAAATTACCAGCCAACAAATACAAATTTGTCCATTCACGTGTTCCAACAAAGTAACGTAAGTCCTGCTCAAACTGAGCTCTGAGCTAGGTGCTATCAGGGGCTGGGAGGCCAAATGTAGTCCCACCCAAGGACTCATCACGTAGGTGCAGACAAAGCCTGAAACAATGAGCATACTGCCAGGTAAGGCCCCTGTGCTGTGTCCCCTCTCTCAGCCAAGAGCACCCTCTGACAGCAGAGCCATGGCTGAGGTTTGGTAAACAGTGACAGCTTGAATTCTATCTCCTTTTCCAAGAGTATCTCTTCTGAAAGAACTGTTCTGGTGTTAACACAGTCATTTATTTCCTCTAATTCTCTCCTCTTGCTTTTCTTCTCCCATTCTCTTCTCATTTGTTTTCTACCCATTTGAATGCTTAATGGGTAGCTTGAGCAGTGTGGAAAGACATTCATTAAAAGTGGAAAGGAAAAAAACCCTTCACAAACTATATTTTTTTCCTCATGCTTTAAGTCCTTTTAATGTGCAAGATGTTATAGTGGCTAAGACCACATATACATCTAACAAAAAATATAGAAAAGAATCCTTCAATTTTTAAGGAGCTATACTATTCTAAAAATGCAGAGGATCCTCATCCTCTGGGAGTACAACACAACCACCACCAACTAGCTTACATACACGACCATGTACCAGGCACTGGTCCAACTCATTTATTCCTCACAACAATCCTGTGAGGTAGGTGCCATTACTATATCCAGCTCTAAACATGAGGAAACTGAGGTACAGGGTGACTAACTTGCCCAAGGTCACCAACATGTAGCAAGGCCAGGATATTGCACAGAGAGCCCAGCTCCAGAGTCCATGCTCTGAACGCCTATGCTACATGCAATCCCTGTACTTCACACTCACTTCTAAGAACTGCAGTGTGGGGCTGTGCTCTTACCTGATCACACTGTCATGGACACTTATATTTTCTTGTGACATTTTCATGAGGAGATCTGGTAACTGAATGTCAACAAAGAAGGTGAGATCACTGGGTTCCCAGCCCATATCCAAGAGATGGAGTAGAGCTGTCTGAACACAGGATAAGGCAGGCAGCAAGGACCTAAAGAGGCCGTAAAAGTGAAAGTTACCAAAGTTGCGCATCACCAACAGAGACAACAGACACAAAGGCAGGGAGCTGGTCTGATTGAAGTGGAAAGCACAGGGGAACTACAGACTGGTGGCCTGGATTCCTTATCGTCACCTCTCAAGTTCTCATATTCCATACGAACCTGAGTTCTAAAAGCACAGAGTAAAATTTCCATTCTGCCAGGACTACCATAGGAGACATTTAATGAATGGTAAAAGACTGACTAATAAAAATCACCTTTCAATAAATAGCAAGAGTAGGGCCAGCCCCAACTTAGATTATGCAACTTAAATGTATAGAAGAACCATTGATTTAAGGTTTATGTCCAAACCACTTACTATGGAGAAGACTGGGGTGTGGCCTTATTATTTGTTTTAAAACTGTACACAATATAAGAAAAACTAAAAATAACAAGTTACAAATTCTTAGATAAACCAAGACCCATCCCCTTTAACAATTGTACACCCCATATAGAATAAAAGCTGGGAGAAATATACTAATAAAGTGAACATTAGCAATTAGTTCTAGATGGTAAGATTAGGGGTTATTTTCACTTTACTCTTTGTACTTTTCTACATTTTCAACACTGATTTTAAATTCAGAAAAAGTATAAATAATTTTCCTCAGAAAAGACAAAGTTATCCAGTACCTGTCATTTATGCTACTAAATCCTTTAATTGCTTTGACCATAAAGAGGACAAATCGATAGTAAGTGTCTCGAATTTCTTTGTGTAGAGCTGCACCACAGCCTTCCAAGTGTCCAAAATAACTAGAAATAGAGGAAATCATTGATCACTTAATTGTCAAAGCATCATTTACTTAATAATTTTACATGAAAAAGAGCTAAGAAGAAGCAAACAATGAAGTGGCACAGAAACGTAAGTATATACAAATATAATAACTTCAGAAAATAAGAGACAAAACAGCAATGAGTCCATCTGCCTGGGTCAAAGGGCTGCCACAGGAGTAAGGAAACACAATTAATCTTCCTTTGCTAATGTAAGAACCACCTTCCCACCACTACCTGAATGCCACATACTGTGTCAGCTATTTTTCACAAATCACCTCCTTTTATCCTCTCCACGGAGCAGTGCCCACCCTTTAGCTTCCCTCCATTGATGCGTTAGCACCAAGCTCACTGTCTTTGCTCCCTTGATTCTTGTCACCTCGGAGAATTCAACATCCATGGGCATGCTGCCCCGTCCCTCTGTCCCTGGTTTCTCTGCCATCGCCACCTCCAGTGATCTTCTCTATCCCGTTGGCCAGCCCCGCCTGATGATCACTTCCTTGACCTTGTCACCACGCTAATGGTATTATCTCTGAAATCCTCACTTCACAGCATCCTACTCTGACCACAACCTCTCATCCTGCTTACCTGCTCTGGGACTCCCACACAGCATTTTCAATCCCAGGAAGCCCCACCACGATGCTGTCTCATGCTCACTATCTACTATTCCCACCATGCTTGCTTGCTTTTTGTTCCATATGCAGCTTAAGATCCAATGACCAATCACACCTTAGCAATCACCAACTCCCTTGCTTTTTTCTCCCTCCATATACTTGTGTAAGAAATCTTACACCAAATCAAAACAGCTAAGTGATGCCATGTCCACTGCTGTATGTATGTATATACAACACCTGGAACAGCACCTGGCACAGTCGACACTCAGAAAGTATTTACTGTGTACATATTAGCAAAACCTGGTGAGGTACTTAGATCAGTATCATTACTGGAAAGGAGCATTACATTGATTTCAGTTTCCAGGAGCCAAATAATGAGCACAAGGAAATGGCAATATAATCTTCACTGTCTGGTAAAAATTATTTCTCATCAGGAGAAATAAACACGTTCCTGGTATTTCTTACTAAAAGGACAGAACTCAAATTCCCTTAGGATGAGAGAACTGACCAAAAACATAATTTCTTACATAGAAATGACAGAATTATTAATTAGAGGAGAAGAAGATTTCTTTAAACAACCCCTGCTCACTTTCTTTGAAGACTTGAAGTTTGTACTTACTTGGTGAACTCTTTCTGGCACGTCAGAAGTTCCAACAGGAAAAGTATAAAAGGTGGATGGAAGCAATGCGGCTGCCCCAGGGCTTCTGCACAATACTGAATGATCCTCAGGACTTCAAGGATGCTCTGGGCTTGGGCTTTTCTCAAGGAAAGAACCTTTACAACACTGGAGACAGAACTCAAGTCAGGAACACCCAGAAAACTCTTGAGCTGGGACAGAAAGAAAACACACCCCAGCCCAAGTTCTGATGCCATATTAATACAAGGGAAATAGCATTGTGAGGTATCAGAAATATCACTCAGGCAGGATATCAGTATCTGTTTGCTACTTTTAGTCCAACATTGCAGATCAGTTGACACCGTCCAGAAGCCCAATAACCCATACAAAAAAATTAATTAAAAAGGAACCTCGGTACATCTTTACTTCCCCATAGAGACAAAGCCTTCATTCTTAGGATAGGAAATTAAAACATAAAATACTTCCAGAGATGTTGGCCCACTGACAAATAATTTTGACAGAAAATATCAAATTCGAATTTCTCCCAGGGTTAAAATAAGGCAAATTTATAAATATCAACTACCAAAATAAACGTTTCTTTTCTTATCCTAACAGTACATTATTCATTATTGAGATATAATTTATATACAATACAAATCTTGAGTGAAAAAATACTTGTTGAAAAGAAAAACATTTACCAATTTTTTTTAACATTCTAAAACCAATCTTGATCTATCCTTCAAGCATTACTTGCTCATTTTTAACATGAACTTCAGGCCTTTGAATAGACTAGTTACCTATGGCTTGAAAAAAGAAAGTGCTAGAAAGGTCATGCCTGGCTCACCTCTCGTGGGAGAGTGACTGATCTTTAATGAAGTCCATGACATCCCTCAGCACAGGGTACTTCTCTTTCACTGTGGGCACTGGTCTGGCCTCCTCCATGGACCGGAAGGAGAGCAGCCGGAGTCGCCCTCGGGTGAAGGGGGGCCGCCGAGTGGGGGTGGAAGGTGAAGAGGGCTCTTCGGCTGTGGCAGAAGACACCTCTGTGGCAGGAGGGCCACTGCTGGGTGGCAGCTTCGGCTGGAGGTCCAAGCCAGGACTCCTTTCTCCCGCAGCAGGGGGCGCTGTGTCCGTGGGAGCAGCAGGGGGCGCTGTGTCCGTGGGAGATGCCGAGGCCTGGAAATGCTCTTCCACCACAGAGCTTGTCCTCTGGCGCTTGTCAAGTGGCTGCAGATGGTGATCAGGTTCATCTGTAGTCACCAACTTGTCACAGCTTTCTTTTGAACTCATACTCATGGACAAAAATTTTAGTAACAGAAGACTCTTCTGAATACATTCTTTTGCTACATGCAAAAAATAAGAAAGACCATGGGGAAAAAGTCAAAATTAAATTGTCGCCTAGTTTTAGAGAGAAAATGACCTATTTAAACTCTACAATTTAGGACAAGAAATACCTCCATTATTACAGTGATAAAACATATTTATTAACAGAGTAGAATCAAATTTTATCTAATTATATAAACCAAAATCTTCCCAACACTATTAGCACACTTGAAAAAGTTTTATTATATATAATTTCAGGCATATATATGTATGTATGTGTGTGTGTGTATGTGTTTATATATATATATATATATATATATATATGAAGAGGGAGGAAGGGAGGGAGGGAGGGAGGGAGGAAGGGGGAGGGAGAGAGTGAGAGAACAGTATAAAATTCCTTCCTGTATCCCTTACCTAGCTTTAATAGTTAACAACCCAAGGCCCATCTAGTTTCACCCACTCCCCAATGCCATGTAGATTGCAGGCATAACATTATTTCAACTTCAAAAACTTTGGTATATTTTTCTTTAAAAAATGAGTTAAAAAACTAACAAACATGATAGCATTTTAAAAATTAATAGTAATTCCTAATTTCACTAAATATTCAATGTCAGCACACTTTCTTTTCTTTTTTTTAAGTTTTTGACTTTAGAGAGATGGAGAGAGAGAAACATTGGTCAGCTGCCTCCTACAGGCCCCTTACTGGGGATCAAGCCTGCAATCTGGGCATGTGCCCTGACCAGAAATCAAACCGATGATCTTTTGGTGCATGTGATGGCAATCAACCAACTGAGCCACCAGCCAGGGCTTTCTTTTTTTTTAATCCCCACCTGAAGATATGTTTTTATTGACTTTTAGAGAGAGAGGAAGGGGGGGAGAGAGACATACACATTGATGTGAGAGAGAAACATCAATCAGTTGCCTCTTGTATCCACCCCAACCAGAGATCAAACCTGAAACTTAGGTATGTGCCCTGACCTGGAATTGAACCCACAATCTTTTGGTGTACAGGACGACACTCAACTAACTGACCTACTGACCAGGGCTCAATGTCTACCTGGCCAGAGCTCAATGTCAGCACACTGTCAAAACGTAACAAGATGTAGTTCCAAAAGCCTCCTAAGAGAAATAATTAGAAAGAAATAAAAAAGAAAGTTTCTACATCCTTGGAAACTACACTTAGCACCTGTATTACATTCCCTAGGTCAGCACAGCTTTTTTTAAATTGATTTTTTTATAGAGAGGAAGAGAGAGGGATATAGAGTTAGAAACATCGATGAGAGAGAAACATCGATTAGCTGCCTCTTGCACACCCCCTACTAGGGATGTGCCCGCAACCAAGGTACATGCCCTTGACCGGAATCGAACCCGGGACCTTTCAGTCCACAGGCCGATGCTCTATCCACTGAGCCAAACTGGTCTCAGCGAGCACAGCTTCAATGAAACTAATATAGAAGACAGGTCTCTGGTTTTCTATAAAATGCAAACAGAAGGCCCAATAATGACTGGAATCAGCACACTCACCCAGGCTCTCAGGGTTTGCCTCAGCAGCTTCTGACCCACGTTTTTCTTCTGCCTCATTCCCCAGGTTCACCAGGGACTTCTGCTTTATCTCCATCTGAGGGAAGGATTTGAGACACATAATTAGGCTGTCCAGACACAGCCACAGGGCAGTCACAGCAAATTACTTCAAAAGCGCACAGGGCTGAGATCATGGAGAGCTTTATAGTTATTGTTCAGCTAATGAGGACACAGGACTAAAACATTATTGTTCATCCTAGAAGTAACCCAGGCTGTGAAGGTGTCTTAAGGTAAACCCACAAAACTACCTTCAACTATTTGAGAGGAGTTTGTACCCATGGCCCTATTGTTTAAAAAACTCTAGAACACTGGAGGTGGAGAGGGAACTATCTAAGGCTGATCTAGGACAGATGAAGAAGTGAAGGTCCAGAAAAATGAAGTATCTTGCAAGGGTTATACGCTTGGTTTGCTGCAAGAGGTTAGACAAAAACTTGATCTCTATTCTACCCTGAATGAGGGGATACCTCTAAGTGATGCCTAGACTGTCAGGCAATGGTCACAATATGATCACAGTACTAACATCCCAGGCAGAAGGCCATGTGTGATTTACGAGAGGGCAAAGTCTTGGAGAGAAAGCTGCCATCTTTTACAGGATGTCAGCATCCTGTAAAAGGCTAAACCAGAAGCACAATCTACAATGTGCCTCATCACCTGCCAAATCTTTTTTACTTGAACTGTTATGTGGTAGCTGACTGCAGCATACTCTCTTTTTCCTAAACTGCTACTAATGCCATGGTTTTTCGGTCAAATCTTCTGATTTTCCTTTTGCCATTCTGATGATGATACCTTTAAGTTTCTTTTAAGAGATTCTGTTCATTTTGGCTTCCATCTATCTATCCAGTACTTTTGGGCACCACGTATGTTCTGATCATTGTGGATTCTGTCCAACGCTGTGTGTTCCTGGACAAACTCATATTTTAAAGAAAAACTATTACCAATGATTTGCAGATTCCCTATCTCAACTTTGACATGTCTGTGATGCATCAGCCATTTAGGTTCTTTCATGTTTATTAAATTCTCCAGCTAGAGGTCTCTGATAACCTAGATGTCCTCATACTCAACATGAACCAAAGTGAACTCTCCTGCCCACTCTCAGATCCAAGACCATCTTTCCTATTCTGGTCAATGCTTCTATCATCCACCAAGTCACCCAGCAACAGGAAATTCCATCTTCCTGTTTCCACTCACATTAATTATAAAATCTAATTATTTTATCTTCTAGGTAGCAGAAGCCATCCTCATCTAATATCCTGTTCTCCTACTTTCAATTTCATTATCTGTCCTCTACTAAGTAAAAGGTTTTTTTCCCCAATTACCATATAATATTTAAGATGATTGTGTATATATAAAAAAATATGGATATATAGGTATTCATCTCCATGCCCAAGAAATAAAAGCAATTCTCCTGACTTTTGTGTTTATGATATCCATGTATTTATATGATTTTACTACATGTTGATGTCCATAACATATAGATTTGGTTTGTGTTTAAATCTATACTAATAAAAGGGTAATATGCTAATTAGACCAGATATCTTTCAGATGTCCGACAAAGCTACGGTGGCGGGGGCCGAGGCAGAGGGCAGTTAGGGGCAAGCAGGCTGGCAGGGGAGAGCAGTTAGGGGTGACCATGCCGGCAGGGGAAAGCAGTTAGGGGTGACCAGCTTGGCAGGGGAGAGCAGTTAGGAGCCAGCATCCCGGATTGTGATCCCCTGCAGGATCGGGCCTAAACCAGCAGTCGGACATCCCCCGAGGGGTCCCGGATTGAAGAGGGTGCAGGTCAGGCTGAGGGACACCCCCCTCAACACACCTCCACATGCACATATTTCGTGCACCAGGCCTCTAGTTTTATATAAAGAATATCATACTTATGCATTCTTCTACAACTTGCTATGTTTTGCTCACTGTCATGTTTGTGAGTACCACCCATGCTGATACATGCAGCTCTACTTCTTCACTTCCTTTGTAATCCTGTATTGCTATTATCACTTTACATTGTAATTTAACATTATATAGTAGTATAATATGCAACCTGCTTGTCCATTCTCCTACATTGTTCTTCCAGTTTATTGCTGTCAGAAACAATGTTGCAGAACCACTTTTCTAAAATGCAGAAGGACCTCTCCTCTGACTAAAACCACCAGTGATTGCCCAGTACCTAGCAGGCGTCCTCAAACTTTTTAAAGTGGGGGCCAGATCACGGTCCCTCAGAGAGCTGGAGGGCCGGACTATATGAACTACTAATTCCTACTGTAACACCTCGGCTGTGCTCACTGCCCAAAAAACCTGACGGGCCGGATCAGACTCCTCTGCGGGCCGCATGTGACCTGCGGGCCGTAGTTTGAAGACCCCTGACCTAAGGTAATGCTCTCCTTCCTGGTCAACAGGTTCCACGGGGTGCCCGTTGGGGTCTCTAAGGATGTAAGGTGGCTCGACTAAACCCTGTTTATTCTGAGCATTCTCACCTAATTATGATTTCAAGGATTCTAAATTAGTTTATATCCATTCATGTCACTAAACTTCAGTTTAAAAAACATTCCTAAAGTTATATTCTTTTTTTAAAAATATATTTTATTGATTTTTTTTACAGAGAGGAAGGGAGAGAGATAGAGAGCCAGAAACGTCGATGAGAGAGAAACATTGACCAGCTGCCTCCTGCACACTCCTACCAGGGATGTGCCCACAACTAATGTACATGCCCTTGACCGGAATCGAACCTGGGACCTTTCAGTCTGCAGACCGACGCTCTACCACTGAGCCAAAACCAGTTTTGGCTAAAGTTATATTCTTGAGAAGAGAGTTCCTTTCCTTAATTCATGATACTGTGGTGGGAAATTTTTTTAAATATAAAAATCACATGAAAAGGAAAATCTTACCATCCATATTCGAATCCCATCTGCCAAGGCATACACTTGTGCAAACTCCTCACTCAGGGCTGTCGTGCCCCCACTGTTTACTGGGGAAAGGAGAGAGGAAGAGATTGCATTCAGTTAACACAATTCATTACTGCAACACTACGCACAAAGTAGTTTCTAAATCTAACCCACAGAAAAAGTTCTTCCTCTGACACACATTGGGAGTGGTTAAAAGAGCCATGGGGGGAAAATTATCATCTAAGCCACAAATAGCTGTGATGGGTTCTCTGTGTTACTTCAAACTAACGTTTTTCAAATGAATAACATCTGAAATGAACATACTAGTAAAGTGAGAAAAATATTAAAAAAACATAAAAGACATGAAAAGTATTAAAAGTAGCTCTCTTTCTCCGCCATCGAGGTGTGCGCTCACCTCTCCCTCACCATGTCTTCCCACAAGACTTTCAGGATCAAGAGGTTCCTGGCCAAGAAACAGAAGCAGAATCGGCCCATTCCCCAATGGATTCGGATGAAAACTGGTAATAAAATCAGGTACAACTCGAAGAGGAGACATTGGAAAAGAACCAAACTGGGCCTATGAGAACTCACTCATGACAGATGACTCACATATTTATGCTGTATCCAGGTTGCCTACACCTTTAAATGATTGAAAAGATACTACCATCTGGACCAGGCGTCTTCAAACTACGGCCCGCGGGCCACATGCGGCCCGCAGAGGAGTCTGATCCGGCCCGCAGGTTTTTTGGGCAGTGAGCGCAGCCGAGGTGTTACAGTAGGAATTAGTAGTTCATATAGTCCGGCCCTCCAGCTCTCTGAGGGACCGTGATCTGGCCCCCACTTTAAAAAGTTTGAGGACGCCTGATCTGGACAGTTGGAGCATTTTAATTGGAGAATTAATGGACTTGTGATTTTGCTCTATTGATTTTTTTTCCCCTTCTGCAATAGTAGGATGGTTCAGTAATAAATGTGTGAGATCTTTAAAAAAAAAAAAAAAAAAAAAAGAAAGAAAAAAAAAAAAAAAAAAAGAAAGAAAAGGAAAAGTATTAAAAGTAAAATAATAGATACTAAAAATGAGCAAAAATAATTATTGACATTGAAAATGTGTCATGTCATTGACATTGAAAATGTATATATTAAATTTAAAAAGCTGGTTATAAAACAATATAAATAAAATGGCCTTACTTAAAAAGAATATACATTAAAAACACATATATATAGGGTAGGACAAAAGTAGGTTTATAGTTGTTTGTATAGAAAATAATACAATAATTAATAAATAATAATACAAGAATAAACTGTGTACTCACAACTGTAAACCTACTTTTCCCCACGCTGCATGTATGTGTATATGTATACACACACACACATAAATATACCTAGATAAAGGCTAGGTAGATATATAGAAAAATGTTAATAAAGTTGTGATTTTTAAAGAAGACCTGCCCCTTTTCTTCAGCTAAAAACCAAAGGGAAAACATATGTACTATAAAAGTGTAAAGCTCTTGCTGAACCAATGTACAATGCAATGAATATTTTCTGAACATGTAGAATATTCTGGGCTCCATATCAGGTACTAGGAAGACAGTGCTGAGAAAGAGAGAGATAGGCACTGCCCTCAAGTAGCTTTTAGTCTAGTTGAAAAACTCCTCCTGTACATTTCTAATACAAAAGGGTAACCAATTTTTAGACAAATATGAGCAAATTAGCTAGACAAAGACCACTCTCTAAGTAGCTCAGTTTTAAAGAACCCATGATCAGTCCTCAAAGGCTGAGCTAGGAAGAACTGAGACCAAGTATGTCTTCTTCAAAGCAACAGTGGTAGACATTCTCAGAACAACCTGTATTCAGCAAAACATTTCTAACTCCCACATTTCATTGAGTTTCTCTACTGCACATAATTATGTGTTACCTGAACATGATTTGAAAAGGAGCTGCAGAATTCTCCACAGCCTGAAACTTGCTGCTTCTCAGCTTTTAACTCAGAAAGATTTTCCCCTCTACTCAAAGTTCCCACAGATAATAAAGATTGTGCAGCTCTCTAACCACAATTTGACTATGAAACATATACTGAATTTTTCAAACCATAAAGGTCCCATTGTTCTCTATTCCCTAGCAGAGATATACTTTTCCATATAATGGTTGTTTCCATAAATCACTCATGTGTCCATGTAGTTTTATTTTAGCAACTTCTTAAAGGAGATATTAATATTTGAGGGACTAATCAAGATATTTTGGAAATCAGAAAAATAATTCTGCAATATGAGATCCAAAGAACTCAGCAATAAAGGCAGTAGTGATCATTTCAATATTAATTTCAATAATAATAATAATAATAAGAGCAACAATCAATTACCTACTCTAATGGAAGGAAGCATTTGTTTCTGCTTATTTCATCTGCACCATGGAAAGAGCACATAACCTGCCAGAGTGCTCAGGAAAACCCACACCTCATCTTTAGATGGGTTTTTCCCCTAGAGGATTAGGAATGGAGAGAGGTTCTCCCTCCTGTGGGTCCTGTGAGGTTGCAGGCTACACACACAGGAAATACAGAGTTGGTATCCCTGATGGAAAGAAATGGTGAAGCAGGCTATCAACAAAGGAAGCCAAACAGGGATTATGCTGCAAAGAAGCTGCAAATCTAAAGATAAGAATACCAATATTTTCCTCCTTAGTCATGACACAATCAATTACCTAAACAATTGTTTTAATTGGAATTCCTTAGAATATTAGAGCTAATTAAATCTAAACTTTTACAGATAAGGACACTAAGGAGCAGAAAGGTTGTCAGATTAACTTCTAGTTTTTGAGCTGGTACTACAGACCAAGTTAAGGGTTTTTATTTTCCATTAAGCTTCTTGGTTGCTTGCCATTAGAATTTTGGATATGACAAATTAGCTGCTAATTAGATAACTCAAAGCTACTTGCCATAAACTCTAGTCTGCTAACTATAAATTGGTCATGAATCTTTTGACTAGCAAAGCAGACCTAACAAGATGAAATCTATAATTATACAATAGAAATACTAGAGGCCCAGTGCAAGAAATTCATGCACTCCAAGGGGGAAGGGGATCCTCCCTCAGCCTGGCCTGAGCCCTCTTACAGTCTAGGACCCCTTAGGGGATGTCTGACTGACGGCTTAGGCCTGCTTCCAGTCAGATATCCTTAGCACTGCTGCAGAGGCAGGAGAGGCTCCCACCACTGCCACTGCTACTGTGCTCACCAGCCAGCCATGAGCCCAGCTTCTGGCTGAGCAGCACTTCTCCTGTGGAAGCACACTGACCACCGAGGGGCAGCTCCTGCGTTGAGTGTCTGCTCCCTGGTGGTCAGTGCACATCAAAAGCAACTGGTCAACCAGTTGTTTGTCTGCCCCCTGGTGGTCAGTGCATGTCATAGTGAGCAGTTGAGTGGCCTTAGCATATCATTAGCATGTTACGCTTTGATTGGTTGAACGGCCAACTGGACAACCGGACACTTAACATATTAGGCTTTTATTATATAGGAGGTTTATATTTCAAAATATTTTATTTACTTAAGTTAGGCTTTCTCAAAACTTAGCAATTGGCCTTCAGATGAAAAATATTCCCTGTAATATAAGTTACCATATTTTTGCAGCTTCTCATATAAGTCTGGAGTGCGATACACCAGAGCAGCAAAGGTGGCGTTCACAGCTTGATCAATAGTGGAACCAGCAACTATATCTGTCTTTGGGGCCTGTTTTCTACATGCCTGTATGAATCCTTTGAAAAGTTCTGAATATGGCCCACAGAAGTTCTGGGCAGGATCTGACTGTGCAAAATCAAGAAGAAAACGGTGGCAGGGATCATCAGGGATGTTCTTAACCTGGGAACAACAACAAAAACCCATCATGTTTAAGACATTCGTTAAAAAAATAAAGTTTACTGAACACCTACTAGGCCAGAAATATATATATAAGAGTACATACTCTCAGGAAGTTTAAACCTATTTTGGGGAAACCAAACAGGCATATGGCTTAAACAAAAAAAAAAAAAGGTAAACAGAAATAAAACATTACAAGCATTAAAGCTAGCACTACCATAAAGCAAAAGATTATCAAGTGCCAAATGCCTATAAAGGGACACCCAATGCTGAGAATTCACAGGAGAGAGTTGCTGGCAAGTTAAAGTAATTCAGGAAAGCCTCCTGGAGGAGATGGGCTTTGGACTGGACCGTGAAGATTGGGCAGGTTTGGCCCTGAGGAACATAAACATTACAGAAGTTAAGAGTCAGTGGGGAGACTGACCTGGCCTGAAGTCTCAGCTGGGGAGTGGTGGGAACTAGAGTCAGATAGGTAAGGTGAAAGGAGACTGCAGAGAGCCTGGACTGTCACTCTGAGTTTAGACTTCACCCTGTGGGCAATGGGGAGCCATTAATGGTGCTTGGCAGTAGAATGACAAGATAATGCAGTATTTTTTAAAAAAAGAAAACTTGGTAGGTATCAATGTGACAATGCAAGTGTAAGATGAGGGCCTGAATAAAGATGGAGACAGAGGGAATGACAAAAGATGAACATCAAAGGGAAAAATTTATAGGGCTTGCAGCTGACTGGATAGAGAGGTGAGAACAAGGTGAATAAAGGTGATGCTAGGGAACAGTGGCTCAGTGCCTAGGAAAGCGATAATAAGAGTGAGCAGTCACGGGAGGGAATAATCCTGATTTTATATTTTTGAGTTAAAGGGAGTCAGAACTAAAATGAAAATTCCTAACAGGAAGATGAGTACCTAGGGAGTCTGGGGAAGAACCAGAGCTCTGGATACTGACATTTAGAACTATTCACACAGATGTGACAACAGAAGAGAGAAGAGCGGTTAAAGTCTGGTGGGTTGCAGGGAAGGAGAGAAAGCCTGAATTAAGCCTACTCTTTATAGGAGAATTAAGAGAAGTCAATAAGAGAGGCTGATGAAATGGTTAGGTGAAAGAGAAGACAGTTGGCTAACATGGAATCAAAAGAAGAGAGGGTCCGAAGGAACCAAATTTAACAGAGAAGTGAAGGAGAGGAAGAGTCTCTGGATTCATAAATTAACTGAATAACTTGGGGGTGGGCAGAAGAGGGAAGAAGGAAGGGAAAGTAGTAGAACAGAGTGAGAGGAAAGGAGAGATGAAAAAGAGACAGCAGGCAAATCTACTCAGTGTTTTAAATATCATAAAACTAAATAACATGCTACCATTCCATGGTGAACAAAAAGCATAGCATGAATCTTTTACTCTAAAGCTTGACTCAGTGGGAACTAGAAACAGAAGTAACTCATTTGTTTAATAACTCCATCAAGAGATATTTACTGAAGAGCCACCCATTCGATATTTTTGAACATCCATTACGCACTGGCCCCTGAGGCACACAGTGGGAACACTAAATAAATGAGAGATAATTTCTGCCCTCAAGGAGCTAACAACTTGGTGGGAGTGATTAGATATAAACACAAACATTCATAATTTAAAGTATTCAGTATTAGTAAGCATTTTCCATTCCAAATAGAAAGACAACAGAAGAGTAAATACCTCCTTACTATGCTGTTGTGGATGAGTGGGCCAGCTTGCTTCTAGTCCCAACTCTGGACATATCTGATGCCTGAAGACAGGTTTCCACAAGGAGGAGTTTAGGACTAATGCCATTTTTGCCTGAGGTACTGCCATGTCACTTCCTAACTCTGAAAAGAGAAGAAGGCTTATGAGAGTTCTATTTTTCCCATACTATACTAAGAATCTTTGAACTGATAAAGAAAAGGTTTTTAAAAATGTGGGAATTATTAAGACTTGGAGGGAATTCACCCACATTTATAAGAACGTAACTGTGAACTTCAGGAACGCATATCCCAAATGAGCCCAAACCATAGGAAGTCCTGAACCGCTGCTACTCTGTGGAGCAGAGTCAGCTAAGGTACATCTGAAATGACTCATCTGCATAGTAAGCTGAAAACAGACTGTGAACTACCCCTGGGGTCTAACAGGAGACCATTCAGGAATGTTTAATGATGGTGAAATGTTCCCACTTTGTAAACTGAGCAATTAAATATTCATCATATGTGTGTTTATGAAGACATAGAAAAAACGACTAGGTGGAAATAAATTAAAATGTTGATAATAATTATCTCTGGGTGTTAGGATTAAGGATGGCTTTTCTCCATTATGAAATTTTTCTATATTTTACTTTTATAATCAGACATAAAATACTCTAGTAAGTGAATTCCATATAGTTCTTATTTTCTGGATGAATTTTAAAACTAAATTGAAGAAATCACTTTAAAACAAAATCCAAAGACTAAAATTAATTTAGTCTCTATTTCTGCCTTCTTATTGGAATATACCACAATTCATTTATTAAAAAAGGATGAGATGCTGCTAAAACTCAGCTCCCTCCCCCGCTAAGCCTCCCTTGGTGTCAAGTAGACAGTTTATCCTGGTTTGGTTTAAAGGAAACAAAGAGAATTTTATTAATACCTTTTACTTCTCCATTGTGTGGAGGCACCTTAAGGGAGAGAGAGCATTACCTTGCTCTTCAATGTGGCTGTAGCAAGAAGGGAAGGGACAGGACGTGAACTTACGATGCACAGACTTGAGCGCCATGCACTGGGAAGCAAGACGTCCCATCAGTCGGGAAACAAGAAGTTGCAAATCCAACCCCCAAGACACGGCAACATCTGGCAGGCCATAAGCAGTAACAGTGAATTTGTAGCCCCACTCATTGTTACTGCTGTCAGAATGGAAGAGAAACTGTAGCCGAGGACCAGTCTTAAAGGTCACTTTCTAGAACAAACACAAAAAGTCATGTGGTCAAACAGCTTTAAGGAGGCAGCATTTCAATAAAAAATAAGCATGTTCTTCATGACTCAAAAAATCTCTATTTAAAATGGGTTACAGGCTCACCATTATATCTTATCACCCCCACCAAAGCTACTGAGGAGAAATGCACAACAGAGTGGCTGAATCAGAAAATTCACAACTGTACCTTGTAAAGAAGCAAAGTTGGCAGAAAACTGCTGGTCAGTTTATAAACCCAATACCCTTCTGACACTGCCTACTCAGCCAGAGTTCACCTGCCCAGTGCTGTGCTCCCATCCAGCAGCCCAGACAGCAGAGGAAAGGTCAACAGTTCAATGGCCCAGGGGTCATGCAGCCCTCACTGTGAGGGGGACTCCTGGCTTTCACTGCCGTGGTCTGGGCCCTCCTGGGACCCTTCTTGCTAAGGATTATATCATCCATTTACTCTGGGCAATGTGATATGGACCTTATAGTAAATTATTAAACCTTATAGTAAATTATTAAACTTTCTGGGCCATACATCTCTGACTACTCAAGTCTGCAAATTGCAGTTCCAAAGCAGCTATAGTTGATATGTAAACAGTGGGCACGGCTGTATTAAAAAAAAACACAAAACTTTATTTAAAAACAAGTGACAGTTGTCGTTTGCTGAATTCTGATATAAACCCTTCCTTTTATAAATATATAATATAAATGGGTCTTTTCTAAGACATACATCTATTACTCCTGAGGGATGCCAAAGGAGAAGACTTGATACAGAAGTAGGCATTTTATCTCTTTCTGAGAATACCACTCACCTTGGGCCATTTATCAGTGCCAACTTTTGTGTCATAACGTGTTTTTCCACCTCTAGAGTCGGTAAATTCCAGATAATCATACCTGTGAAAGCATAATCTCTGTCACTTCCCTTCTCTCACTTTTGATCCATCATTGCTTGGGAAAGAAGAATGTGTGATTCTCACCTTTTTTCAGTTTCACACCTCTCATCAAATTCCACCTCAAAATAGGTTGCCCCTGGGCTAACAAAGACAGACACTTCGTGGCAATTATTTTCATAGTTGTGGGCAGACTCCTTAGTCCATGTATGTAACACCACTGGCTGTTCCTGTTGCCAAGTCTCGACATCCAACTATGCAAACAAACAAGATAAGAAAGGTTTTCATCACTTTACATCTAGCCGTACACAACAGATTGTGCTGTATTCATGATCTAGACAGACAGCCCCCAACAATCCCATGGAGATCACCACACAGGCTAAAAATATGCCTGACATTCCCATCTACACATACAGAGCATCCTACATTTCTCATTCCGCAGAACAGATATGCGATTTCTACTGCACTACAGTGACTCTTGATTAGCTTTCATTTTCTAATTATAACAGTACTATTTCTTACAAATCACTATTAGCATGAATTTTTAGTGGAAAAAACAGAATTAGGAATTTAAAGATCTTATTTTTTTTTTAAATATATTTTACTGATTTTTTACAGAGAGGAAGGGAGAGAGATAGAGAGCTAGAAACGTCGATGAGAGAGAAACATTGACCAGTGCCTCTTGCACACCCCCTACCGGGGATGTGCCCGCAACCACTGTACATGCCCTTGACCGGAATCGAACCTGGGACCTTTCAGTCCGCAGACCGACGCTCTCTTTACCACTGAGCCAAACCGGCTTCGGCAGGAATTTAAAGATCTTAAAGTCCTATTTGGGACTTTAGCAAATTTAAAAATGTACTTTAGCCATCAACTTTCCTTTGTCTTTTTCTTTTCTTTTTTTTTTTTTAAGTCTTTGCTTTTTTACCTTTAAAATTGACTTTTTAATATATGCCCTTCCTACTCCTACAGTTGTGAGACTCAAAGATAGTGAAAAAACTGTATCCTGTAAAGTTAAGGGAGGAAGGCCTTCTTTTAAATACCGACCCATCTATGTGCCTTGCAACATACATTTTCACTTCTAAATTTCAATCTGGTTACTCACTTACATGGTTTTTATATAACTTTATGTGCTGTAAGATGCCGAAGTTAATATATGCACAGCTTTCTCTGTGTCTCCTTTCTAACACTCATCTCACCAAATAAACTCAGACTGGCATTTATCCTTATTGGCAAAACCACTGATAAAATATAGGGGGTCTTCTAGATGGCATTTACCTGTGTAAATCCAAACCATACCGTAGTATGCTTCATTAAGCATGGTCACATCGCTCCTGAGGGAGACACAGAGCAGTTTAAGTGACAACTCAAGTTACCTTATTGAGTCCTCCCTCGGGGTCACTGCAGAGCCTCTTCAACAACTCTGTTAGGGTACTGAATTCTCTCAGGAGTGTGCAGTGGGAAATGTCTAAAGTGCAAAAGTCCAGCAGAAAGATTACCTAAAGGAAGATGAACAAAGCACTTAGTGTCCACTGCAGACCCTCCTGCCCTTTACAAATGGCTGCCACTCTGTCTTACCAGTTGTCGAGCTGCCATTGAAAACACCGAATTACATAGTTTTTCTACTATGGCTTTTCCACTATACTGTGACAAAAGGGACTCCAAAATCATTCTTGTGCTTCCCAGAAATTGTTCCACATCTACCAAAACAGAAAAAAATAATGTGTTATACAGGAGAAATATCACTTGCTTTGTCATCATCAAGGGTAAGCTGTCATAGAAGCTATGAAGAAAATTCCACATCGGAAAGACCAGGAGACCAGGAAGTACCAAATGCTTTCCTCTAGGCAGGAAAAGCAATGCAAATCCAATAAAAGATTATCTTTAGAGTAATATGTTTTGTTTTTGCTTCTTTTCAAAGGGGTGGAGATATTACTTTTGACCGACCCCATTGCTACTTTCCCTTTGTTTACAATGGGCCATCACTAGGTGTGCCATATTATGGATAAGCTTACGTGGCAGGGCTCAAAAGTGTAAGCATTTTTGTCACAGCTGCTGAGACCAAGTTTGATGGAACTAAATTTCCAAATATAATTTTTCAGAACCTGCTGAGTTTCATATGATTTTCTGTGGGTTAAAGGGACATAAATCTGAGTATTTTCTGTAATCAGCAAAGATCACAGCAGTGCTCACACACCTTATTCTCTAAAGGTTTAAGACTTTCCTTTTTGGGTGATTTAGCTAAAACAAGGAAGGCAGATCACTGAAGAGTGTGACATCATCTAGTAGTGCTGTATGATTGTAGAGGCAATGTTTAGGTTATGAAATGGCCCAGGCCTACAATAAAAAAAACTTAGGCATGCTACCATATTCAGACAGGAAACTTTAGGCAAAAAGATATGCTATACAATTCTATTTTAAGAAAAACAACCTAAAGACAAATCTGATTTGTATCAAGAAAAAAACCCATATGCACATTTAATGAATGAGTACTAAAAAAATGAGAACATGCAGAGTCAAAACCCAAACACCTGTTTTCATAGATTTTTGTCCTGAAACTCACATTTTTCAATAAGGTCAATGGCAAGCTCTTTGGCTCCAGGGTCTGTGCTCTTCAGCTGCAGGTAGCACCAGGAGAGCAGGCTGCCTTGGACAGACCAGAAAAGGGAGAAGAGCACAGAACCAACCTCCGCTTGGGCCTTGTTGAGCATCAACAGTTCACACTGCAAGGGAGGAGACAAAGAGAAAGTGTTTAAAGGCCATTCCCAGAACACAGCCAAGGGCATTTCTTAAGAGAGCATCTGTCACTGGCAAAAAAATTCTAGGGAAATGGCAATGGTCACAAAAGAGCTTTCAACTCAGAAGTGACCAGGAAAGAGGTGTTATGACACCCCCTCTTTTGCCCTCCGCTTTTCAGAACCTTTACAAAGGTTCCTTCTGCCCTCAGGAACCTTACCCCACCATTCTCTCTCTTCCCTCCGACATCATCAAGTGCCTTTTCTCTGTGGCTTCTCTCCCTGAGCCTTCCGTCAAATCTCTCCCACCTTAGAAAACAATTCTTAGTTCCCTGTGGCTTTCTAACCATCATCTTTATTCTCTGGAGTTTCTCTGAAGAGTCTTCTGACCTCCAGGAATAAACTATTCCACATAAGAACCACAAGACATGTTCATATCATGTAATTGCCCCAAACTGGACCTAACTGCCCCTCCATAATTCAACAGATAAATTAACTGTGGCACATTCATAAAGGAAACACTATGCACATGCATGAACATGGATGAATTTCAAAAATGCCCGAGTGAATAAAACATGTCACAGACATGTCCCCTCACTCATTTGCAAAAACTGGCAGATTAGGAGCCAAAGCAGGCTGGGAAATCTGTGTGCTCATTGATGGTCATAAGAATAGAGCTACATTCATACTGTGAATGAGGGTTGAAGGGGTTGACAGCTCTATTACATGCTCCTAAAAGCAGGAGGCAAAGACCACAGGGAGCAATCATCAGTTACCTCTCGAGCAGCAACAGAGAGGAGAGTCCTCATGACAGCCAGAACTTCGCTGATGTTCGTGTCGGCCAGGTCGCCTTTCTCGGGTAGAAGCAGAAGGCCGCCTGGATCCCTATCACTGAAAGAACACAAGTCAGTCATGACACCTTGTTTTAGGAAGCGGATTTACATGTGTTTTTATCTTAAAAGGTTCCAAAAAGGAACCTAGCAAGACTTCAGTGTCAGTTCAATTGGATGAGAAGAATTTGGGCAGAAAAAAAGTCATGGTCCCAGCTGGGTATGGGGCACTGTCCCAACACATGTCCTTATATAAGCACAAGTACATAAATCCTCAAGTCCTTAGAAGAGATTCCAGGGGATAAATCTGATGAATAAATTACCTTGACCACCAATAAGAAACACACCTAACCTCATGACTGCTAACTTGATAATCTGGGCTAATCATTCTGTGTCTCAAATGTTCACATGACAGCCCCAGCCTCTTTCATCATCCTTGATACGCCACTCTCAACACATTTTACAGAGCCCTTTAAGTCTGGCATCCACACCAAGTATAGTTTGACTTGCAGACAGTAGCTCAGGTTGTTAGTTCTCTCCCTCCAAGAGTCTATAGTACCTTCAGCTCTGGCTGGTGTGGCTCAGTCGACTAGAACATCGTACTGTACACTGAAAGGTCATGGATTTGAATCCAGGTCAAGTCACATACCCAGGTTGCAAGTTCGATCCTCTGTCAAGGTTACGGGAGGCAACTCTGATATTTCTCTTACATCAATGTTTCTCTCTCTCTCTGTCTATCTTTCTCTCCCTCAAATCAATAAAAAAATCATATCCTCCGGTAAGGACTTTTAAAAAAAGTCTATACTTTTAATAATGTAGCCTACAGGCCCATTAGAAGTCAAAGCAAGAAAAACTCTCCAAGTCATCCCCTCCAAGCACACTTCTTTTGCTAAGCTACCCTTCTGCAGTTGGTTTTAATGTAACTGGGCTTTTAGATTTCAGTACAGGGCTTGTTTTTGTCTTCAAAATTATTTAGAAACTGGAGTGTTTTAAAAAATCCTCAATGAATTTAATTTTAAGTTATCTTATAATGACTGGGACTTAGATTAAGGTCTGGAAAAGATTATCATCCTCCCACTACTTTAGTCACTCCTGCGACAAGTGGTATATTACCCAGAAACTTGGCTGAGCAGAGGGAAGTAGCTGGTTACTTCAAAAGCACATGAAAGGAAGGGATAGCTAAAGAAAACAGCTATGCAAAGATTTGAAATACTGGACAATTGAAAAGAATTAAAAACTTACCTAAAATATGTGCACAGTGAGCGGAAAGTGAGCTGCAGAGATTGCTTATGTTCCTGCTCAGTGACATTTTTCTAGAAAACAAGAAACTGCACATTCAGAAAATCTATTCCATGACATTCCAATGACCTAGAGCAGCACGAATGCCCCTGCCCGCTGTTCCCACGCATGAGGAAAGCCGAGGTCAGCAGACTACCTCACGGTGCCCAACTAAGACCTAGCCTAGTGCTAAGAGGGAGCGGAACCACCCATCTAAACAGAAAATGGCAATTTACTTTTTGTTCACTGATAAGTTATCATCAAGGCTTCCTACAGGAAAGCTTGTTGCAAATGTTAAAGAAGATGACTTTCAAAAGATGTACACCAGTACTTTTCATCCTCAGTGCTTTTCATCCTTGGGCATGCCATAGCAAGAGGAAAGAGCAGGGACAGAGAGCATTTCTTATGAACTTTCTGTTTGTTTTTAAATAGGATCTAAGCTTTTTCTATATAAACCAGAACAGCCTATGGTGACAGTTACATAAATCCTGATGGGGCTACTAGGCTACAGTGGGAGTACTTTATTTTTTCTTGATTCAAAAAATGTATTGGACATCTACTGCTATGCAAGAAACTGAGGGGCATTTAAGACGCAGGGCCCTGACTGGTACAGGAGGGTGGGAGACATAAGACATGGCCACAGATGACAGCAGTGCTGTTTAATTCAGCAGAAAGACAAGGGAAAATGTAACCCTTACCACTGTTGTCAGAGGGATGGCCAGAGGGAAAGTGTCTGGGCTGCTCTGCTAATAGCAATGTCATTCAAGAGGTCATATGTACTCTCTCTATTTTTCTCCGTGGGACACATGCCAGAAAAAAAAATCATTTGCTTAGCTGCCTGGTAAATGCTTCTAGTAAACAAGAAGGACTGAGCTTTGCCCACAGTCCAGTGGGTCAGAACAGGGATGCTGAAGGTTATAACTCAAAATGTGAAAACCGGTGCCTCATGCTGTTATGCAGACTTTGCAGAGAGTGAAATACAACCAGAGATTCTTCCTCCTCTCAGAAACCGTTCCCAGTCATTTAAAATAACAATTCTCTTCTACTCCTAATGCACATGGGGTTGGCTTTTCCTTGTGGCAGGTGTTCCCAACTGGACTGAAGACCTTAGCATCAGAAACCACATTTTACGCTTCTGTTCTGTCCTTTATTTCTATAGGTTTTTATGCATCCCACAGAGCACTTTTATTACATGTTAATTAGCTATTGCATATAGAAATGTCTTTTCAAAATGCTGGCTCTAATTTTCCATCTCAGTAATTCTATTAGATGCTTGTCTACACAGGCAATAAAAAATAATTTATAACCATATCATTTATAAATAATTATTATTGGTTTTATTTTTTCAATTGTTATTTTGGAAATTTCTTTTCCCGGTTCTACGGCACTGGCTACGCCTTCTTATTATGTCACTTTTATCAGGAATATAATCCACACTTTTAACGTAAACAAGTACCATCATGGTGAAGAGATGGTTCCGCTGGGTCTGTCGATCAGGAAAGAAGATGGCAGCTCCACCGAGAAGGGTATTCCTGACTTCTTGCTTCAATATTTCCATGGGCACAGAGTCTCCATCCACCCTATCCACCACTGACAAAAATGAACAATGGAATCAGCTTTAACGTATTCCAACTATTCACTTACTATATCTATATCTGCATTAACTAGCCTACAAACTCATTACTCTCCATTTTGCAATTAATACCAGAGCAAAGAAACATTTCTATACACACTAGGCAATGTAAGGAAATTATTTTTGTTTGTTTGTTTACATTTTACTAAAGTAAAGACTATTCATACCAGTTTTAATTTCATTATTTCCCTGTCCTTTTGAGATACAACTTGGCAAAGACTTAAAAATAACTTCAGTTAGTCACATGGGTTTAATTTTCAATTTACCATTATAATACCTCCCTCAATCTATCAAACTCATCCCAGTAAAGACTAAAAAGTGTGACAATAATTTCTCTCAATATCAGACAACTGTATATCAGAAACCAGGAGGAAGTTATTGATGAGGGAATAAACACTGAACCAAAATAAGATTCGAAAGAGGATCAAAGGAAAGTCATTTTCCAAAAAACAATCCCTTTCCTGGGCTTGCATGATCAAAGGAGCCCGTTCTCCACAGCAAGACTAGCACAGGATCACATTAAAGAAAACCCAATCCTACCATCACATAAGTGTGTATAGAGCTCCTTGGCGGCCTCCACTGCCCGGGGGCTCTGGCGGGGAGCCTTTGCGTCCTCAGAGGCAGCCGCAGAGTCTCTCTGCAGCACCAAGAAGCAGCTCTGGAGAAGCTGCAAAAGCAGGGTTTGGGCACAGATGCATTCTTCCCTCGGGCTACAGAAAGATAAAATACATCAGAAGGCAAAAAGGCAAGTTGCTTTTATCCCCCTCCTTCCGCAGCCAAACAGTCCACAAAGGGCTCCCTCCAGACATTAGGCTCCGTGACAACAATGCCTGATGTCTGGAGGAATAAAGGTGGAATGGGAAGAACACTATACTATGTAGAGTCTGCAAATGCAGACCCCACCTGACTGCCCACAGTGGGGCCAGGAAATGCAATTTTTCATCCTGTTTCCTCATCTGTAAAATGAGGGTACCGCTACAATACTTAAGCTGCTCATCCCACAAGGCTATAATGATAATCAAATGAGAAAATGTTTAGAAAATATTGCCCAACTCACAAGTGATTTATAAAAATGTGTAATTTCTATATAATATCACTTTTCTGTTATTTCTATATCTAGGTGTTATTTTCCATAATAACCAAATCTTTAAAATCAGAACAATAAACTGGTGGGAAGTAACAACTTAGAAGAAAAAAAAAAATTGTCCATTTAGAATAGCAAAACTCAGTGTCTGCTGTGTTTTTATATGAATATCACTTTATCAAAAATTCTGACCTACTTTTGCTTTAATTTGCTGTAAAAATTCCAGAAGATTTCCAAATCAAGACCCGCGAAGTCCAGAAAAGACTTATATTTTAGGCCACTTTCCTTCTGCTGCACCTTAAGACAAGAAAAAAATAAAATTAAAAATGTATATGGAGAAAGACCATAATGGCTCATTTACTTCTCACTGTTAAGGGATGAGGTAGCCACAAGGATAAAATTCCCATATAATGCTTACTCTATACTGCTAAAAAGTCTCTTTTTTTTTTAATGTGAAACTTTTAAAATATGTACATGTATGTGGTATATGTACATATGTATGTAAATGTATACACACACACACACACACACACACACACACAAACACAAACACACAGCTCACACACATACACACCCATGGAGGCTCCCTGGCTTCATCAACACCACACCTGAAACATAAATGTGTCTACACTGAATGATGATTACTGTCCAGGACCGCATACAGTATATTTTATGCCTTCCCTGAATATAGGCTAAAAGACCAATTCTGCTATAAATGCTTCTGCTATTTTTTGACCCTTCCCTAAATGTAGGCTAAAAGACCAATTCTGCTATAAATGCCCCTGCTATTTCTCAGCATCTCTCTCTCATTTGCTTTTTCCTGCTGTGATAAGAGAGCTTGAATAACAAAGACCAAACAAACCATATAAATTGAGTTACCAGCCTCTGAACAGCACTCTGAAGCAGAAAAAGGTTAAGAGTGGATACTGCTGCCCAACTGGTGTGGATCAGTGGTTGAGTGTGAACCCATCAACCAAGAGGTTGCCAGATCAAATCTCAGTCAAGGCACCTGCCTGGGTTGTAGGCTCAATCCCCAGTGGGGGACGTGCAAAAGGCAGCCAAATTGATGTTTCTATCTCTCTATCCTCCTTTCTTCTCTTTCTAAAATCAACAAAAACATATTAATAAGAGTGGACACTGTTGCACACCACACAAGAGCACACCACTAAATTCCTGAGACAAACCATGTTCTCTATGGTGGTGGCTGTAAGAATCAACCTTTGAGTGAGTTATTGTGTTTATTAGTGACTGTAGAAGTCAGTATGAAAAACACAATTATTTCAAATTCTGCGCTATTTTGGTACTTTTAATAAACAAATAGAATTTACCTACACTTCAGGAATAATTATCCTTAAAGAAGACATAAATCCCATAAACCTGCTTCGACTCCCCAGTGTGCCTTTGGCAAGCTAGCTGGGGATCTTTAAGCTCTGTTTGCATGTCTAGAGCAGGAACCCTCACAATGACGGCCATAAGCCACTTGGTGTTTCACTGACTGATGCCCTCAATGCCCAGTACCTCACTCCCCTTGGCCTTCCTATGTCATCACAGCATGATGCCTCTCCACTCTTTGATACTGCATGGCTCCAACATGGCCAGGTTCCACTGACGGGTGTTCATTTCCCTGGACACTGTCGTTATTTTCCCAAAGGACTGAAGTCTAACAACTGAGAATACACTACCAGGTCATGGGCAAGCTGCTGGATGAACTGAAGGGTCCTCAGGAGCAGTGAGGCCCCGCAGACACTCTCCTCCATGTCCTTTCTGCAGTGAGCACAGATGGCACTCTGTTCTGCTTCTGCTCTCGCAGGCCGGAGGTAGCCACTGATGCTCAAGCCTTGTACTCCCAAGCGCTCTGCCGACTCCTGACGGGTGCAGAGGAACTTCACCATCAAGTACTAGAAAGGACAAGAGAGATTTCAGGCGAAGGACTCAAGAGCCCTGGATATTGATGAAAGAGAGCTAAGAGCCTTCTTTGAAAGGTGCCCCTATGACTTTAACAATTTATGAGGTACCAGTATGCCTAGCACTGGGAACGCATCTATAACAAATAGGGGAGGAAAACCACACAATATAAATGCTAAAGGAAATCTGGTCTGGGAAAGAGCATAATAAGAGAAATGTCATTACTTCTCCTCAAAAACAGGATTAAGATAGGATGAATAAGAGATGTATGTTTGCTCTGGGGCACCGTTTTTTAATATAAATCATATATATGGCAAAAACGGTCCAGGAATGCCAATGAGGAAGCATTTCAAACTCCCTGCAGATATATGCAACCCATGTGCTGGGAGCCAGGACACCGCCTTGTCTGCCAAAGCTAAAGCCATTTTCAAAACCCAACTTCTGTGCAAACTATCTGCCTCTTACAGTGAAAGCTCCTTGGTCGGGGCCTTTCAGAATCCACTCCTCAACTGCATAAATATTTACTAAGCATTTTTTATGTGTAAACGCCAAAGATAGTTCTTATTTCTCTATTTAAGCTTCTTACTAAAACTTACACTAGAGAATAAAAAAATAAGTAGCCAGATAATTTCCTAGCTGTGAGAACATCTCTCTCTTGCATTTATACCTGTGCATTTGCCATTCTCTCAGCCTGAGATGCCCTTCTCCGCACAACTTATCCTGGCTAAAGATGGTGGCTTAATCAACTTTCCATAGTTAGATCACACCACCTTTCCCAGGAAGCTTTCCTTAGTGAACTCCAGGCTAGGTAATATATTTTTCTTCTGGGCTGCAAGAGCCCCCTGCATATCAGTCCATATCACAGTGTCATATACATCTGTGCCTTCCACTAGACTATAAACCTCTTGAGACTATAATCATGTCTGATTCACCTCAGGGGTTCCAGTCTGGCACAATAACCACTCAATAAATGCTTACAGAATAAAAGGAGGGGAGTGGGCCAATACACGAAGGCCACAACTCAATAATGCTTACTCTGGCAACTCTGCACTGCTGCAGCTTGATCTCTGCTTCATCCCACTCTTCTTCCAGCTCAAACCAGCCAATAGGATCATCCTCTCCAAGATCATCAGGTGAGCAACCGACCCTATAAACACAGGGCAATCACAAACATTTTTGTATTCCTAAACCTCTCAAGGATCCAATGAATAAGACACCATGTAAGTGTCATTTAACTTGTACATATGGCCTGCCAATTAACATATAAGATAGTTAAAGGTAATTTCCTCCCCATTTCTCAAATCTTCTCATCCATGAAATAGGAATTAGTATCAGTCCCAAATGTAACCTGAGAACTAAATAGAAAGTTTGCTTCCCTAGATAACTGGTTTATCTGAAGAACAGACATGAAGTCAAGCTCTTAGATGAACTACTCAGGAGTAAAGTACAATGCAACAGCTGGTGTGTGTTTCTGGAAAGAACCAAACGGGAGGCAGGTTCAGTTTTGTTTCCCTGGCTAATGTATGTCTGAGCAGCCCGAGGCTTGGACCACTTGCAACAACTGAAGGGTAAAAGCTGGGCAGCCTTCAGGTCCTTGAGCTCCAAAAACGGAAACTTCAGCCTGCAGAAGCCTTGACATTTTCTCCTGTTCCTTAAGAAGTCCTTCCAAAATAATAAATAAATGAAGTAAAATAAAATAAAATAAAGTAAAATAAAATAAAATAAAATAAAATAAAATAAAATAAAATAAAAGAAGTCCTTCCAGGAAAGCAGTGCAGCCTGAAGAAGCTGAAGAAGCACAATTGTGTGCCACTTCTTTTTCAAAAAACAGACAGCCTAGCTTAGTGGTTGAGCATTGACTCTTGGTCAGGATACCTGTGTGTCAGGCTCGATCGCCAATTGAGGGTATGCAGGAGGCAGCCAATCAATGATTCTCTCTCATCTTTGATGTTTGTCTCTCTTTCTCTCCCTCTTTCTTCCCTCTAAAATCAATAAAAATATATTTTAAAAATAAAAATAAAATAAAAACCAGACATTTGAATGGTACTCCTTTCAGGAATTAAATAACTAAGACAAAGAAAAGGCAGTCTTTTCAAGTAACAGTTCTAACTTTAGACTACGTAGCCATGATACAGCTAACAAGCTAGCATCGCATGAATATCCTTTATGGACAGAAGAAGCAAGCACAGGACTTATAGCAAGAGGGAAAACACAAAGGATCCAGGGTAGGTTCTAGAACAGAGAGAGAAAAAATGTTCCCTATTTAACATAAAAATCCTTCTTAGCATAAACCTTTTGCAATATAGTTAGCCCTAAAATCAATGTGACTGCTGGTATTTTGTCTTAGCCCAAAATCCTGTTTCATCAATATTATATGTTTGAGGATTTTTTACTTTTTGGAAGGCTCACAGAAATCTCTGAGATACAGAGAGGTGGCAGGAAGAAGCAACCCCTTTCACTACATCACACAGCAGGCAAGGTGGAGAGGAGCAAGCTGAGTATTAGTAGTTAAGTGTACACAGCAACCAAACAGTGTACACAGCAACCAAACAGCTGTCCTGGAGCTGACTGACCATTGTCTGGACAGAGGGACAAAAAAAAAAAAACAAAAAAAAAAAAAATAGATGCATGTACATTAACGTTTTGACTTCCAAACTGGAAAGACACTGATAATATGTAGGTCAACCAAATCAGGATTCCAGAGTAGTTCAGGCTGAACCCAGAGGTAAAATCAGCAAGGGAGTAGCAAACAGGCCTACATTGAGGTTAAAATAAGTCATCCTATATAAGTAAAAGATCTTGTTTGACAAGCAGGTTAAGGAAAAAAGACCTAGATTAATATGTCCCAAGAGTGGGACTGGCTACTTAAGAACAACTACAATCTCTAATCACTATTCTAAAAGAAAAGCATCTTTTAAAAAAAGAGACATAGGGAGATTTTAGGAGTGAGGAAATTTTGATCATTTTTATTAAGAGGGCTGAATTAAGACGACTGAATTGAAATTACAAAAGTAGACTTCAACTAACATATTCCAATTACTGTAGTGTAGTGAATTCTCTATCATTAAGAGTATTCTGCCCTAGCTGGTTTGGCTCAGTGGATAGAGTATTGGCCTGTGGACTGAAAGGTCCAAGATTGGATTCCTGTCAAGGACACATGCCTGGGTTGCAGGCTCGATCTCCAGTAGGGGGCATGCAGGAGGCAGCCAATCAATGATTTTCCCTCATCATTGATGTTTCTCTCTCTCGCTCCCTCTCCCTTTCTCTCTGAAAAAAAAAAAAATTTTTTTTTTAAAGTATTCTAGAGGCTGAATGACCATTTTTAGGGATGCTACCAAAGGAAATACAGCCAAGAGAGGGAGTTTTGCCAGATTCTTGCTATTGAGAAAGTGGTCTGTGGATGGGGAGCATCAGAGTCACCTGGGAGCTTGTCAGAAATGAAAGTATCAGACTCCACCCAGAACTACTGACTCAGAATCCACATCTTCACATAATTCTTGGTGATTCATCTGTACATTAAAGCTTAGTAGTACTGTACTGGTTGATAAAGGCTTCTGTTAACTCCAGCACCCCATTACCTGTGATATACAGTAGCAAAAACAGCAAGCCTGGGGCTCAGCTTCATGATTTTTAACTTGCAACTGGTAACAAAGGGGCAACACTGCTCAATGACCTGTGCAACTAAATCCAACAGGTCCACTCCTAGACCTGATCTTACTGCTTCCTGGGAAACATTCAGCACCATTGCCCACTCCCTACTTCTCTCAGCCTGGCTTTATGGTAACACATGCTTAGCTTTCCTGCTGCTTGTCCAGCTGTCTTTCTCAATCTCCTTCCCTCTGTTGCCCATTAAATGCTGGTGGCTCTCAGCACGCTGACCTAAGGTTGCTTCTCTTCCTAGCCCCCACACACTTCCAGAATGACCTCTTCTATTATAATTCGTCTAAAATTATCATTTAAATGTCTATCGTATTTGTACTTTCAGCACAAATGTCTCTTCCAGGCTCCTAACCTATTTGTCCAGCTAGGTATCAAATATATATCGAAGGCTTTCTAAAACATCAAATTCAAAAGGACCAAAACTAAGCTCACCATCTTCCCCCACAAACCTATTTTCCCCAAGGTATTTTCTCTCTCATAGAAAGACTACCAATGCTCCCATCTTCCCAAGCCAAGACCACAGAACTCATTGATGCCTAAGCTTTCTTCCCCCTCCTGCTCTACATTCAGTAACTCAACTGGTCCTACAGCAACCTCTCTCCATTGCTGCTCTTGCTGCTCTAGTTGAGATCACCCACACCTCTGACCTTGAAGGTGACCCACACCTCTGTCCTTGAAGGTGACAGTGACAGTCTCTTCCATTTCATTCTGCTTCCATGCTTGTTCTCCTCCAATCCACACTACAGGTGTGTACTTCTAACACACACCTGATGAAGTTCTTCTTAGATTCCCTCAACAGCTCATGCCATCCACTCCCTGCCCCACCCACCCTCCCACTGCTTTAAGGATCAAGTCCAAACCCTGAAACAGAGGCAAAAAGACCTTTAATGACCTGGCCTCTTCCTAGCTCTCCAGCTTCATGGCTCACCATTCTCCACCTCAACAGTGCACTTCAGCAATGTGGGACCTGTCAGTCCTTGAATATGACATACTTCACTTCTGAGTTCTCAAATCTGCTCTTCTCTTTGCTTAGGACATTCTCCTTCCACTTCTTCAAGTTGCTAATTAACTCTAACTCACCCTTTAGTTCTTAACATAAACATTTCCTCCAGGAAGCCTTCCCTAACCAGGTGAGGTGCTCTACCGTGTGCTCCCAGAACACTCTACCTTCTCCTACCTAGTATTCAGAGTACTGTGATAGTAGCAGTTTTATCCTCTGTTTTTGAGCTAAACAGGAAGCTCCACAGAGCAGCAACTGCCAATTTGCTCATTACAGTATCTTCAGTGCCTAGCAATAGGCCTAACCCATAGTAGATACTTAATAAACATTTTCAATAAAAGCATGACTAGAAGGAGGGAGGCTGGGGTATGGGTAAATTTCCAAGCAGCTAGGTAAGACTGAAGACCTCAGGCTGCCCACAATTCAGGTGTGTATTATTATCCAGCCATCTTGAAAATGTGGGTGCCTGGTCACAGAAGGGACCAACTTCAGAGTCTGTGAACAAATTAAAATGCACATCTTCACATCCATTAGACGCAATGAATGCTCATAGTCATTGAGGGTGGGTTAGTGGCACATTTTCTATAAGAAAGCATATTTCACCAATAAGGGGATATATACAATCTTATTAGATTTTTATTCTGTTCCTTACCTGCTTTTTACAAATTGCCTGAATTCCTTAAGTTTCCATTTGTCATATTTTTCAAACCTTTTGAAGTGTTCTTCTGCTTGAAATTTATCAGAAGATGAGTTATAGGCAAACACCAACCCACACTGGGCACCAATGCCGCCACGTCGAACCTGGAAATAGAGATGTAGATAAAATACAGCAGAAGGGTAAAGTTCTGTGGCTGTTTTGTTTCCAAATAACATGCTTAAATTTAAAAAGCTTCAAACAAAATCAAACCAACAAAATGATCTTTCAAATACATTAAGTCCTAGGAGATCCAAGATGGCAGCAGAGTGAGTGAAAGTTACCTCCTCCTAGAAACAAATTGGAATTACAACTAAAGTATAAAACAATCAACCTGAATAACCAACTGAGGACTAACTGAACCGAAGTCTTATAACTAAGGACATGGAGAAGGTGCTGCATTACAAATGGTAGGAAGGGCAGAGGTTCAAAAAGGACAGGCCCTGCACCCACACATGGCAGTTAAGAATCTGGAGGAGTATCTCAGCTGCAAAGATCTCCCCTGAGGAGCAAGAGGTCTCAACCCCAAGCTGGGCTCCCCAGTCCAGAGTACAGAGCCAGGAAGAGGAGCTCAATAACACCTGGATATGAAAATCAGCAGGGAGTCTGCTAGAAACCCAGGGTCCCTCTTACAGGGCCAGAGTACAAAATTTCATTCTCAGGTACTCATCCAGTGAAAGGATGACTGCTCAGAGCAAACAGGAGTTATTCAGGGAGAGATTGAGTTGTATGGCTTTGGGGAGAGGACTAGAGGTACAGCCACCATTGTCTCTGTGCTGAGTCCTTCTCCCGCACTGCCCACAGACACCATCTTTCCTAGGGAGATCTACTGGCCCCACCTTCCCAACTCCATGTGGCCCAGCCCTGCCGAGCTCGCACCTTGCCAAGGAATCAGCTAGCTGTGGCCCACTGCTGTTTTCCTTAGAAGCTACCTCCTGAGGAGGTTTGGGAAGACTCGGGTCAGAGACTCATAGAGAAAGACTGAGACCTGTGGCTCTGGGACCATTTCTCCCCTCCCCCAGCTTGAGTACTGCCACACCTCCCATGGGAGATCTACTAGCCTGATCTCCCACCCCCCTGTGGCCCCACGCTGCCAAGCTCCTGCCCTGCTGAGGAATTGGCTAGCTGCGGGTAGCCTGGTCCACTGCAGTCTTTCAGGGGGTGTCAGAGATACAGGAAAAGACTGAGTAATGTGGTTCTAGGGCAAAAGCCATTTATTCCCCCAAACACCCTAACCCAGTGCCACTGTTCCTGCAGAGACATCCCTCTACATGGCCAAATCTTAAATCTGTTTTACCCTGAGGGACTCTACTGGACTCACCTGATGGCTCCCAAAGGCCCTGCCTCACTACAGGGGTCCACTGCCCCCAGCAGCGAGTGGCTGGCCTTGGGGTACTCTGAGACTTGTTGAGTGGCTGAAGTCCTAATGCTGGTGCCAAGACCCAATCTGCCTGGGGACTTGAAGCTGCCTAAGGGAACTCGTGTACCACCAGAGGCTCTTTCAATGGCTGAGCCTAACAGGTACCTAGCAGGTGGGAGCCAGGTCTCAGGGTGCACTGAGCCTTTTGCTGACCTGCCCCAGACGCAACACCAATAGAAGCTGGCCTTGGTACATGGCTTGGCGCCTCCTCACCACACCCAGATCCAGCAGAGGCAACCACCAAACCACAGAACCTTTTGTAGCTCCTAAAGGGTAGCTCAGGGCCAGTTACAGACAGAGTCTGACATTGACATGCACAAGAGTCCCTCCCAAGAGGCACAACCAGAACCAACAAACCCAGTGGCAGCTTCAGATCACATCAGAGCATGACCCAATTAGCTTTACAAGTGGCACACTCAATGGGAGATCTCAGCAGACACCAGACCTTTCTGGGACAAATTTCACTTCGTGGTGTCAGCTCCTGCACAGCAGCTCATATACTGTGGTTGGGGTCAATCCTCATAGACAGCCAGCCTGAGGGTCAACCTCACCCACAGACAGACCAATAGCAATCAAGACTCAACTACAACAGGAGGGCTCACATCATCCACACAAGGGACATTCCTAGTCAGGTGATCAAAAACACTGTTCCACTGAGCCCCACAGGACACCTACTACATAAGCCACCCTACCAAGACTGGGAGATATAACAGATCTACCTAATACATGGAAACAAATACAGAGAGGCAGCCAAAATGGGGAGACGAAGAAACATGCCCAAATGAAACAGTAGGAGAAATCAAATACATTAAGTCCTGGAAGAGTTAGAAAGCTGCATCCTAAGAAATGATTCCTTACCTTTCTCAATCCTTATATTCACACCATTCACAGACTTAACAATCTATTCACCTTTGTGTCCCTGCCCTCTGCTATAGGCCTGACACAAAAATCATTCAATGTTCAATGAAAAACAGTGACATGGACCTCTGAACTGTATCCCTCTTTTTAACAACAGTAGTAGCATTGCTTAAAGAAGGAGAGTTACCATAATTCTGATCTGTGTAACTTGGAGGGCAGAGTCAGTTGCTGTAGAAAAAATAGTACTTGCTCTAGTTTTTCCAGTCTCTGTGAGAAAACCTGCAAAAAAGAAAAACTAAAGTTAGGATGACTGACATTTATAATTCTAAGAACTAAGATCAACAAAAATCATGTCCTTTGAGGCAGGGGATAACTAGTTCATCTTAGAATTTCATGGAAATTAGGGAAAGATTTCCCCTCAGGACAGATTCAACCCCACTGAGAAACTCCGAGGTATCAGACCACTGGCCAGCACAACTTCCTCAGGGTGCAACTGGCTTTGATAAGGCACTTTTTAATTGGCAGCACTGCTTTGAGATTATACAGAAATAAAAAGTTTATAAAAACTACGACTTCCATTCAAAGAGACAAAAGACTGGACAATTAATCATCTTTCTGAGCCATTCCTAAAACAATGACTGATGTCTGACTGGTCTGACAAAGGCAAGCAGGCTTAGAGGCTGAAAGAGGGATTAGATAGCTTTTAGAAGACTGTTAGGAAAAGGATGTGAAAGACTTTAAAATGGAAAGAAAAAGAAAAAAAGGCTCCTAGCTGTTCTGTGTAGCACACTGTTTGTGTTATCTCCACCTTTCATGGTCTCCAGGCTATTTTACAATTCTGTAAATTGTAGACTAATGACAGTAACGCAAATGATTCCTGTCTACAAAGATAAAACTTGTGTCCTGGAAATGCAGCTGGGTATTCCTTATGAGTAGTGACCATTTTTGTATCTATTTGTAGATTCCTGTCAGCATTCCTACTGATCTGTGTGTATTTTATGAAATCTTTGAACTGTTCGTAACATCTTATTGGTTCCCTCACTAATTAATGACACACATGAAATGTTTGATGTGTTCAAATTATAGTAGTATGAGATCACAGTTCACCTTTTTTGTTGTTAATAATCCATTAATAATTCACAAAACCACCTGCTGCTAGACCCAAGGCTGCCTTTCTCTTTCAAACCTCTGTAAATGCATTTGCTAAAGTCAGAACTAACCAACCACTCTTCTTGGTACTAAGAATTGCTCTAGACCCATGATCCCGCAAACTGCAGCTTGCGAGACACAATGCAGCTCTTTGGCCCCTTAAGTGTGACTCTTCCACAAAATACCACAGCCTGGGCGAGTCTATTTTGAAGAAGTGGTGTTAGAAGAAGTTTAAGTTTAAAATATTTGGCTCTCAAAAGAAATTTCAATCGTTGAACTGTTGATATTTGGCTCTGTTGACTAATGAGTTTGCCAACCATTGCTATAGACCATGTTGCCTTATCAAATAAGAAGCATAAACAAGTTTCATGCTTCTTACTTCATTATATTGCATTCAATAAAACAAAAACTTGTGAAGTCAAATTTCCATAAGACAATACACAAAATTTTTCACCAACACCAAGAAATTTAAATCCAAAGGAACCTTTACTAATTCACAGAGAGTAGCTATTATATAATTTAGTTCTATCAAATAGTAATTCTACAGACAATTTTAAGAAACCATATAGCCAGAAAATCACACAAATTCCACTAAGCAATTAATACTAAAAACTACATCAATTACTGAACTGTCACTTCCCCAGGGGTCTGGATCCCTCTATCTTATCAAATCTATTGTAAAGGCTGAAATACTGCCTAGAAATTACTGATTAGTGAGCACTTTTACTCTCAAAGTAGCTAAAGCAATACTTTGTCAAAAGAATCAGACTCTTTTTATCTATTTATATATAGAGAGGGAGGGAAAGAGAGATAGAAACATCAATGATGAGAGAGAACCACTGACCGACTGGCTTCTGCACACCCCTACTGGGGACTGAGCCACAACCTGAGCATGTGCCTTAACTAGGAATTGAACTGTGACCTTCTGGCTCATAGGTCAGCGCTCAACCACTGAGCCACATCAGCTGGGCAATCAGGCTCTTTTTAAATAGCACTGCCACCCAATACACATGTAAGCATAGAAAGGAAGAACGGGAGGGAGGGAGGTAAAATGAAACCTTTCTGCTTCCTTTTCTTGGCAAAAAAAACCCACCACACACACAGAACACCAGCTCATGTGTGTAACTGTGATATTTTAAAGCAAAATCTGTTTTGAAACCATGCACCCTTACTCAATTTATGATCTTAAAATACCAAGGGGGAAGATAACAAATCACATATTTAAAGAATTTAATAAATCTAGCCCTTCAGCTGTATTGGCAGCACCCTGCATTCCTTTAAATACCAGACTGTGGCATTGGCTCCCAGCAAAGTCAGCCCTCTGAATGCCAATGCTGGGTCCTCAGGCACTCTGTGCAGCAAGTGGCACTTGTCCAGACCTGATGGTTCTCGCAGCTGGGAGGTACAGTGTACCAGTGAAAAGGGCTTTCCCCCCTCTACAAGGAAGAAACAAATCACTCCTCCAAACCCAGCAGTTCTGGCTGAGAGGAATTTCCCCTGTCCCACCTGTGTCCTCAGGCTCAGCTTTTGTAGCAGAGCAAGACCAAATCCTACTGGAGTTATAAGACCCAGACAGTGATGGCTGTGGAGCAAGTGGCCAGGAGAAACTGAGTCTCCTTCCCATACCGTTCACATCCCACACACACAACAAAAATAATAAATTCACAAACTACTACTTTCATCCATCCCAGGGAGGAGAAGTAGATGGATAGGACACAGGAAGAACAACAAAGTATTCAAATCAGACTAGGCATAGTGCTGGCAAATGCTTCTGATAGCTACAGAAAAAACATGGTTCTTGCAAACTTAGAATAGTATTAAAAATGCACATACTGAATTTTAAGACAATAAGAGTACCCTGTATAATATAATGAAGAGATGTCATTATAAATTTGTTCAAACCCACAGAATATACAACACGCAGAGTGAACTCTATAGGCTTTGGGTGATTTTGATGTGTCAATAGATTATCATCCTTGATTTTTTAAAAAGTACCATTCTGGTGAGTGAAGTGGATAAATGGGGAGACTATGCATGTATGGGGGCAGATGGTATATGGAAAATTTCTGTAACTTCCTCCAATTTTGTTGTAAACCTAAAACTGTTTAAAAGAAAATCCTTAAAAAAAAGAATAGATGGAGACATGATTTGAAATGGTTATAAAAGTTAAAAAATAAAAAAAAAGATTGTGAGTGGATGATGACAGTATGAAAAATTCCGTGCTGCCCAGCCAGCATGGCTCAGTGATTGAGCGTCATCCTATACAATAGGAGACGGCAGGTTTGATTCCCAGTCAGGGTACATACCCAGGTTGCAGGTTTGATCCCGTCTGAAATTGATGGGTGTTTCTCTCTCACATCGATGTTTCTCACTCTTTCTTGCTCTCTCTCTCATGCTTACTCTGGCTCTCTCACTTCCGCTAAAATTAAAAATAAATCTATATACTGGTTTCATGCTCAGGAGACAAAATATGCAGAGTCTTTGGCAGAGTGGTCTGGTCTTGCCTCTCCTGGATGGGGGAGGGGGACAGAGAGGGAGAAAGGGCAAAGAGCTGCCATGGCCTCCTCCCAACACTACCTTGGATTCAGGTGACTTGGTGGCCTGCGATGGCCTTCAGTATCGCAAGAAATTGATGCAGTGAAGAAAATGTCTTTGCAGAGGCTGGGTTGCTAGGAAAGGCTTTAGGAAGACTGTCTACTTCAAGAGTCTATGGCTTAAGAAGACTACCAAGTAGAGGAGGTGTAATGGAGAAAAGCACCTTTTCCCAGAGGTCTTTACCTCACTGGTGCTAAGAATGAAGACAGGCCCTGCCAGCATGCCTCAGTGGTTGAGCATCCACCTATAAACCAGGAGGTCACGGTTCAATTCCTGGTCAGGGCACATGCCCAGGTTGTGGACTCAATCCCCAGTGTGGGGTATGCAGGAGGCGGCAGATCAATGATTCCCTCTCATCATTGATGTTTCTCTTTATCCCTTTCCCTTCCTATCTAGAATCAATAAAAATATATTTTTTTAAAAGAATGAATACAGGAAACAGAACAGAGAAGAGAGGACAAAGAGAATGTGTGAGGTCTGTGTTGCTGTGAAGAAAGCATAGGAGAAACCAAATTCAAAGCAGTAAGGCCAATTTTTCACAATTGCCGTAACATTCCACTTCCTTTACTGAAATGGCAATAATCAAAGCAGAAAAGTGAGTAGAAAAGGGACATAGGCAGGAGACTCACAGGTTGGCCAACAAGATGGATGAGGAAGAGACCCACAAACGCCCCGCTGTCTGAGGAAAAGAGCTACCGCAATGCTGAGTAGAATATCAGTGCTTACAATGCTGATACTACGGAAGGAGTAAGGCTTGCTTCCACACACATCAAATGCCAGACTGGCCATACTGAAAATACCCTCTTCTTAAATTATGTTTTCAGCTCTCTAGTGCTACTGATCCACTGAGTTTCTTAACCTTTAAGGTAACATAATAAACACTCTGAACTTTGAAAAGGTAACTTTCTATATTCCAAGAGAAAGAGTCCTTGCTTTCAAAGGCTCTCAAATATTTGTTTACAGGTGATTTGCACCTAGCAGATGATAGTGCTGTAATAAAGAAACCACACCAATGGCTCAGGGACCACTGCCAATCTGAAAGGCAACCTGATGTGATGACTGCATATTCTGAAAATCTCAGTCCAGCGTGTGATTTCACACAGCTGTCTAGTGAGCTCACGGTGGTCCTTTTCATTCACTGGAAACAGACAGATCCACCACTCACCATCCCTCGTCCATGGTTCAACAAGGAGGTTTTCAGGTCCCGACTTCTCTTCTTTTCCTTTGACATCACAGGCCTGCAACGTCAGCTGGAGCGGCTTACCTGACCACGGGAAAGAGAGTGCATGAAGCCAGCGCTGTGAGAAAGTGAAAGCTAGTGTGCACACCAGGGGCAAGGGAGTACCTGTGGCCACCCAGATTGCTGACTAAAAATTTGCCCAGTTAGAAGTGAAAACAGAGAAGCAATATTAGACAACAGTTGACACCATCTTCTGTGCTTTCCTGGAAGACAAAATACAGCTTATCTCCCTAAGTGAGTGTAAGAAGAGCTCTCTAGAATAACCGCTAATCTGAAACAAAGCACACTGTAAGACAGAGGTTAATACCATAGATTCAATGTATTTGCAGGTGGGAACATTCCCAAAATACTATTTTGAAGCCAATAATTAATTTTTATTATAATTGCATTTAAAAATATAAATAATGTCTTAGGAGTTTGAGTCTTGTTTCTTTAAAACACCTCCGGACAAATTTTTAAAGTTCTAAGAATTACAAAAATCAACATTTGCTATGATGATCTGAAAACTTTTCTTTTTTCCTTTGTTCTAATAATATAATGAATACCCATGACCCTCTAACCCAATCCAGAACTAGAACATTACCAATAACGAACATCCCCCGGCCTCGAGTAGTCCTTCCTATCCAGTGCTCCCTGCCCAAATGACTGCTTATCTGAATTGAAAACTTTTCTGAAGAGTATGTGCCAGATACTCTGTATCCCTCCCATCCAGCCATACTGCTACCTGTCCCTCCCCCACTCCAAAAAATGACCTTTCCAAATTTAGGAGAACACCCGAATTTATAAGACATCAATTGTCTGACTTTAAAAACTAAGCATAAAATAAATTAACTGATATTAAGGCAAAGGTACAAATATCATGGCACATATATCATAACAACGCCTCTATTGCTGAAGAGGATGGGATCCAATCTATACTTCGTGGACAGAAACTTGAACACAAGAGGCTGACTGCAGCAAGTAAGTTGTTCCTCACATGCCAACTGTAGTCATTTGGGAGTTGCTGGATGGGCCTCCCTGTTGAGAAGGATTACGAGGCCCCATCCTGGGCAAATAGAAAAGTATAAGATGGACTGCCCAGGAGGGGAAAGCGGTGGCAGGCGTGTATGTATGTCCATATATGTCCTCCAATCAGCTATCTTAGGGATGCATTCTAAGACAAGGATCCTTTGCATTGTGTCAGGGCTAGTTCCCTCCCTCTTCCAGGTGAGAGGTACTCAAACTTACCAACCCTCTTGCCACACAATGAGACTCCTATACTTCACCAAAGGTGGCTGTGACCAAATGGCTATCAAGCCTGAGTAATTAGGCCAGTAAATCCTGGAAGTGCAGCCTAGTGGACACTCAGATCCTCTTCTGTTGATGCTGCCATAAATAAGCCAACATCCCCCTTATTCCTCCGAACCCCAGTGAAAGAAGGTATATTTATCCAGGAACTATGGTATATCTACAACTCAGCGTACAAACTACCCAAAAAGATAAGAATACGCCAGAAATTCCCACATGTACAATGGTTTTATGACTTGTCCATCAAGCTTAAGTCTTACCATATTTAAGGAGTAGGTTCTGCCTGACCGCTGCCATGGATGAGATGAGGGACGAGGCATCGTAGTGTGTGTCCAGGTGGTCTGTGATAGTACACAGAGAGCTCAGCACTTTAGCAACACTTCCTCTTGCTAGTGCAAAAGCCAGGAGAGTCAGCTCCACCTCTGGGGTAGAACAGCAACTATAAACAAAGAGAAAAACACTTAACTTCTTAACAACATGAGAAAATCCAAGTAAGCTCAAACCCCATGTGAAGTAAAGTCAACCTGCCATGCGCTTTCAATACGTTTACCAGAAATAATTTTTCAAAATCCTTAAAGATTAAAAAAAAAAACACTAAACCAACCCAGAAAATCAGATAATTAAATCCTCACTTCTGTAACCTTAATCTGTAAATATTAAATAATACTAATATCAATTTTAACAAGTCCAACTTTACAAATCAAAAATAAATAAATCAAACATAAATAAGCAACTGCAATAAGCCTCTGCTGTTAAGAAGGCTTGGGTAGCCCAGCCGGTGTGGCTCAGTGGGTGAGCACTGACCTATGAACCTGGAGGTCACGGTTCAATTCCCGGTCAGGACATATACCCAGGTTGCAGGCTCAATCCCCAGTGTGGGGTGTGCAGGAGGCAGTTGATCAATGATTCTCTTTCATCACTGATGTTTCTCTCTCTCTCTCTCTTTCTCTCCCCCAACCCCCTCTCCCTTTCTTGCTCTGAAATCAATAGAAACATATTTTTAAGAACAAAGGCTTGGGTAATTAGTTGGCTTGGCCAGAGAGTTAAGGGTTTATTTCTTCAAGCCCCAAAAACATATTTTAGATATACTGCACGTCACATTATTCTGCCTTTTTCAAACACATGACCATGAAACTTTAGAAACTATCCAGATGGCCCAGGGCCTGGTTTTTATTCTAATATAGTAATGTCACTATATCACAGCTAAATGTTCCCACCCTAAGTGACCCCACTATCAAGGTGCCCTTTCCCAGTTTTATAGACAGTCAGGCTTCTTAGATCTGTGCATAGAGTAAGCAGTTCTGAGTAAGGCCACAGGCTGGGGATATACAGGAACTGAGTTTTGTACTTTACACTTTGGGACACCTGCTCTAGCTGAATCAGAGGACTACTCCCTCTTTACCCCCAATTCCTAAGGTCAGGTGACACTACCTGATAATGGAATTTATATGGATGACTATTATTTCTCTTTGGTAACCAAAAAGGAAACATTTTTAATGCAGATCTTATTCATGTTTTTAAAAATTTAACAGGCATATATATACCCACTATTTCCCACAAATACCAGACCCAGCAACCTTGACTTTACCTAGTTATCCTTATGAGGAAGCTGTCCACTTCTTCCAGAACGTTGGGAGACAGGAAAGTTGAGCCATCCGTAGATCCCGGTGAAAGGGACAGTGGAGGCATGTGCTGCAGTGCCTTCCTAGAAATGTAAAATGTAAAATCAGGACAAACCCAGGCAAAAAATAAATAAATTTAACAGTGTATCAGACAAAAAAGAAATCATCAGAAAGCTTGTCTTGATTAGTCCCTTAAAAACAAACAAAATGTGATACACAACATATACTGCCCTTTTTCCCCCAATCATCATGGTGCTAAGTAGTTAAATGAGGTTTCTTTCTACATATATAATACCAATACTTCACTGCTATTGAAGCTGGTTGTTTTGCCTTATATGTTATTACTGGGTATTTTTGCCCTAGCAATTTTTCAAAAGAAGATTTTCAAAGGTACTCTACATTTAAAAATAAATAAGTTTGGCGGTCTTGAGAAGATTTCATTCATTAATGAAAAGCCAACCTCTGCCCCCCCCCACCCACCCCTTGGGCCCTGGAGTCCAAAGACCTAGATTTAAACTGATCCATCACTGTCTGGTATGGATCATGTACTCAGGGAAGGTTACAATATCCTTATCTATAAAGTGGAAATAATTTTTACAGGTACATTTCACAATATGCTGTTAGTACTATACAGCATCTGAAAGTGCTTTATCAACATAAAATGTTATATAAATGTGAGCAATTGTTCCCCAAAGATTAGCAGGAATGGCATGTGTGACTGCTTCACAGGAGTGGAGTTGGAGGCATAAACAGGAAACAACAGGGCATCTGGGGCTGAGCTGCTGACTAGGTCTCCGTGATCAATGACCAACAGTCGCTCAGTAACAGACCCTAATGGGTTAGAGAAGAATGAGTATACCATGAAGTAACTGGAGAGCAGAGAGAGTAACTTACTGAGTATTGCGCAGCACTGTCTGGACAAAGGCTGGATTTGTCTCCATGGAAGCCGTCACCAGAGACGTCAGAAGGGACCAATACCATATTGCAGAAGCATCTGAGACTGAGACCCCAGACTTCTTAACTCTCTGAAAGCCAACAGCCCTGAGACCATGAATTCTAGTGTCACATCCATCACTAAGACAACGCTTTATGTTAATCTGGACATCTGTCAAGTACAAACAACAAATTTAGCATTGGATTAACTTCTCCAGCAAAGCTAGGCTCCCAACTAAAGAAACAGCAAAATAGTAATTCTTATTCCAAATATAAAATTCTGAAGCTACACCTTGATGCCAGAAGTAAATAATGTTTGCAATGAGCTAGTATATAATAAACTTGTCAAAAAAGCATTGACCAATCTAAGGAATCATAGGAATGATGTATAAAATTAAGAATGGCCTGCCCTGGCAGGTGGCTCAGTTGGTGGCGCTTCGTCCTATACACAAAAAGGTTGGGGGTTTGATCCCCAGTCAGGAGGCATTCAGGAGGCAACCCATCAATGCTTATCTTTCACATCAATGTTTCTCCCTCTCTTTTTCCCTTCCCCTATCTCTGAAAATCAATAAAAACATATCCTCAAGTGAGGATTAAAAAAAAGGTGGCATAAATTTTTTCATCACAAAGCTTCATCGGAATTTATGACTATAAAAAATTAACACAAACAGCACTTTTAAAATCCTGATTAAATACATAGTAAGAAAATTTACAGATTTTTTTTTCTAGAGTTCTGAAATTTGTATTTAGTTATAAAACAGTAGCTAGGTCATAGAAGTTGTAAGAATTTTTTTAATAACCAGGTGCAAATAAATGGCATAGGCATGACCCACTTTTAAGAGCTGTCATTAAATTGCTTATTTGGGTTGGAGAGGAGAAGGTCAGAGTTAAAAAAGACACAAGTGAGAGAAAAGACCACGGTATAAAACAGGAAGCTTCAACTCCACAAGTATAGCTACTTCTTTCCCTACACAAAGACTCTACCTCCCTATGCCTCAGTTCCTTTGGGCAAAGTAAGAACACTGCTTTGGCCCAGGAAAGCTTTAGGAGAAATGAGACAAAACATGAAGCATTCCAGTTGCCTGAATGAAATAAGCCTGGAAAGAAATCACAGAATTGTGATTATTTCCAAAATGCTATTTGTGAAGCAAGATTTTAAGAGTACAAAAATGGCCGGGACCGGTTTGGCTCAATGGATAGAGCGTCGGCTTGGGGACTGAAGGGTCCCGGGTTCGATTCCGGTCAAGGGCATGTACCTTGGTTGCGGGCACATTCCCAGTAGGGGGTGTGCAAGAGGCAGCTGATCGATGACTCTCTCTCATCGATGTTTCTAACTCTCTATCTCTCTCCCTTCCTCTCTGTACAAAATCAATAAAAAATATATTAAAAAAAAATGGAAACAACCTAAATGTCCAATAATAAAAGGAGAGGTTAAAATTAAGGCATATTCATACAATACTAAAGGTATGCATGAATATATGATATGACATGTTAAAAAATTACAAAAGAGCAAGTACAGAATGTCACTATTTTTGTTAAAAGACATGTAGAGATAGATATAAATATGTTTACACAACCTTTTTTTTAAAATATATTTTATTGATTTTTTACAGAGAGGAAGGGAGAGAGATAGAGAGCCAGAAACGTCGATGAGAGAGAAACATTGACCAACTGCTTCCTGCACATCCCCTACCGGGGATGTGCCCACAACCAATATACATGCCCTTGACCGGAATCGAACCTGGGACCTTTCAGTCCGCAGACCGACGCTCTACCACTGAGCCAAACCGGTTTCAGTACAACCTTTTTTTTTTTAATGTGTGTGTACATGTACACACATCAATATACAAATACAAGAAAAGGTCTGAAAGGATGTACACCAATGAATTCAGTGACAATATCCCTGAGTAGTGGAATTTTCAGTAATTTTTGTTTATCTATATTTTTCTAATTTTCAGTAAGAAAACAAGAATAAAATATTTTTAATTTAGAAAGGCTTTAGCCCTAGCTGGTTTGGCTCAGTGGATAGAGCATTGGCCTGTGACTGAAGAGTCCCAGGTTCAATTCTGGTCAAGAGCACATGCCCAGGTTGCAGGCTAGATCCCCAATAGGGGGCACACAGGAGGCAGCTGACCGATAATTCTCTATCATCACTGATGTTTCTATCTCTCCCTCTCCCTTCTTCTCTGAAATCAATAAAAAATATATATTTTTTAAAATAGTGAATAAATAAATAAGGCTCTACTCCCCTGGCTGGGTGGCTCAGATGGTTAGAGCATCATGCCATACACAGAAAGGATGTGGATTTGATTCTCAGTCAAGGCACATTCCAAGGTTGCAGGTTCGATACCCAATCAAGACGAGTATGGGAGGCAACCAATCTCTCCCTCTCTCTCCTCTTCCCTTTTCTCTTTCTCCCTTCCAACCCTCCCCTCTCTCTCAAATAAATAAAAATTAAAACTGTTTTACCGCTTTTCTATTACTTTCAAAAACACTAAACAGATGAAATAATTTCTTGTGGATTATGAGAAGCATATCAAATCTTCAAAGAGAAACTAAAAGCTTTGCCACCTCAGAGGCCTTTGTGCTAAAAAAGATTACTTCTTTTCTTCTTCCCAATCCCCATAGTTAGAAGGGCAAGATGCTTCTTGGTTCACTCACAGAGCTGACTGATGTTCGCATTTTCCAGCAGTGTCACATAGCCGGTGACATTGCTGGGAATGTGCACGTCACGGACTTCCTGCAGATCGCTGGCATTCCTTCCCACGGCTACTGTCACCTGCTGCGGCATGTAGCTCTGGTCAGTAGCAGCCACTGCAATGGATAGGTGCCTAAGGACCACATCTGGCTTCATTTTTAAACTGGAAAAAACGGAAAACAGAAACTACAAATGTTTACATAAGTCAAGAATTGACAGGTTCCACAAGTCTCATTTCCAAGACCTTATACTAAGTATTTGAAATTCCCAAAGACTGATTTTCCTAAAACCAACTTACTTGAAATGCTGGCTATTAGTTTTGAAGTTCTTATGGCTTTTCCCAAATCTCTAAAATTTATTTATCTTCAAGATTAATCTTATATTTCCTTTTAAGCTATTAGTACAAGCAGGAAAGCACAATATAAACATTCTGACAAAATCCATTTACCTGGCAAGAAGCAAATTCTAAACTGCATCCAAAGAACTAAGTATATTTCCTCATCTATAAATTAGATAAATTAGGTGGTTAAAGATCATATATACCCTCAATGACAAGACATAACAATTATTTCTATTTCCACCAACTGAAATTAGTTCATTCTCTGAAGAGATAGCTGAAATTTTACATAGCAGCTTCAGAACTTCTAGAAATATCAGTTCCACTCTGGGATTCCTAACTACCCTCTTCCTCTTCTAAACTAGCCAACTCAGTTGATACTAATTGTTTTTAATGTACAGAAAAAAAAATCTTAAAAAGTGAAATCACATCTGATATAAGAAAAGTACTTGCCCATTATACCATTTTCCTGAGAAACTAGTGAAAAAAAAATCTGAAATCAATATCATGTAATATTAATCAAATGCTATTTTCTCCCTTGAAATACCAACCAAGGCCGAGACCGGTTTGACTCAATGGATTGAGCGTCGGCTTGGGGACTGAAGGGTCCCGGGTTCGATTCCGGTCAAGGGCATGTGCCTTGGTTGCGGGCATATTCCCAGTGGGGGGTGTGTAAGAGGCAGCTGATCGATGACTCTCTCTCATCGATGTTTCTAACTATCTCTCTCCCTTCCTCTCTGTACAAAATCAATAAAATATATATTTAAGACACCACTGCACTCGGACCAGCCAATAAAATATATATTAAAAAAAAAGAAAAAAGAAATACCAACCAAGGAAAGTGTCTATGTTTATGACCATGTGAACCAAGTTACATATTACCTGATGCTTTTACTTGATTATTAAAGCACCTTCATAAATAATCACAATAATAAAAACACAAGGCAGTTAAGTAGAAAATATTTTAAATTAAAAAGAAAAATTTTTTTGAATGCACTGATGGGATAAGACAGTGTTTCCCAAAGTGCGGTACGCCTACCCCCCGGGGTACGGGAAGAGTTTGGTGGGGGTACGAGTTGCACTGGAGTTTGGTGGGGATATGCACTGCACCGTGCTTAGCTGCGCCTAATTCTACATTCTCATGAGTACGAGGGGTACTCAGCGTTACGGAAATTATAGAAGGTGTATGCATATGTCAAAAGTTTGGGAAACACTGGGATAAGAGAAAGAAAGCAGCTAATTTTCTTGAACTTTCACTCAAAAATTGGTATCATACCACTCACCGAATCCAGTGTGAGCGGGCACTGCCATCTGACTGCCAATAAGATGATGTTTCTCCATTTGTCATCTTGTCAATGTCTGCAGGATTGGAGGATGTTTCTATATAAGCATAGCACTTTGCTATTGACTTGAGCTTATCCATCTCTGGGCTTCCAGTTAGATCTCCAGGGCTTTCTGCAAGAAAAAACAGATTTTACCATATGACATTTCTTTCACAAAGGCGGGGGGGGGAAGGAGGAATCATTTAAAAAATATATATTTCTTGCCCTAACTGGTTTGGCTAAGTGGACAGAGCATTGGCCTTCGGACTGAAGGGTCCCAGGTTCAATTCCGGTCAAGGGCACATTCCTGGGTTGCGGGCTCAATCCCCCAGTAGGGGGCATGCAGGAGGCAGCCAATCAGCGATTCTTTCTCATCATTGATGCTTCTCTCTCTCTCTCTCTTCCCTTCTCTTTTCCTCTCTGAAATCAATAAAAATATATTTAAATATATATTTTTATTTTATTTTATCTTTCTACTGATTTCAGAGAGGAAGGAAGAGGGAGAGAGAAATAGAAACATCAATGCTGAGAGAGAATCACTGATCGGCTGCCTCCTGGGGATCACGCCCACAACCTGGGCATGTGCCCTTGGTCGGAATTGAACCTGGGATTCTTCAGTCCGCAGACCGATGCTCTATCCACTGAGCCAAACTGGCTAGGGCAGGAGGAACTATTTAAAATATCTATCCCTTTCCCCAGCTGCCAGTAGGTGCTCAGTCTTTACAAGAAAGTTAAGGTCGAGTTGGGGTGAGGTCCTCACTTCATCTAGCACTAGCCCAACACTTGCCCACACCATGGTCTCCCTCTCAGAGCTCGCCTGCTTCTACTCTGCCCTCACCCTGCAGCATGACAGTGACGATGCACATGTTGAACCTTTCTGACCAGCCTTGTTTGCAAAGGCTCTGACCAACATCAACATCGGGAGCCTCACCTGCAGTGTGGGAGCTGATGCTGCCCCAGCAGGAGGTCCTGCTCCTCCCCCACTGCTGCCTCAGACGAGGAGAAGAAAGTGGAGGCAAAGAAAGAAGAATCTGAGGAGTCTGATGATGACATGGGCTTTGGTCTTTTTGACTAAAACTCTTTTGTGACACATGCAATAAAAAGCTGAACACTGGGGGGCGGGCGGGGGGAGGAAATCTAATAGAAATATGCTTGGCACTTGGCCCTAGAAAAAAAAGTTCCTTAAAATCTCCTTCCAAAGAACCCAAACAAATCAGAAATTGGCCAAGAACTGCTCCATGAGCTCATTATAGCACAATACTAAAGTCAATGATGTATTTGCAAAACCATGCCAAGAGAAGAAAATGGTATTTTATAATTTAATTTACATTTCTTTAATTATGAGCGAAACTTTTTAAGCTACTTGTTTGTAAGACATTTGTTTTTCTGAGTATGAGCTTGTCCTACCCTTATCTATTTTCCACTAGGTCATAAATCTTCTTATCAATTTACATATTTCACATACATTATATAATGTGTGTGTGTATATACACACACACACACACACACACACACACACACACTAGTAATAGGTGATATATACTGAGTGTATACTGTGAGCTGGGTACTTTTCCATACATGTTTTATGTATTAACCCATTTTGGAGATGAGGAAACTAAGGCCCAAAGAGTTAAGTAATTGCCCAAGATCGGAGTCTGTCATATATTCTTTTTTTTAAATTCTTTATTGTTGAAGGTATTACATGTCTCCTTTTTCCCCCATTGATGTCTCCTAGCCCACCCCCGTCCCATCATAATATTCTTGTTCCCTAGAATGTCATTTGTCTTTTCACTGTTTACATTTTTTGCCATATAGAAATTTAAATTTGCATATGGTCTAATTTATTAATCTTTTATTTTGTAGTTTCTGAGTTTCCTGTATTGCTTAGAAAGGGTTTTCTATGTCAGGGTTTTTATAAATTGGAAATATTTCCTTCTAATACTCTTAAAAAGTTTTCTTTTTAGTTGAATTTTTTTATCCCTCTGAAATTTAGTGAATAAAATATGTTAAAATTCTAGTTTTATTTTTTTCTCCAATAGCTAACCAGTTGTCCTATCCCCACATATTGAGTAATTCATCTTGCCACCTGATCTGTAATACTGACTACTAGTATATCTGGTACTACATCCCCTCATGTATTGAACTCTATAAAGTTCCACAGGCCTTTCTATTCACATTATCAGCTTTTGTTGCCATCACTAAGTGAGTCTACAGTGGCTTCCCTCATTTATTCAACAGCTACTCCTAGAGTACCAATTAAGTGGCAAGCACAGTTCCAGGTGCCAAGGGTAACGAAGTGAACAAGACAGACAAACTACAAGTAAATGATAATGCTAAAACTTCAGATGATGGTAAGTGCTTATTCAGACCACCAGACCTGCAAAAATAATAGTGACCAGAAGAAGGTGAGGAAAAGCCTTCCTGAAGTCCCATCTGAGCAGATACTTGAATGACAAGAAACCAGTGTGTTAAAAAGGAAGGAAGGGAAAAAAAGGAGGGAGGAATGGAGGGAGGAAGGGAGGGAAGGGAAAAGAAAGGGTGAGCAGATGACATTCTTATGTGACAAACTGGTCACTATTACATTTTAACAAATAACGGCAGGGAGAAGGGGTGGCTCATCTGTTATTAAATACTACATTTGAAAGAAAGGATGATAGAATTTTCAGGACTCTCCCTCACATTCACGTACCTTTTTCTTTTTGTACCAGTTCATCCAGAGACTCCTTCAGAACAGAAGCCCTCATGGTACACATGTTATTGCAGTGGTCCAACATGGGGTATGGGATGACCACACTCGAGAGCCGATTGCGATGCAAAAAGCGCAGTATCACTGATGAGTGAGCACCCAGCCCTTCCTTGGACTCCGAAAAAATGTCTATGAAACCTAAACAGACAAAATCCATTTTTAGTGTTTTCAGGAACCCACCATAATAGTTTCCACATCCCCTGCCTGGTGGCCTATCTGAAATGGCTGAATTAAAAGCAGCCAGTAAGAATCTTCATTGAGGCCGAAACTGGTTTGGCTCAGTGGACAGAGCGTCGGCTTGTGGACTGAAAGGTCCCAGGTTCGATTCTGGTCAAGGGCATGTACACTGGTTGCGGGCACATCCCTGGTAGGGGGTGTGCAGGAGGCAGCTGGTCAATGTTTCTCTCTCATCAATGTTCTAGCTCTCTATCCCTCTCCCTTCCTCTCTGTAAAAAAATCAATAAAATATATTATTTAAAAAAGAATCTTCATTGAGCCCTGGCAGGTGTGGCTTACCTGAGTTGTAGGTTCCATCCCGCACTAGGGCACACTAGGTCACATGCAGGAGGCAACCAATTGATGTGTATCTTTCACATCGATGTTTCTCTCTCCCTTCCTCCCTCCCTCTCTTCCAGTCTCTCTAAAAAATTAGTGGAAATAATATCCTCAGGTGAGCATTAACACCACCAACAACGAAATTCACTGATATTTTCAGCTTTAATATTTAAAATCTGAACAAGTTTTAAGAAATAAACCAATGGTATTCTCAATTTAAAAATTAATTTCATTTGAGTTATACAGAATTTTAGAAGACTTAGAAGAATCTAGATTATTTGTTTCAACCCAAACTTCAAAAAATTTTAAGTAGTTAAATACTAACTAGAAATTTTTAAAGTTTTGCATATAGAATATGGGCCAGGAATAGCTTACTGCATTAGAGAGCAAAAGCATAACAGCTTTAATACTAAGCTAAATAAGACAATGGTAATAATACAACCACTCCCCTGGCCACAATTTCTGATAGCATTTTATAGTTTACCAGGTACTTCCACACACATGCTCTCATTTGGTCCTCACAGTGAGGTTAGAGGAGGGACAGGAGAGTACCAAAATTATTGGTATCCTTGTTATGCAACTGAGGAAAACGAGGTTCAGGTGACACTAAGACAAAAAAAAGGGGGGGGGGGACTGGGAATACCCTTTTACACTGTCTCCAAGTGCTCCTTCCACCATTAGTTTTCTCTTTCCCATGGGACTCCTCTGGACTCTGTGCCATTGTCCTTCCCTCTGCCACTGTATAGACTCTGACCTCAACATCTCCCGTTCATATACCTGCCCAGATTTTCTAAGTGGCTCCCCTCGCCGCCCTTTGTCTGACATTAACCCAACTAATCAAATAAAAACACAAAACAGACCATGTCTCCTCCTGTTTAAAAGCCTTTCATGATTCCCCATAATCTGCAATAAGATGCCTTGAACTGAGGTGCCCAGAAGCCAAAAGAATGTTAGGGCCAAGTGAGAGAGGATACACATGACAGCTCTGCCTGGAGCTCAGATACACTTGTTCATCTATGGGGTTTTCTTCTCTTTTTTCATTTTCTAGTAAATCATAACATATGTTACAAAAAGTACATATAATTGTATCACTTAATGAGGTTCCACAAACTAAACACACCCAGAGCAAAACTCCTGAAGTCTGTAGGAGAAACTGTTTTTAAGTGTAAAACAAGCAGATATGCTAGAGCGGATGAAACTTTGCATTAGTTTTTAAGATAAAACATGAAGCTGAGGAGAAATTTTGCACTTGAAGCAGCTCATTTTGATTACGCCCCTTCACAAACCCTGAACGCACTGCTTTGACCCCCCAAGTCAAAAGTTCATGCCATCCCTTGCCCTCCTTTTACAGTTGTCTTGTCTTAGCAGATTCCCACCGTAATGTCCAAATCTCACATATGACCCTGCTGGTGCTGCACTGACTTCCCAGGACCCATGAGAAAAAACAGACTGATGCTTGTGATGAGAAATATTTTATCATCAAGCAATAGATTCGGTAAAGGTGTGTTTCTCATTTAAATTCTAAGCACTGCCCTGTCTGGTGTGGCTCAGTTAGTTGAGCATCGTCCTGTGCACTGAGAGGCCCTGTTGGATTCCAGATCAGGGCAAATGTCCTGCTTGCAGGCTCAATCCCTAGTAGGGGATATGTGGGAGGCAGCCAACTGGTGTTTCTCTCTCTCCCTCTCCCTTCCCTCTCTGACTGAGAATCAATAAAAATGTATTTAAAAAAAAAAAATCTAAGCACCAGTACAATGAGATATAAAAGGAACAAGTTTCAGTCTGGATTTGAAAAAGGGACCAGGAAACTGAAATCCCACCAAAGAGGTGGCAAACTAAGGTTTGTTCTAAGACTGTGATAAAACAATTCTCTTAAGTTGGGTACTGACAGAACATTGTAAGTAGAAAGTCCTAAGCCTTGAGATCTGGAGCCCTAATTTTCCTAACCTAATCTCCCCCTCTTCCCACAGCCACCTAGAGCAACAGTGCACGAAGTGTCATCTGTTGGTGGATTCCCTGGTCTCCCCTTCCTCCTCTCTCCTCCCAAAATATCTTTGAGGTGTTCAAATAAAGTTCCTGATGCTGTCACAAGCTAGTAATGCAAAAGTGTGAGTAATATGTAAATGCCAAGATATAAGATAGCTAAACATAACTCAAAACATAATTTTAAATGCCATGAGAGTAGGAAAAAGTTAATATGTAAGGCTTCCTATATAATTAGATTTTATAAAAATTATATAATTAAAGACAATTTCAGGAAAAATGGAAATATGCATTCTTCGGTGGAATACAGAAACCAGTCTTTCCTTGCTTAACACATCAGCAGCAGTAAGCCAGAGGTCAAGGGCAATCAGATTTACAATTATGTATCAATCAAATCTTCCTTGGTCACTGTCCTAACTTGGCTCTATACTAAGTATTACGATTCCAAGGGCACAAAGCAGGAAAACTTCTTAGATAAGACAATCAGAAACTAAAAGGATGGTGTGTAAAGTTTTTTTTTTCTTCCCCTTTAAAATTTGCTTTCTCACTGAGGGGGGGGAAAAAAGGTAATTTTCTTATGGTTCTGTTTTCTGGGCCCCCAAAACAAACCATACAAGAGCAAAGTTTTTCCATATGTACAATGTAGAAAAAATATTGCTTAATTTCAAGCTATTTTTATTCTTACTTAAAGTTCAGGGTGACAGCTTTCTAAAAAAAACACACTGAGTGCCTACCATGTGCCAAATTATGTACTAAATGTGAGGACACAGCAGAAATAAAAGGTCCCTACCCTCACAGAGCTGACAGTATAAGAGTAAAGATAGGCATTTAACAAATAATTGCTTAGCAGCTAAGTGTTTCCCAAACTTTTGACATATGTGTACCCACCCCTTCTATAATTTTTGTAACGCTGAGTACTCCTCGTACTCATGAGAACGTAGAATTAGGCGCAGCTAAGCACTGTGCAGTGCATACCCCCACCAAACTCTTCCCGTACCTCTGGGGGTACATTTTGGGAAACACTGAATTACACTGCTACTATGTTGCAAAAAAAGAAATGCAGGATGCTAGGAGAAAATACAATAGGGGCCAGGAAAGGCTTCAAGAGAATAAAATAAAGAAATCCGCTAAGAGCGGTAGTCTCATGACAGAGATTCATAAAAATGGTAGAACTGCTCAGCCATCACTGTATTGGGGGACAAAAGAAATGATTACATTGAACTGTGGTAATTCAGGTCATGTGCCTTATGAAGTACCTTTATTTCACAGGCCCCGCAAGCTTGCCTAATTACAACCCATGAAACTGCAAAGTTCATTTTGGCTCAAAGAGAATGCTCTTTAGCTTTAGGCGCTCAGATGAAGGCCTTATACCTGGGACAAGAGAACAAGCCTGAAGTTGTCTGATGATGTGACTCAGTTCCCCCTGAAGATTAGCTCCACTGGAATTCTTGAGGGCCTCCAACATGCTCTCAGCATCAACAGTGCCATCACCTTCAGCATCAAACTGGGCAAAGGCCTACAAAAAAAGAGATGCAAGAAAATCAAGCTCCAAATTCTGGGGGGAAATTTTTTTTTAACAAAATTAAAAATTTTTTAATTGATTTGAGAAACATCAATTTGTTGTTCCACTTATTTATGCGTTTATTGGTTGCTTCTTATATGTGCCCTTACCAGAAATTGAACTCTCAACCTTGGTATTTCTTTCTTTTTTTTCTTTTTTTTAATATATTTTATTGAGTTTTGCAGAGAGGAAGGGAAGGGAGAGAGATAGAGAGCTAGAAAAGTCGATGAGAGAGAAACATCGACCAGCTGCCTCCTGCACACCCCCCACCAGGGATGTGCCCACAACCGATGTACATGCCCTTGACTAGAATCAAACCCGGGACCTTTCAGTCCGTAGACTGAGCCAAACTAGCATCGGCTCAACCTTGGTATTTCGAGATGATGTTCTATCAACTGAGCTACCAGGCAAGGGCCCACAATTCTTAAGGCCAATCTTTTTTGTTGTTGTTGGGCGATTCCCTATGTGTCATTCAAAGAACAAATGAATTCAGGATAGTAATTCACTGTGCTTTGCAGATATATGTATATAAGTATTACTACATGTATTTACAATTTTATCATCTCATTTCTATTTCAAAGGAGTACTCCAAAACAATTTAAGAAAAAAGTAACCAATACAAAATTTTTCACCTGGTTACAAAGTGCCAAATACACAGCTAGAATTAGAAAGAACTGGCTTAGAGTAACACCTCAGCTAAGATGGACTTTTCCTTTTAAATACTCTTCTGAAATATCTACTTCACAGCCCTGTTTTCGCTGACCTTTAACCATAATCCAACTTGCTCTTTATCCATGTTAGGGCCATTTGAGGAACTGAGTACAGCATAGGATTTGGTTTGAATCCTGCTCTATCACTACCTGGCTATATGACTTTATACTTATTTCTTTACTTCCATAAGCCTCAGCTGAAATATCACCAAACTCACAGGCTGCTGCCTGGATTAAGTAACAGGTGAACAGAGCCCAACAGTGAAAGCCCAGCAGCATTCCAAGTGCTTCCCTTCTCCTGTCCAGTCTACAATGTTACCCCTCCATAGCTTCTGACCCCGTTCCCTCTTATCCTATATGAGAGGAATATGCTAATTATACTAATTATCCATTACGCCATGAGGCATAGCAACCGACCACATAACGACCATCATGGATCTATAAGTAGGTGGGGCAGCGAACTACAAGCGGGCGGTGGAGAGCAGCTGGAGGTGGAGAGCTCCAGGATGGGGAGAGCCCCAGGAGGGGGCAGGGCAGCAAGCAAGTGGAAGGCAGAGAGCTACAGAAGGGGGCAGGGCAGCAAGCTATGAGGGGAGGCGGGGGGAGCTACGGGAGGGCAACAGAGAGCTACTGGCACACAGATTCGTGCGCAGGCCTACTAGTATCCTATAAGACTTTCCTCATTTGGTAACTGCCCCTATTCCCAGCTCTCTATCCTCCCTCATCAGTGGCTTCTTTCCTTCTGTTCATACACTCACTCACAGACACCCTCACCAGGAAATACTTCAGGGGTCTTCTACCCTCTCTTCTAAGCAATCCCCTCTCTTCCCTAAAACTCCTGCTCCTTTTCCTTATTTTCCTCCTTTATATATATATATATATTTGAGGTTTCAAACTAATACAAATATCCCTATTTCCATCACAGACCTCTGAACAATGCAATGTGTAATAGAAACATATACAATCCCTTGTGTTTGGATCCAAAAACCAAGACATAAATGCAGGATGGGGGACAGAGATTGGAAGCAATATCTGAGAAGGTTCTAGGTATTCTTTTTGCCTCTACTCAAGGTGACAAGATTATCCAAAAAGTTAATAGGGTTAAAGACTATACTAATCTACACTAATAAAAGAGTAAGATGCAAATTGACCGTACCTTCACAGCTCCCACCAACCAATCAGGAGTATGCAAACTAACCCAACAAAGATGGTGGGTTAATTGCACACGCAGGTGCCTAGTGGCTGGGGGTGGGACATTTGCATTATCGCAGGCATTCCGCACCACCCCAGCTGCTCTGGGCCTCTGGGCAGCGTGGGAAGGTGGAAAAATGGCTCCAGGCCAGAGCAAAAAGGCGGCTCCAGCCAGAGCGAAGGCCTATTCTCGCATGAATCTTTGTGCATCGGGCCTCTAGTCTAGGTATAATGTCCTAAAGGAGAGAAGATATATTATACTATTCTTTTCTGTTAGACCAAATAAAAGAGACTGAGTTTAGTTTTGAAGCTACACATCAAAAGGAAGAGAGTTACAGGCCAGTTGTTTTGCAGAGCATTTCTCAACTTGGGCTGTGTGATGCTTCCTCATGATTAGATTCAGGTGATGCTTTCTTAGCAGGAATACCACAGAAGAGATCAGAGGAAAGAGATCATGATGGAGAGACTAGAAATTCCCTATGAGGAACAGCTGAAGGACTGTACATCTCTGGTGTGGAGAAAACATGCCTGAGAGTAACAGAATCCTTCTCTTCAACGATCAGATGCGTTGTCATAGGAAGGAGCAGTGAAAATTAAGGTCCCTAAATAGAGATCAGAGAGAAAAGCTCATCAGAAAGACAAACTTGTGTGCTGTCAGTGGGTATGAAGATGGGTTAGGAGGCTCTGGGAAGGAATATCCACTCCATCCCTTAAGGCTTCAGAGCAACAGCTGGACAAGCCATCAGGAGTGTTCAAAGAAGTTAACACTGAACAAATGCATTTACCTCTGCTCCCTCTTGAAATCCCACTAAGACGATAGTATAAAGTGATGTTAAAGAACAAGGACAAAGAAGAGAAGAGGATGCAATAGCAACAAAATTTTGGAAGGTGGGAAGCAGATGGATGAGTAGTAACCGAGTTGGTTACCCCCAGAAAGTGGAATCCTAAACTGGACTGGGCAAAGAGCTTTACACTGTAAAGCTCCAAAGGACTTGGGAGTTGGTAGCAGTAGCTACTGCTTAAAGTGGCGGTATTACTATTTGAAAAAACAGTAACTGATTGGATAAACACTTATCTTAAGGAATTGATAGGATTTTCTTTTTGACAGGAAATGGGTGATAGATTGTGTATATTTTTTAAAAGAGGTCTCTGTTTAAGAGATATGTAATGAAATATTTATGAATTAAATGAATTATTTGTGAATGAAAAAAATTGCTTCAAGATAATTTGGAGGAAAAGTAGGTGGTGTTTAGATGAAATAAAACTGGCCTTTTTATTGGTAACTTTTAAAACTGGTTTACACATGCGTGGGAATTCATTCTCTTATTTGTACTTTAAAATTTTCCACTATAGGAAAAAAAAACAGATTCCCAGATTCCCAAATCTTCTTCCCAATCTTGGCAGAAGTTTGATTCTCTGGAGAGAACAGTACAGAGCATCTCTGGATTGGAAAATACCAGGCACAGTGTGACTACTACACTGAAAATAGGGGAATTCGTGTTTTCATGCAAAATATTTAAGACTCAACTTTCCCTTAGGGCTCCTAGAATGCTGGCAGCCAGTCTCATACCCTCCAGACATGAGACTTGAAAGAGTCTTCCCTGGGGTACCTGAGAAGCCAGGAGAACAGACCTACAGATGCTGGCATTGGCGAGCTTCCAGCCAATTCATTTCACAGTGAGGGTCACTGGTCACCAGCGATAGGCATAGAGCATCAGCCTTTTTTAGTCCCCCATTCTTTTTTTTCTTTTTCTTTTTCTTTCAGTTGTCAAGATTTTCCACACTTTTGTCTTTCACGACCTTGACATACTTGATGAGTTACAGGCCAGTTGTTTTGTAGAGCACTTCTCAACTTGGGCTGTGTGAAGATTAGATTCCTTCTGCTTCCTCAGGATTAGATTCAGGTTATGCCTTCTTAGCAGGAATACCACAGAAGTGACCCTGTGATCTTGGTACATAGTATCAGGAGTTGATTTGTTCCTTTACCATTGAAGTTACCTTTAATGACTTGGTTAAGATAATGTCTGCCAGGTTTCTGCATTTTAAAATAGCTATTTGCGCCAAAACCGGTTTGGCTCAGCGGATAGAGCGTCTACCTGCAGACTGAAATGTCCCAGGTTCGAATCCGGTCAAGGGCATGTACCTTGGTTGAGGGCACATTCCCGGTGGGGGATGTGCAGGAGGCAGCTGGTCGATGTATCTCTCTCATCGATATTTCTAGCTCTCTATCTCTCTCCCTTCTTCTCTGTGAAAAATCAATAAAATATATTTAAAATAAAATATTTCCAATAAAATAAAATAGCTATTTGGGGGGTTCATTTGAGATCTTGCTCTCTGGCATATGTTGTCATTTTAGCTCAAATAAACTCTTAAATCCTCATAGAACAAGCTTGCAAACAGCAGACTACCCACCGTGCAACTGGCTTATGAATCTGAGTCAGGCTCCTTAGGGGCACCATCCGTGCTTTTTTCCATCAGAAACCAGGGATGAGGCCACATATGTGTCCTGCATGTGTGTAGGTTGCAATGAACTTCTCGGATGGTGGAGGGGCAATTTCACAGCGGAGCAGAGTGGCTCTGTTTGCGCCACTGAGAGGAGCTCGGGGTACCTTTAGTCCCCCATTTTTTTATTTTATTTTTTTTAATATACTAGAGGCCCATTTGTGCAAGAATAGGCCTTTCTTCCCCTGGCTGCAGCACCGGCTTCCCTCCGGCACCCAGGACCCAGGCCTTCGTTCAGACCACCGCCTTCTGCCTTCACTCCAGCTGAAGCCACCTTCTGCCTTTGCTCTGGCCCTGCTGCCCTCCTGTAGCTCCCCCGACTCCCCCACATCCCCCTCATAGCAAGCGTCCTGCCCCAGCTGCTCTGCACATCAATTTGCACATTCCCTCCTTATTGGCTATGGGCGCCGCCATCTTTGTGACAGTCAATTTGCATATTCCATATTTATTAGATAGTATCTTTATTGGTTTCAGAGAGGAAGGGATAGAGAGATAGAAACATCAATGGTAAGAGAATCATTGATTGGCTGCCTCCTGCATGTCCCCTAATGG